TTAGTCATGCTGGCCACATGACCCAGAAAGCTGTCTGCCTGAAAGCAAGATGAGAGCCAAAGCCCCATAGTTGCCTTTGACTGGACCTAACCGTCCAGGGGTCCTTTACCTTTACCTTTACACTACAGACATAGGGGGAAGGAGCGCCTGGTGTTTCATAGCTACGCAGCTGCATGAGAAATTTCTGGCTGTGCACAAATTTCCCTGTGCACCCAGGAATGAAGGTACCCCTGAAGCCAATTGAGGACATATTTGAGGTAAAATTTAGCAGGAAAAGAAACCAGAAAAAAAGGGAGAGCATGGAATCACAGTTGAAAGTAGCAGTAGTAAATCTTTCTCCACATGGTGACATACTTAAAATCAGTAGCAGATGGAGACTTGGAAAAATCATGCAAGGAGGTCACAACAGTGCCTGTAGCTAAGACACCAAGAATGAGGTGGTCTCCTGGCCTGTAATAATTAAGTGTGCCTTTTCGATCATTTATCAAACCAAATTGGCATTTCCCCTTCAGCGTTCTACAGGACGAATGGGGCATCATTAGCAAAAGCATTAGGGAGATTATTATCATTTCACTGTTGTCTGCTGCTGCTGCTGCACTCCCTTCTGCCCTGACTGCTCTCAGCTGCGATCTGCTGCAGTGCTTTCTTGATCCAGATGGGAGTCCAGCTGTGGTTTCAGAAATAAAGGAGCTAATATTTAAACCTCACCTCCGCCTAGTCCCTGCCTGCCCTGAATTTGCGCCCAGGCTCTCAGTGGCCCCAGAGATATTAATGCACCAGCCTTTCCACATTGGGTAAACAAAGTTTTTATGTTTTGTTCTTGCTTCTGACTTCTTTGTTATGAGTTTCAGAAATGATATTTGGAAAACTCCCCAGAGCTTTTCAGAAGGAAAAAAATAAAATAAAAATTACAATAGTTTTGATAATTATCAGGTGCACACAGCAATGTCTTGTTTCTCTCTGCGGCAAGCGTATAGCTGGGGAAAAGATGTTTATGAGACTCTGCGGTGTGGCTTTGTGCACTGTCTACTTTCACAGCTCAAATCCCTGAGGTTGGAAGGGATGTTTGATCTTCCATTGCATTAGGAAGGATTCAGATTTACACAACATGCACTCGTTCATGAACTTATCAAGCTGTCTCGTAGGAAGTCAAAACAGCCCAAAGTTGCCTAGAACTTTCTAGAATCCCAGATAGTCTTTTCCAACCCTGTTTCTTGAGATACAAATCAGGTACCCCCATGGAAGTGCAGTACTTAACTAATTGGGAACCGTTGCTTTAAGGGGTTACAAGACACTCATTGGTTTGTGCAGCTTCGATTTCCTGTTCCTGAAACTGAAACTTGCCTAGAGAAGTGGCTGGGCATTGCTTTTACCATAACAGAGCTTCGGTCTTGGAATAAAAGGAGTGGTTCGGAAATACAGTGGTACCTCAGGTTACATACGCTTCAGGTTACATACGCTTCAGGTTACAGACTCCGCTAACCCAGAAATAGTGCCTCAGGTTAAGAAATTTGCTTCAGGATGAGAACAGAAATCGTGCTCCGGTGGCGCAGCAGCAGCAGGAGGCCCCATTAGCTAAAGTGGTGCTTCAGCTTAAGAACAGTTTCAGGTTAAGTATGGACCTCCAGAACGAATTAAGTACTTAAACTGAGGTACCACTGTACTGCAGACATCAAATAGTACGGGAAACAGCCTTACTGGAAAAATTAACCAATGAACTGAAACTGACATGGGGACAAATAGAAGAAGACCCCTTCACCCTGGTATGGCTCTCCTTTATCACATACATAGCCCAATAAGACAACGACAAAAATCCACCAACAGCATACAAATCAATATGGCTGACTTGATCCAAAACAACCACCCATCCCACTTACACATGAAAACAAAGATCACCACAGCCAATCACAAATGAACAACCACACCCTAGGCCACCAAAGGAACACAAGTGAATAGCAGAGAACCTCAACAAATGTCTCAACAAAGGAAACTGATCTGTAAATAATGTTACTTAAAAAAAAATAATTGCACATTAAAAAGAAGAAAGAAACACTGCAGACACACCATGCATAGCTTGGGGGTACTCCTGGATCCTTTGCTGTCACTTGAGGTGCAGGATCTGACAAAAGTATCTCATGTAAGGCCTCAGTGGCCCAGAGTACCTTCCATCAGCTTTGGCTGGTGCACCAGCTATCCCCATATCTGGACAGGGATATCCTAACTACTGTTGCCAGTGCTCAGGTAACCTGAAGGTTAGATTACTGCAATGTGTTATATGTAGGGCTGCCTCTGAAGACGGTTTGGAAACTTCAGCTGGTGTAGAATTCAGCGGCCAGGTTGCTCACTGGAGCAAGACGGTTTGAGCATACAGTGGTACCTCGGGTTACATACACTTCAGGTTACATACGCTTCAGGTTACAGACTCCACTAACCCAGAAATATTACCTCGGGTTAAGAACTTTGCTTCAGGATGAGAACAGAAATCGTGCTCTGGCGGCGCAGCAGCAGCGGGAGGCCCCATTAGCTAAAGTGGTGCTTCAGGTTAAGAACAGTTTCAGGTTAAGAACAGACCTCCAGAACGAATTAAGTTCTTAACCCAAGGTACCACTGTATTAGTTTCTAGGCCCAATTCAAAGTGCTGGTTTTGACCTATAAAGCCTCAAACAGCTCACGACTGCAATACCTCAAGGACTTCCACTTTCCATATGAACCTACTCAGACCCTGAGATCATCTTCCAAGACCCTCCTTCATGTGCCTCCTCATTGAGAGGTCTGGAGGGTGGCAACACGAGAACGGGGCCTTCTCTGCAGTGACTCCCTGTCTATGGAATGCTCTCCCCAGGGAAGTTCACCTGGCGCCTTCATTATACAGCTTCAGGCACCAGGCAAAAACATTCCTTTATAATCAGACCTTTGGTTGATCTGAACAACATCCCATACTCTTTTAAAATGTGGCTGGATTTTTTTGGGGGGGGGTAATTACTGGGTTATTGTTTTTGTTTTATATATTGCGATCTCTTTTGTGAACCGCCCTGAGACCTTTGGGTATAGGGAAGTATATAAATTCAACAAATAAAAAAAATAATAAATTTAAAGTACATTGGCTTCCCCCAAAGAATCCTGGGAACTGTAGTTTGCTACTCACAGAGCTACAATGCTCAGCATCCTTAACAAACTACAGCTCCCAGGATCCTTTGGGGAAAGCCATATGCTTTAAATGTGCTTTTAACTGATGGTGCTTTGTGTGTGATAAGCAGTTATAAAAGCTGTTGGGAAACTGTGTACATGCAGCTACTCACACAGAGTTAATTAAGGTTTGGCAGACAGCCAGAAGGCAATCTGAAGGAGTAAGTCTGCCTGGTGATAACAGAGACATGGAGACAGCTCCCTGATTGGTCAAGCTCTCTCAAGGGAGTGATAATTAATGGCCTACTAACTGGAATGTGTTAGGAGTTCATGAGGTTCAGAGTTCTGTGTCAGTGTAAGAGTTGTGAGTCGTGTCAGAGAGAGCTAGCTAAAGATCCATGTTCTGTTCCTGTAAATAGTCCACTGTATATAATAAACACCTAACTACAAGTTCCTGGTTCCTGCTTCCTCTATCCTGTCTGCAGCCAAGTTGCCAATTGCTTCCATGGATTCTGCGTGTACGCTGCTAGGTCTGGCTAAGGTTGCGAAACACCAAATAGGTTTTACCAATAGAAGCAGGTCCTCCTTTCCTTCTGCTCATCTCTTAACCTAGGTTACCCCACAAGGTTGTTGTGAATATATGCTGAGAGAACCACCACACAGATCGATTACAGGAGTAGATTTCGGGGGGGGGGGGCTATGTGGAAATAAATGCTCAGCAGACATTTGAGCATGTAGGGCAAGGGCGAAAGAAGTAAAAGAACCAACTAAGACCATTTGATCAAGTTGAAGATAAGTTAAATTGGTTACACTATTACCAGATTAATGAATTGTTCAAACTGGATAAGAAAAATGGTTTTGCTTCTGAAAAATCTAAGTTAGAGACTGAGTTGTTGGATAATAAAGGTAAAAAATTGTCTTAAATGTGTAAGCTATTGCTGGAGTGGCATACAAAAGATGAATAAGTTAAATCTGTGATGATTGATTGGGCAAGAGATGTAGGACACAATATCATGTTCAAGGATTGGGAAAGACTGTGGAAGAAAGGGGTTAAGTTCACTGCATGTACTGTGTTAAAGGAAAATATAATGAAAATGATGTACAGATGGTATTTAACTCCTGTTAAATTAGCTAAGATATATCATAACTGTGATAATTTATGTTGGAAATGCTAGTAAAGGAAAGAACTTTCTATCACATGTGGTGGACCTGCCCCAAAGTGAAAGACTTCTGGGAAAAGATATATAATGAATTGAAAAAAATGTTGAAATATATATTCATAAAGAAACCAGAGGCCTGGTTATTTTTGTATGTCACAACTGCTGCTCGTATTTTATTAGCTAAAAAGTGGAAAACCCAAGAATTACCAATGATAGAAGAATGGCAGATGAAGATGATGGACTTTTTGGAGCTAGCCGACCTAAGAGTCCACGACCAGGAGGAGGAGGAGTACCAGGAAGAATGGGGAAAAAAATTAATGATTATTTAATTAAATATGTTAAGTTAAATTAGTTGGAAATAACTTGCAGATAACTAATTGGCTTAAGATTTTATATAGGTTAAGTGATGAATCAATTTGTATAATTTCAAAATGAAAAGATTGAAAGATGTTAAAGCGAAAGGTAAATTTTATAAGAACTGTGATTTGGAAAACCGTTAAATGGATATGCATGGAAATTCAACCAAGGAGAAGCGAGGAAGTCACTTAACAATGTTAATAAGTATAATTTTTAATAAGATTATGATTTGTGGTTGGTTGTTTGTTTGTTTGTCTTGTTTGTTTATAATTTTGTGAAAATTAATAAAAAAAATTGGAAGGAAAAAAAGAAACAACCACAAAAATACAAACCTTTTATTGGATCAGTTCATTAAAAGCCATCCCAAATTCACCATTCCCATGCCCTAAACAAAACAAAAAAGTGAACACACGTGCTCTTTGTTCTTTAAAAAAATGAACATTTGCTTCATTCACAACTATAAAACAAATTGTGGTGAATAAAACAGGAGTGTTCTCTTATGGAATACTAAACCCTGAATTTACCGGGTTCAACCCCCAACCCTCCTCATATCAGGATCCTCTTCTCTTGCTGGGAAAAACAAAAATCTCACAGAAGGCCCCTCATTGGCTGAGAAACTCCCTTAAACGTACTAAGCAAACGGCCAAGGCGAATACAGAGATTCGGCCTACGATGCCACACCACGAGAAGAGTCATTTCCATGGATGGTGGAGTCAGGGGTGAGGAACAGTGGTAGAGGGAAATGTGAAGTGAGGAACGAGAGGCTGGAGGTCAGTGGGCAGGAGGGCCTGTGGGGTGAAGCATGGCTGCCTCAGGAGACAGAGAGGCAGGTTTTTCCGTCCAACCAGAAGATGGGGAGAAGGGACTCCCCCAAGAATGAAGCTGTCTGGAACTTGGCAAGCACAGCGCCACTGTCAGCATTGGCAAAAGACACCTGCTTCCCATCACAGTTCAAGGACACTCTGATCCTCTTCAGCACCTCTCCGCTCATGGGCACAGGAGTTTTGGGAGAGGTGAACATTGCATAGCCGCCTTTCCACTTGCCTATCGCCCAGATCCCTTCTGAGGGGCTAAAGACAGCTGTGCTTCTCTTCTTCCTCTTCAAAGAAATCCTGGTCACGCCCACAGCCCAGTCGTTCTCACCGTGCACCGTGACTTCCCAGCAGTGGCGGCCTGTGGTGAATACATTACATCCCAATGCAAAAGGAAGGAGGCCAGGGACATCACCAGACCCAGGCAGATCTAGAGGGCCATCTTTCCACAGACTTTTCAGATCATCAGATAGGGAGTACTGCGGGCTACCCATGTCTGGATCCAAAGTCACGCTTGCTAGAAGGCAGAGAGAAGGAGAATGTAAATTATGGCGAAACCAGCAGTCAGGCTGAGAACAATTCATAACCTGAACTAGGGAGAAAAGCGGTCCAGCTGTGGCTGGCTCCAAAGTCTGTCTAAAGAGCACCCTTCACTCCTCATCCATCGTACAGTGCTATTTTTCTGGGAAAAGAGGTGCCAGAATTCACTGTGAACACTTCCCTTGTTCTCTTAGAATGGCAATGGTGCCCACCTAAGAGGTGCCAGAACTGAGTTCCGGAGAGTTCCAGATGAAAAATCAACAACCTGATATTGTGCCTTATGAACAAGTTCATTGTGCTGCTGTTCGGGGCTGCCTGGCTATTATTTATCATATTCATTAATCACTTTTTCTTCAGAAAGGTCAACTCAAAGTGACTTGTGAGCAAGAGCGAGCACAACCTAAAATGCACCAATAATCTATCTAAAAGAGCAGATCAAACTCAACTAAAAGACAAGCAGAAAATTAAGATCCAGAGGCCTGGGTAAATACTAGTGTATGTTTGCCTGGCAATAGAAAACAGCGATGGCACCATAATGATGGTGTTGACTTGTGACCAGGCCTTCTGGGGGTTAGTTCCCAATTTCTGGAATGAGGTACATCCTTTGCCCTCATTAACAACTTTCAGGAGGAACTCTTTTTAAAGTGTTCCTCTTCAGCCCATCACCTGATGGCTAAAATGTATTATTCCAACTAGCCATCCTGTGAATTTGGGCCCCCATTGGTTTACCTTCCTGTATTTCATATCCAGATATCAGAGTGCCTAGGGGGGAAAGAACACACATTAAGCAAAAGCACATAACTCATTCAAACAGTTCTTTCCCCACCCACTGCTTCACACTCAGACTTTTTGCCCATCTGCCATGCGTCCTTGAACATTTCACAAAGCCTCTTGCTTGCGTGGAGGACAGAGAGGCACATGTGAATGAGTGCAGAAACATCTTCAGATGCTGCTCCACCGCCTCTGCTTCTGGCCCCCTCCATCACTGGAATGTGGCCCTCAGAAGATCACCCAGAAGGAAACCTGGGCTGCAAAAGCTTCCCTGACCCTGTCCTAGGTAACAAAATTCCAAAACAAGATCTAAAAGAGAGAGCCAGTGTGGTGTAGTGGTTAAGAGTGGTAGTCTCGTAATCTGGGGAACCGGGTTCGCGTCTCTGCTCCTCCACATGCAGCTGCTGGGTGACCTTGGGCCAGTCACACTTCTTTGAAGTCTCTCAGCCCCACTCACCTCACACAGTGTTTGTTGTGGGGGAGGAAGGGAAAGGAGAATGTTAGCTGCTTTGAGACTCCTTCGGGTAGTGATAAAGCGGGATATCAAATCCAAACTCTTCCAAACTCTTCTAAAAAGCCATTTTTACCACTGCCCTCCACACAGTTAACTATTGCCAACTTCACAAGCAATGCTCAGAATTGCCCATTCATCCTGCCAGGCTCAAGGACTAAAGCAGCAGACACACACTTTTGGAGTACTATTTTAACTTTTTTTGCCCCAGCCCTTCTCTCACCTGCGAATTTTTCTACAGCAGAGTGCAGAAGAAACGTCAAATCATGCCAGCCATAGAGTCCCCATCGCTTTACTGGTGGAAAAGCCACTGGACTCGCAAACTCCTTCTCAAATCTGGAAAAGATTTATTTTTTAAGCAACCAACCTCACAATACAGAAGCAGTAAAGAGCAAATGAGCTCAATCTGGACTATAGCCAGAGACCCAAATTCAATGGAATATTCCTGACCCCTACCAATTGCTGTATGCATAGCAGTGAAGCATTCTGGTTACCCTCTCTCATTACCTGGCCTAAATTACAACCTCCTCTCCCTCTGCTCCAAGGAGAGGCTGTGGGGACGGGGAATAATGTGTAGGGTTTGTTTCAAGGTTTTTGGGAGTCATGGGTGTAGCCAGGATTTATTTGGGGGGCGAGAGCAGGACAACCACCTGTCATCAACCTCTCTGTCTAGGAGATTCGGAATGAAATGTTTTGAAAACAGTTGTTTTCAATTACCGTTCTTTTGACCTCAAGTGCTCAGAAAAATCTGTCTAAATCTTTACAGTTTCTACTTTGAGTTAAGTTTATTTATTTATTCGCATTTACCCATTTGTCCCTCCCATGTTGGGTGTAGAGCAGCAGCAACAGCCAACTGTGTTTGCTAACTGTTAACCAAGGATGATACGTTCATCAGAAAACCTCAGGTTTACAGGCAGGGTATGGAGGTAACATGGGGCTGGGACTATGGCTTTTAGGAACCCAAAGGCCATCCAAGTCTAGAACCAGATGGAAAAAAGGACCAGAACTGGGACAAGTGTCCATTACAAACCCACAATATTAAGCCAGAACTTCCAATATGTTTTACTCTGCAGGATGTGTGTTGCTATGGGACCCACTTACTTCTCCAAGGTGCGTCTAACACCCTATAAAGAGAGAGAGAAAGAGAGGGGGGAGAGGGGAGAAAGAGAGAGATGTAGTTCAGTTCCTGCTTCAGGCAATTCTGGAAGATTTCAGAGAGCAATGCTCCCTGATTTGATTGATTAGATTTCTATGTCGCTTTTCATTCAAATAAATCCCAAAGTGGCTTACAAACAATAAATAACAATAAGCAATAAAGAAACAATAGAACACCACAAATACAGCCTAAGTCATATAGAATAATTAACCAATCAGAAAAACAATGATGATCTATAAAACAAGGCAGCAGCTAAAAAAAGAAAGCTAAACATCATAATTAAAGCAAAAGTCGCATTATATGATTAATCACTACATCCGTAAAGCAATATTAACAACGTTCACAAAATAGCAGCTGATGGCAGTCTACTTTATATGGCAAAGAAGGGAACCTTCGCTTCCAACATTTTGTGGCACAGCAGTGAGAGATGTTTCACAAAAATTTAGCCAACCCAAAAACAATCCAAGCCTATATATATATATTAATCATTTCTTCCCAGGAACTTGAAACAGCATATGTGGGTGTTTCTCTTATTATCTAAACATCAACCTTGTGAGGCAGGTCAGCATAGGAGATATATGAGGCCCTGCCCAACCCCCAGAAATTTTAATACAGTGGCACCTCATTTTGAGTCTGCCTTGCCAAGCCTCCATTTTGTCGAATGTCCGCAGCAAACCCGCAAGTACCGGAATGAGTTACTTCCAGGTTTGCTGCTCGTGAATGCACAGAGGCATTAAATCGCGCTTTGAGCATGTGCAGAAGCGCAAACTACTCTGGACAAGTGCACAGAGCGGCGCTTTGTCATGCATCCTTTTCGTCTAGCATCCGGGGCTCCAGAACGGATCCCGGACTCAAAACGAGGTATTTTTAAATGTATTATTTTTTAATGGATGTAACCTTCCCCAGGTCCTCATGGTGAAGGATAGGTAAAAAATTTAATAGAGATAGAAACAGAAATAAATAAAGTACACAAGAAGACATTCAGAGGCTCATCACTAGCTAGCACCAAGAAGAGCCTGAGATTTGCAGAGTGAAACAGTTTTTAACAAGGAGTGGAATCGCAAAGTGGCTATAAGGCTGCCTGTGGTAAAGTGAATTGAGAGTTTGGTACCAGCCCACCCCAAAGAGAAAAGCCCCTGCCAGTTCTGCCACAGCCTAACCTTCAGGAGCTCATTTGGCGTCCGGTGACACTTCTCCATCTCCTCGAGGATGCTATCCAGAAAGGCGACACGCCGAAACAGTCTGACCACGTGCTTGTCCCTTCCCCTCGCAATGTCCAGCATCATCTCCGCATGTTGGGCAAGAAGAAACTTCTCTTGTTGTGCCAGAAACTCGTTTATTTCCTTGAAAGCGGACGTCATCCTTTGCTTGATGATTTCTGCCTTTTCCTTCAAGAAGCAGATGGAGATGTTTTGGAAGTGGGGATGTGGGGGAGGAAGCACATTGGAAGACAGGAAGTTGGTCAGCACAGCATTAGGACGCAAGTGGTATACAAAAGGAATTCTTTAAACATAACCAAAGCGCACACGCGCGCGCGCGCGCGCACACACACACACACACACACACACACACAGAGACATCCCTACAAAAGCCTCTGAGGAAGGAGGGTACCATATTTTTCGCTCTATAAGACACACTTTTTCCCCTCCAAAAATTAAGGGGAAATGTGTGTGCGTCTTATGGAGCAAATGCAGACTCCATAGCTTCAGCGATAGCAACGCGAAGCCTCCGAAGCGCAGTGGGAGCGCTCCCTCCGGGCTCCGGAGGCTTCGCGTTGCTTTCACTGAAGCAAGGAGAGCAAGAGGGATCGGTGCGCACCGATCCCTCTTGCTCTCTTGGCTTCGCAGCAGAGGTGCTTCGCCCCTTCAGCGAAGCGGGAGGAGGAATGGAAGGGGCTCCATTTCTCCTGCCACTTCGCTGAAGGGGCGCTACACAGAGAGGGAGAGAATGTTTTTTTCTTTTTCTCCCCCTCTAAAACTAGGTGCGTCCTTTGGTCGGGTGCGTCCTATAGAGCGAAAAAAACAGTATGTCTTTTAAAATGATTCACATTAATAATAATAATAATAATATAGTACAGTGGTACCTCTGGTTGCGAATGCCTGTTCGCAACATGAAAAGAGTGCAACCCACAGCGGCACATCTGTGCACGCGCGGTTTGCGATTCGCCACTTCTGTGCATGCGCATGACGTCATTTTGCGCTTCTGCGCATGCGCGAGTGGTGAAACCCGGAAGTAACCCTTTTCGGTACTTCTGGGTCACCGTGGGACGTAACCTGAAAGAACGTAACATGAAGCAGACGTAACATGAGGTATGACTGTACCTCGGGTTACGAACTTAATTCGTTCCGGAGGTCCTTTCTTAACCCGAAACCATTCTTAACCTGAGGCTCGCTTTCGCTAATGGGGCCTCCCGCTGCCGCCGCACCACTGGCGCGTGATTTCCGTCCTCATTCTGGGGCAAAGTTCTTAACCCAAGGTACTACTTCTGGTTTAGTGGAATTTGTAACCCGAAGTGTCTGTAACTCGAGGTACCACTGTAATAAATAAATCTCAACATGCTCCCCAACCCCATAAAAATGCATCAAGTTGTACATTAACAGGAATGATTCTTAACAGCCCATCCATATTACCTAGGTGCCCAGCATGTGATGCCTTGGGGCCAGCATAAAAGTTGTCTTATCTGTCACCAACAGTACGTTTCCAGGAAAGAACATAGTTCAGGCTGAACTGTTCATGATAGGTAATATGGTGCCCTGCAGATGTTGTTGGACTACAACTCCCATCAGCCCCAGCCAGCATGGCCAATTGTCAACAAAGGGGGGAGCGGAGGTGCAGACCAACAGCACCCTGAGAGTGCGGCATTGGCTATCCCTGCCCTGGAAAGCTTTCACTCCCAGCTTCCAGAAACAAAACACAAAGAAGCCCAGAAATATAACTATTTAATTTATAATAGGACCAATAAAAGTTAAAGGGACCCCTGACCATTAGGTCCAGTCGTGGCTGACTCTGGGGTTGCGGCGCTCATCTCGCTTTACTGGCCGAGGGAGCCGGCGTACAGCTTCTGGGTCATGTGGCCAGCATGACTAAGCCGCTTCTGGCGAACCAGAGCAGCGCACGGAAACGCCGTTTACCTTCCCGCCGGAGCGGTACCTATTTATCTGCTTGCACTTTGGCGTGCTTTCGAACTGCTAGGTTGGCAGGAGCAGGGATTGAGCAACGGGAGCTCACCCCGTCGCGGGGATTCGAACTGCCGACCTTCTGACTGGCAAGTCCTAGGCTCTGTGGTTTAACCCACAGCGCCACCTCTAACAATCCACAAGACCATTTGAAGAAGCCCAGTTCGACTTGATCGCTTCCCAGTGAAAGTGGCTACCTACAAGCATCGATTGGCTTTCCAGGTCTGTGCTTAACTTGTGTGCCATTATCTCTTCTTTTTCCTTCTTTATAGTGTCTGCGTACTGAATGTAACAATCCTGAAAAGAAAAAATGGGCCTTTTAGAAGTTCTCCTGCAAGTACTAGAGGGCAAGGCCCAAAACCAAAGCAACGACCTTCCAAAAACTAAACCCTGTAAAATGGTCCTTATTCTCAGTTGCTTGCATTTTTAGTCAGTCCTCCTCATTTTGATTTCCTCTTTCAAGGCATTTGCCTCTTCCCCACTCAGTTTGCTCCTGGACTCCAATTCATTAGCTTCCCAGTCTCCTATGCCCTCTTCCCAGCAAACCCCTCAGCAAACCACACAGTGCTCCCCTTGTCCCCAAGGCCAGGACAAGACTTACGTCCTAGCCAAGCTGACAACTTCATTAGACACAGAACATAAACGAGCCTATCCAATGACAGGCTCCATATACGATATGCCTTTAAAGCACATTGAAATAACTTCCTTCCACCCCACAAAGAATTTTGGGCATTGTAGTTTGTTAAAGGGTTGCCGGGAATTGTAACTCAGTGAGTGGTTAACTACAGCTCCCACAATTCTCTGAGGGGGTTGGAGAGAATGCTTTAAAGGTATAATGTGTACACAGCCTCAGGGAACAAGCTCTCTCCCTATCCACAGTCCTCCTCTAGCTCAGCCACCTTGTTTAAAACATGCAAAGATTATTTCTCCCCACCCCTCAAATCTCACCTATAGAGGAACCCCACCTTGTATTCTTGGACAGCTTCTGCCACACCCAGAACAGCTGGAGACTCCACGGATTCAACACATTTCGAGCAGCGGAGGGCCTTGTCGCGCTTACAAAAAAAAATCAAGGGCTGCTCATGCTGCAGGCAGATTTCATCCTCTCTTGACGCTTGTCTTGCACACACGGTCAGCTGCTGGAACAGTTCAGTGACTGTGCCCAATTTCATGTTCTGTTTCCGACTCGGCTGAGGATTTTTGCACAGAGGGCAGAGGACTCTCCCGCAAAATTCCTCGCACTTCGCCACGCAGGGACGGCAGAAATTGTGCCCGCAGTCTAGGATCACAGGATCACGGAAACAAGTCTGGCAGACAGAACAAACTGTCTCTAATAAAAGCATGGACGTGATGTTCTCTCTGTCCATGGCTCAAATTTTTTTTTAAAAAAAAAAGTGGTGCAGATTAAAATACGGGATTTGGCTTTTCTTATCCAGCAGAATTTGGAGACACCTTTGACTGAACAAGTTGCAAAAGACTCTTCTGTCTTGAACTGCTCCAGTCTGCAAGGGGGGCGGGGAGAGAGAGAGAGAGAAGGGGTTGGAGTTATCATCTTGCAATTCCCAAAGGACAACTCCAGCTCCACCGTGTCAAGCTCCCGGAGAAGGGAGGGTGCAATGAAAAGAGCAACAGAAACAGGAGCAGGTGGTACATGAGTCTAGCCCCACAGAGAACCAATCCAGCAGACCTTGCCTCTGTTATTTAGTCATCAAAACATTCCACTCCCCCAGTTCACTCACATCTACACCCCCACCCCAAGAATGCAGAATAAGGTGGAGGAGTTTTAAGTGACCAGTGAGCCAAAATCAGCCATGAAACTCACTGTGTGAGCTTGGACCAGTCACCACCTCTCAGCCAGTGGGTTGCTAGAGAATAACATGGAGGAAATGAGACCCACAACTGCAGCCTTGAGCGGGGATATAAATGTATAATACTGAGAATTAAGGAACAAACAACATACAGTGTCTCTCTCCAGCCCACATGCCCTTGTGCAAGTCCTATATAATTAGATTCAGGTGATGGCAATTCTCCAGGAGTAGTAGTAACAAAGTAATATATTGTAGAATTTACTTAAAACGAGACACCTGTACTCTGTACGTGCCAATTAGCTTCGTCCATTATTGTACATCACTATCTATCATGTAGCTGTAGCACATAAACAGCATTAAAGCCAAAAAGTACCAGCAGCTCTCAGATCTCTAGGGTGGCCCAAATCAAGGAGCAAAGCACCTGCCTGCCAGATGTTTGGGGCTACAACTCCCAGCCTCAGGAACTGTAGTCCAAAATCCAAAATCTAAAAGAGCACCAGTGTGGTTAAAAGACATTCAGACTGCGGGCGGCATCACCCCCCGTAGAGGATGTAAACAAAGGATTTGCACTATTATGCGAACTGGGAGTCAGCTTAATATGTATTATTAAGTCCGATCGTCCTAATCGACGCAGATTTACCTGATAGGACAAACACATAAAATACTTTTAATAGCCACAGCTCAGTTTACCCAGACAAACAACTCACAGTCAACCCAAACTGGAGCCCTGGAAAGGGGGCTCTCCCGTTTAAAAGCAGCAGAAACTGCAGCCTCCGCAGTGGAGAACTTGGAAGACTTTTGACGAACAAACGCAGGAGCGGAAAGAAATTGCAAGCAAACATGCGCGGCAAACTCTCGCCCCTTTAAACACAGCAATGTAATTACCCGCCGGGCGCGCCTAGTAAGAACACCGAACTACAGTTCCCAAAAGCTTCTGCGGCACGTGTACTCGCCCGCTTCGCTGGCAGCCGCGCAGAACGGCCTCATGGGAGCTGTAGTCTTTTCCTCCGACGCTTCCCTGATGGTAAAGAGAACGCCGCCTCTCGTCTCTCCCTCCGCGCAAAGGGCGGCTCCGGCGTTTCTGATTGGCCGGGATTGGTAACAGCTGTGACCAATGGAATCTCCGCTTTCCCTTTCGCTTTGCAAGGCTCTGCCGAAGCGCCAGGAGAGGCGTTGCACGTGGGGAGGCGTTACAAGCGCCGCGATGCCTTCTCGCGGTTGTATGGCTCCGCGTAGCTCAGCTTCATTATGATATTATAACCTAGCGCTACTGCTTTTTCTACGAAGGGGCCACCGGGCTTAGTTTGCATTCATTCACAAGTCCTCTTTTTTTAAAAGTCGTAGACATGGGCAGATGCAAAATGGGAAGGGGGCTCCTTCACTTTTCAAGTTTGCTCAGGTTAGGAGACAAATCAACAGGTGTAACAGGGCTCGCAAATTGCAAATGACGTCGGCTTCAATCGTCCCTCTCCTAATTTGCACAGCTGTTCAAGCTGCAGAAACTCTCTCCTCTTCTGCATCTGCTGGCCACCCAAGTTCAAAATCGCTGTATCCCCCCCCCCCCCATTTAATTTTCTGTTCTCGACACTGTTTTCTATCCCCATCCCAAATCCGAGCGCAAATGCTCCTGCAATAACTGTGGTTTGCATATCACATAGCTGATGAAGCGGATTCTAACCCACAAAACTTCATGCTATAACAAGCCTGTTGAGATTTAAGGTGATACCCCCAAACTCTTTGCTACTTCTCTTAATTTATGGAATAAACTGCTCCTGCCTCTGCAGGTACCAAACTCTGCCCCACCTTCACCACTCCTACTTGGGGACTTTCCTGGCTTTTTTCTGGCCCACGTAGGACCAGTCTGGATGGTTAGCCTTTGTGAAGACTTGACGTTTTCATCCCCCAAAAAGTTTTGGGAGTTTCTGCTGAAATGAGGCTGCATTTTAATGTTGCATTTTAATCTTGTTTTTTAAGTTGTATTTCATCAATTGTTTTATGTCTGGTGTTAGCCGCCCTGAGCCCAGTCTTGGCTGGGGAAGGCGGGGTATAAATAAAATTTATTTATTTATTTATTTATTTATTTATTTATTTATTTATTTATTTATTTATTTTTATTTTATTATTGATTGTAGGGTATTGCCTCTACCAGACTCGCTCAAACGCAACTCACACATTTTATTTATTTCACAAAATTTATCCAGCACTTGATTTCAGGAAAAACTTCAACGTGTCGTGTGTTTTTTTAAAAAAAAATTTAAATACCCAGAGTCAGACTTTTGGGGAGCTGCAATCTGTCACTTTTTCTATAAAGCAAAGTTGAGTTGAAAGCTGCTCAAAGCTTCCACCAAGAGGAGCAGGACCCAAATCCATCCCTCCCTTTCAGCCCCGTCTCTCCCCTCCCCATCTGTTTTTCTCCCTTCTTCCCTTCCTTGTGTTTCCACCTGCCCACCACATGGAAATAGGCCAAGGGCTGAATATGGCCTTTGGGATGCAGGTTCCCAACCCCAGCCTTAGAGCACTTATGGGGAACATTTATGCCCATCATCAGCCCCAGGAAGCATGGTCAAGAGCCTGGGATGATGGCAGCTGCAGTTCAGCAACATGAGGGACGCCACAGGTTCCTCACCTTCCTTAGAGGAAGGACAGAAAGCAAGCAGGATTCAAGGGAAATATGCATCTGCAATCATTTTTGAGCTTGGAAAAGAAACCAAGGCAGCCATAAGAAAAGCAGAAGCCTTTAATACATCTTGGCTTAGCAAAAATCATCCCAGAAATACGTCCACTCTTCCACATAAAACCTACGAACAAAAATTATCTTAAAAAAGTGCAGATCAGCTTTAACTGTTTAACATGCAAAATAACTGTGAAAATATGTGTTTTCACCCCCTTGAAACAGTGTCAGGATTGGTTAAGGTTTCATTTCAACCCCAGAATCCCCTTCATCAGAGGAGGGAGAAGCCAAATGACCACACTGAATGTAGCCTAGAACAGCCTTTTCCCAAGCTTGTAACCCTCCAGATTGGAATATAGGGAACCTTTGTCTCCCCCAGGAGTTGCTGAACTACAACTCCCAGCAGCCCCAGCAAGCATCATCAATGGCCAGGGATGACGGGAGTTGTAGTTTGGCAATACCCAGAGGTCCAAAGGTTCCCTAGATCTGCTCCAGATGCTTCCAGCTACAACTCTCATCAGTCCCAGTCAGCACAGCTGGGACTGGTGGGAGTTGCAGTCAAAACATCTGGAAGGATGGCCAAGAAGCAGAGTTTCCCAAACTTGGTTGCCCAGCTGTTGTTGGGCTACAAATCCCATCATCCCTAACTAGCAGGACCAGTGGTGTCAGGGATGATGTAGTCCAAAAACAGATGGGAGACCCAAGTTTTGGAGGGGGGCTAGCCTAGGCCAGCCTCCCCGGGAAGACACAAAAGTGAGTCGCTCGTGTTCTGCACTCCATCAACCACTGAGATGCGCAGCAGAATCAGTGTCCTAAGTGGCCAAAGCCCTAAAGTGGGAAGAAGTTTCTGACTGCCTTAGCGGGGCAGTGTTAGAACAGCTTTATTGGAAACATGAAAGAAGGGGAGGAAGGACTCTCTGGCGATGGTAGTTATTGGGGTCTGGAAAAGCAGGGCTGCATCGTCCGCATCAAAGAAGGCCACATGCCTCCCGTCGCAGTTCAAAGACACTCGAACTTTCTTGAGCTCCTGCACAGAGCTCAGAGGAGGGAAGTCAGGGGGGTTGAAAACCGCGTACTGACTTCCCCGCTTCCCTATTGCCCAGATCCCAACCTTATAGCTTATGGCAGCCACGTCCTTCCTCTTTACGGACTTCCTGGCCACCCCCACGGCCCACTCGCCCTCGCTTCCCACGGCGACGTCCCAGTAGTTCCTGCCCACGGCAAACTCCTCGCATCCCAGGAGGAATAGGTTGGCTTCAAACCGTTTTCGGCTCTTGGGCAGCTCTTGAGTTTTGTCCGCCAGTCTGACGCTTTTGCAGTCCTTAGACAGGACGAGCCGGGGATGTGCTGTCTCTGGATCGAAGGCCACGATCGCTGAAAGAAGATGGAGAGAAATTATTGACAGTGGTGAGCTTGGAAGGGCTGGGAGGAGTAGCGTCACTATCTGCGATACGTTTTTGGGAAATGGTTTGCTATGCATCTAGACACCTCTTAAGATATCACAGCCAAATTTTGCAAAATAGCTCCCAAAGTCAAGGAACAGATTTTTGCTTATGGCTGGGTACCATTTGGAATTAAGGTGGTGGGCTGAACCCTTCAAAACCATACTGATTTCAAACACCAATTTCAAAACTGCATTGAGTTTTTGGTTTGTTAGAGTTACCAAGTAATGTTGGGTATGAGGCTGCAATTGCATGACAAATATAATTTTACACATACACAATAGTGTAACGTTTATTGTTGTCTTTTTAATTGTACATATTGCTTGTTTTATGTTGCTATGGCCGTTGGCTAATGCGAATAAAGTTTATCTATCTATCTAAGTTTAATTGTCCAGGGCTTATTGGTAGGGCATGGAAACAGACCCAGTCAGACAGGGCAGGGACAGTCGAGGTGCACATTTTTAGGCCCCGGCTAATTCTTTCTTTTTCTTTACAAGATCTGCTGTTGTACCAGATCTTAACCTGTTACAGTATTTGTAAGAATATATTCCAAATATCATTGAATTTATCCATGGCAAGTCTGCGTTTATATGCAAGTTGTTCATACTGTATGTTGCAAGTTTGTATAAGTCTTTAATCCAATCATAAAAGGGAGCCGCATTTTTCCCCAATTAATCAGTATCAGTCTTTTTGCTGTGGTTAGGGCATGGAGAGTCCACTCATATTGTCCTTTTAGGCCCCAACTAATTCTCATTCCCAGAAGTGCCTGGCGTGCTCTGGTCCATGGGGTCATGAAGAGTCGGACACGACTAAACGACTAAACAACAACAACAAATTCTCATTCTAGGGACGCAGGTGGCACTGTGGATTAAACCACAGAACCTAGGACTTGCCGATCAGAAGGTCGGCAGTTCAAATCCCCGCGATGGGGTGATCTCCCGTTTTTCGGTCCCTGCTCCTGCCAACCTAGCAGTTCGAAAGCACGTCAAAGTGCAAGTAGATAAATAGGTACCGCTCCGGCGGGAAGGTAAATGGCGTTTCCGTGCGCTGCTCTGGTTCGCCAGAAGCGGCTTAGTCATGCTGGGCACATGACCCGGAAGCTGTACGCTGGCTCCCTTGGCCAATAAAGCGAGATGAGCGCCGCAACCCCAGAGTCGGCCACGACTGGACCTAATGGCCAGGGGTCCCTTTACCTTTAATTCTCATTCTGCCTCTATCCTCCTTCCCTGCTGAGATCCACAAGGGAAACATTGATTCCCAAGAAGAGATCCCACCCTCTCAAGTGGATGGAAGTAAGAAGACAGGCAAGTAGGCGGTGGCTGAGGGTAGACTGAATTTAGAAGGGCAGTCCATTTGCACAAATGGACCAGTCTCCACTGACTGGAACTGACAGAACCTGGAGCCTACAGCATCTTGAGGGCTGCAGGCTTACAACATAAAAGCGATACAAAATAAAAACAAAACTTAAGAATATCTCGCATTTAAAACCAGTCCTGCATAGTGTCCAGAGCGTCAGACGAAGACCTGGGAGACTGGGATTCAAAACCCAACTTGGCCATGAAGCTCACCCCTTGACCTTGGGCCAGTCGCTACTTCACAGGGTTGTGGGGATTAAATGAGGGAGGGGGGGAACCATGTGCGCCACCTTACGCTCCTTGAAGGAAAAGGTGGAATGCAAAGGCGTAAGACAAATTAAAATCAACTCATAAAACAGCAGGCAGATAACCCAAAGCAGTGCAATCCAAAAGCCCTCCTTGTGAGATTCCTTTGACCCGTCGCAGGTCCCAGAAGTTTACCTTCCTGAAGCGAGAATCTAGACTCCAGAGCATCTGAAGAAGGAAAGGGAAAATACCTTGATCACCACATGACTGTCTTCATCGAACAGATCAGTTTCCCTCGGTCTGTTCCTTGTCCCCCTGCCCCTTATTTCAGGTGAAGAATTAAAGAGGAAGCTGAGGAGATTTGTGCAGGTGGGGGGAGAATCATCTTCACAGACCAGCCTTGAGTCCCCAGACGTTGTTCGACTACAACTCCCATCATCCTCAAACACTGGTCCTGCTGGCTAGGGATGATAGGAGTTGTGGTCCAGCAACATCTGGGGAATGCCATAGATCAATACCAAATAGATCGGGGTGGGGAATCTGTGGCTCTGCAGATGTGGCTGGACTCTACTGCCCATCAGGCCCTGCTAGGGCAGTCAGTGATCAAGGATGGTGACACTTGTAGTCCATCCACATCTGCAGGGCTACAGATTCCCCATATACGGCCTAGGACCCTCATACCTACGGGACCGCTTCTCCTGGTCCCACGGAGGACCTTACGGTCTTCAAAGAAAAACATCTTGGAGATCCTGGGCCACAGGGAGGTTAGGCTGGCCTCGACCAGAGCCAGGGCTTTTTTGGTCGTGGCCCTGATCTGGTGGAACACTCTGTCACAAGAGACCAGGGCCCTGCGGGACTTGAGATCTTTCCACAGGGACTGCAAGACAGAGCTGTTCCATCAGGCCTTTGGCCAAGGCACAGTCTGACCCCCCTCCTTCTGTAATCCTCATAGAACTCTAGCCATGGTTGCCATTAATTTGATTCTGAATTGATTTTAGAATGTATTTTAATTAATTGATTGTGATTTTATGTAAACTGTGCTGTTTTTATTGTTGTTAGCCACTCTGAGTCCGGCTTTGGTTGGGAAGGGTGGGATATAAATAAAAATTTATTATTACAGTGGTACCTCGGGTTACATACGCTTCAGGTTACAGACTCCGCTAACCCAGAAATAGTGCTTCAGGTTAAGAACTTTGCTTTAGGATAAGAACAGAAATCGTGCTCCGACGGTGCGGCAGCAGCAGGAGGCCCCATTAGCTAAAGTGGTACACTCAGGTTAAGAACAGTTTCAGGTTAAGTACGGACCTCCGGAACAAATTAAGTACCTAACCCGAGGTACCACTGTATTATTATTATTATTATTATTATTATTATTCTGGGATTAGACTTAGGACTTTTTTTTTCCAGACGGAACTCAGTTCTGGCACCTCTTAAGTAGGCACCATTGCCATTCTAAGAGATCAAGGGAGGCGTTCATGGTGAGTTCCAGGACCTCTTTTTCTAAAAAAATAGCACTGATTAGACCCATCCAAGCATCTACACTTAGATAGGCAACAGCACCAGTTCCCACAGTCCAGAGTGGATAGAAATCAATGATTTTTTTATTTAAATCGGATTTAAAAAATAATAATTGGATTTTTAAAAATTTAAATCAGATGTTTAAAATAAAATGCTTTTGGAGGAAATATATTTCCAAAGAATGTTTTCTATTTAAGTTACATTATAGTCCAAAGGCTATTCATCAGGAAATAAGGATTTGTTTTAAGTTAAAGCTAAAACTCAATCTACCAAACTGCAGGAGGCAGTGAAAGACAGGAGTGCCTGGCGTGCTCTGGTCCATGGGGTCATGAAGAGACGGACACAACTAAATGACTAAACAACAAAACTCAGTCTAAGCCTTTTTTTATTGTTTAACCACATCTGTTAACAAACATGGATATGTATGTTATAATGTTATTGTTTTAGTTAAATAAATTGTTTAAATTGTTATTAAGGAAATGATTGTTTTTCTCCTTCCAATAAAGTACAGCAGAAAAGTTGTCCAAATATAAACAGTTAATTTATTAAACCTCACAACAATTTCATAATTATCCGTCTATGTAGTGGTACCTCTAGTTACGAACTTAATTCGTTCCAGAGGTCCGTTCTTAACCTGAAACTGTTCTTAACTAGAGGCGTGCTTTTGCTAATGGGGCCTCCTGCTGCCGCTGCACCACCGGCACACGATTTCTGTTCTCATCCTGGGGCAAAGTTCTCAACTCGAGGTAACACTTCCAGGTTAGCGGAGTTTGTAACCTGAAGCATTTATAACTTGAGGCATTTGTAAGTGGAGGTACCACTGTATTTCTAATAGTACAACCAAATCGGTAATTTTTGATATAACTGTAAAAACTACTCTGAACATTTATTATTCGAAAAAACGAAACCTTCATCTGGTTGTAAATATTAAGATTATACTAGGAAGAATGAGTCTTTCTGTAAAAAAAAAAAAGGGATTTAAATCAAGTCTTACTGACTAGAGATTTTAGTTGTGATTTAAATCGATTCGATTTAACTCAAATCCACCCTGTCACAGACTCAAGGTAACCCCAAGGTACACACAAGTACAAATAGTCTTTTTTATATAAAAAAGAAAAACCCTCAAATCCCTCAAAGAGCACTCAGCAGCACTGTGGAGGCTCTCACTAGGATCCCACCCTAAGGAACAACCCAAGCAGAGGTCTCCAAAAGAAGCCTCTCTTCCTGGGATTTGGGTGAACTTCCTCTCAGGACTGGCAGCCTTTGGCCCTCCCACTTGGGGCATATCACAATGGCCAGCGTCAAAAACGGACAAACAAGAAGTTTGCAGCAAGTTCTTTCCTTTACCTTTGAATTGCTTCACAGCACTCTCCAGGGAGATGTTTGCGTCCGTCACGTCCCATATTTCCCACAGCTGCTTCGGCGAAAAAGGGCTCACACACTGAAACGGTGTTGCCTGGTGGAACCTGGAGAAGAAGAAGAAGAATTTGGATTTGATACCCCGCTTTATCACTACCCGAAGGAGTCTCAAAGCGGCTAACATTCTCCTTTCCCTTCCTCCCCCACAACAAACACTCTGTGAGGTGAGTGGGGCTGAGAGACTTCGAAGAAGTGTGACTGGCCCAAGGTCACCCAGCAGCTGCATGTGGAGGAGTGGGGAAGCGAACCCAGTTCACCAGATTACAAGTCCACCGCTCTTAACCACTACACCACACTGGCTCCACACTGGAGAGAAAACAAACCGCCGATGAACCCACCATCGCTATCTCCCAGAGACAACAGAGATTCAATGGAAAACTAGGCAGCAAGCAGGGAGGTCTTCACCTCTCAGAAACACTGGAGGACATGCCATGCTTGCGGGATCAGGCCAAAGACCAATCTACTGTGTCCCCCTGTTCCCACAGTGCTCAGAGACCTGAGCAAAACAGCCACTCTTTGCACTCTGTGATTCCCAGGACCCTGCCTCTATGCAGGATTTTGTTGAGCTCCACTTACTTCTCCATGGTGTTCCCAGCATCCTAGAAGGGAGAGAGAAAAAGAAGAAATCAGAGCCTGATGCACGTCGTTCAGAAGAAAACCCCTCTTGTGCCCATCTGCGGGCCATCTGCTTAGCAGAAGCCATCTGAAAACACTGGTGGAAAGGTGTGTTTTAATCCAACACAGGCAATTGTATGTAAATTGAGTACATTGGACATAACAGCTAGTGCAGAGGTCGGCAACCTAAGGCCCGGGGGCTTGTTCCAGCCCGAATGGGTTCTGGATCCGGCTCGCGGACAGTCACTCCCACGGAGATCGTCCGTGGGCTGGACGGGCACAGTGCGACGCCCGAAATTGCTTCTCTGCAGGCGCAATTTTCGGCATCTGGGCATATGTTGTTGTTGTTGTTTAGTCGTTTAGTTGTGTCCGACTCTTCATGACCCCATGGACCAGAGCACGCCAGGCACTCCTGTCTTCCACTGCCTCCCGCAGTTTGGTCAAACTCATGCTGGTAGCTTCGAGAACACTGCCCAACCATCTCGTCCTCTGTCGTCCCCTTCTCCTTGTGCCCTCCATCTTTCCCAACATCAGGGTCTTTTCCAGGGAGTCTTCTCTTCCAATGAGGTGGCCAAAGTATTGGAGCCTCAGCTTCAGGATCTGTCCTTCCAGTGAGCACTCAGGGCTGATTTCCTTCAGAATGGATAGGTCTGATCTTCTTGCAGTCCATGGGACTCTCAAGAGTCTCCTCCAGCACCAGAATTCAAAAGCATCAATTCTTCGGCCATCAGCCTTTTTTATGGTCCAGCTCTCACTTCCATACATGCGCAGAAGCAATTTCCGGCGCCGTGAACATGCGCAGATGCGATTTCTGGAGTCGCGCTGCGCCTGTCCAGCCCACGGATGATCTCCGTGGGAGTGATCTGGCCCTTGCCCAGTAAGCCTTGCTGACCCCTGAGCTAGTGCTTCATGCTACCCAAGCCTTTCAAAATTGGTCACATTCCTTTCTCACCAGAACTTCAGAGCAGCATTTAATTGGGAACACTCCTCCCCAATGCATCCTCACCACAACCCCCAGAGGTAGGCAGATTTTATTTTATTAAATTTCTTAGCCCCTCACAGAGCTGCAGTTCACAGAGTGGTCAATCCATCTCTCTCCCAAGGGAACTCTATGAACTGAAGCTAGGTATCCTCATAGTTCTCAGCGCCCTTAAACTACAACTCCCACAAATCTTTGTGGGAAGCCATGGCTGTAGGGACACAGGTGGTGCTGTGGGTTAAACCACAGAGCCTAGGACTTGCCGATCAGAAGGTCGGCAGTTCGAATCCCCGCGACGGGTGAGCTCCCGTTGCTCGGTCCCAGCTGCTGCCCACCTAGCAGTTCAAAAGCACGTCAAAGTGTCAAAGTGCAAGTAGATAAATAGGTACCGCTCTGGTGGGAAGGTAAACAGCGTTTCCATGTGCTGCTCTGGTTCGCCAGAAGCGACTTAGTCATGCTGGCCACATGACCTGGAAGCTGTCTGCAGACAAATGCCGGCTCCCTCGGCCTATAGAGTGAGATGAGCGCACAACCCCAGAGTCGGTCACGACTGGACCTAATGGTCGGGGTCCCTTTACCTTTACCTTTATGGCTGTTTATGGTGGTATCAGAGGGCTCTAAATGTATGGTGTGGGAGCCGCCTAAGGAAAGGATGAATGAAGGTTTGGGTACCAGACTGTCCTTGAGGAAAAGCCTTGTCCATTTCCTGCAACTTCCGCCTTACCTGCAGGAGTTCACTCACTGGCTGGCAGAACTTCTTCTCCAGCTCCCGGACGAGGATTTCGCAAGAGGAGACTTCCCGAAAAAGCTTGCTCATGTGATTGTCTCTCCTCGTTACGATCTCCTTCAGTATGTCTCGGAGCTTGCCGACCATAGTGTGCTCTTCAGACAACAGGAACTGGCGCAGCTCGTCGAACTTGGACAGTGTTTCTTGCATCAGCTTTTCTGTCAGTTTCTTCAATAAGCCGATGGAAAGAGAGCAAGGAAAGAGAGAGAGAGAGAGAGAGAGAGAGAGAGAGGTTAGAGGCGGCAGGAATAAGGTCGGTCCTGGCAACATTAGGATACTAATTATATAGAAAAGGACATTTAATGGTCAGGAGCTGGAGTCAGGCATAGGTCAACAATACAGTGGTACCTTGGTTCTCAAACTTAATCCGTTCTGGAAGTCCGTTCCAAGACCAAAGAGTTCCAAAACCAAGGCACACATTCCCATAGAAAGTAATGCAAAATGGATTAATCCGTTCCAGACTTTTAAAAACAACCCCTAAAACGGCAATTTAACATGAATTGTACTATCTAACGAGACCATTGGTCCATAAAATGAACTGCTAGGTTGCGGAAGGCGACCTTACACTCAGAACGTTCACAAAAGGGGGCTTAGTGATGTAAATGGGCTGTTCAGATATCACAAACAAGGTGTTGGGTTTTTTCATTTATCAGATTTCCTTCAGAGAGGATGACCCCAGATTAAATTGGGGGTGGGGAATAAGAGTGGCGTTTTTACAACAACAATGTAGTGCAGTAGCTGTGAAAAGTTTGCACACACTCTGGAATTCGCATGAGAAACGCTCATCCCACAAGAAGCACAGGAAAACCTGGTTTTGCATGCAATAGGGAAAGAGTTTCCAAAAACAGACCTCCAACTCGGATGGTATTTTATGCACTCCTTAGTCGGCAATTACACAATTTTTTTTTAAAGTGCTACTACTTTCTGATCTATGGGCTACTTTTAAAATGAGACTGCATTTTAAATTGCATTTTAACCTGTATTTTAAATTGCTCCCCCCCCCTTATGTTTTTACTGTAATTTTACCAGTGTTAGCCACCCTGAGTCCGGCTCTGGCTGGGGAGGGTGGGGTATAAATAAAATATTTATTTAATTTAATTTATTTATTTTTTATTTTTATTATTATTATTATTATTATTATTATTATTATTATTATTTGTGGACTTGCTAGTAACAGTGACACTTACAATCAGGGTTTGAGTTTGTTTTTCTGCAGCTGATCTACACTCCAGAATTGTCTCTTCCCGGTTCTCTAGAGCATTAATGCAGTTGCCTATGCGATCCTGAAAAGAAAACGCAAGCATGCTTTTGGAGAGTATGTAATAAAGTTAAAAAGCATTCTAAGCTCAAAGCATTCTCTCAACCTGTGATCCCAGGGCTGCCATGAACAGGGACCTTCGGCCACCAAACGCCTGAGTAAGCAAGCATGTTTTTAAATTCCTCCTGCAAATCAACAATATACGATATGATAGGCTTTATTGTCATTGTCCCATACAGAACAACAAAATTGAAAAAATCTACATCAGACATTCAAAAACCAACAAGCCTGCTATCCCAGCTTGGTTAACCCCCTAAAAACTCTGATACCCCATAATTAAATGCAATATACTCCCATAGAGACTACCTTATACTGCATTTAAAACCAAAATCACATTTGGATAGAAACTGTTTCTCAGGTGGCTAGTCCTTGTCTTTATAACCCTGTACCTTCTTCCAGAAGGCAGAAGCTGAAAGAGATCATTTCCGGGGTGCGCACTATCCTGCGCTATCTCTGCTGCTTTCTTATGGCACCTGGAAGCATAGATTTGATCCAAGGTGGGAAGAGTGCACCCAATTATTCTCTCCACAGTCTTTACAACCCTGGACAGCAGTGTTTTTTCCCTAACCATGCATATGCATTCATTATTCCCAGCCCAGTCCTAGAAACAAAAGGCCTCTCTCACCTTGGTCTCTTGGGCCGCTTGCTCCATGGGAACTACATCGTGAGCCTTGTGCTCTGCGGATTCGACACACACTGAGCAGACTAGGGCTTGGTCAGTCTTGCAGAAAGATGTGGGAGGCTCTGGGTGCCTGTAGCAGGTTCCCTCCCCTCCTCCTTTTGCTTGTTTTGCTTGATCTCTGAGGAATCTAGCCAAGTTTTCCAGCGGCTTGTTCGTAATGAGCCTGTCAGGCTCCACTACCCATCTGCACTCAGGGCAGCTCCGATCACGCACAAAGTCTTTCCAGTACTTGAAAACACAGTGGTGGCAGAAATTGTGCCCGCAGTCTAGAATCACTGGGTCAGTGAAATACTGCAAGCAAATGGAGCAAGTCACTTCCACCTCAAACATCTTCAGGGTATCCTCAGCAGCCATTGCTCAATACAACAGTTTTTATTTTTAAGTTGAATTTAACTTTCCTTCTCTCCGAAAGATGCAAAAGCCCTTGGCTTGAGATTTTAGAGGGAATTCCTTTTATTTTAACTGCTGCAGAAGTTGTGTGCAACCGACAACACCAATCTGGGGGAAGGAAAGAGAAAATGGATCAGGATTACCATCTTCTACCATCCAAAACGTAGCAAAGTTTGGTGGGCACCTCAAAGACTAGCAATGAAAAAAAATACATTTATCTATCGTCGTTGTTCTTGCCGCTACATACACAGCTTCCTGACTGGACCTCCAAGACTACGGGCGCTCAGTTGTGAGAGACAAGCACTCTGCACATGCTCAAGCCTCATTCGTAGCTGTTAGTATTTCTGGGACTGATTAGGAAACACTTTAGGGTGAAGCCCCAGGAACACACAGAAAGAAAGAAAAATATATTATTGTGTATCACAGAACAGTCGCGGTGGAAGGGACCACGAGGGAAGGTCATTTAAGTCCAACCCCCTGCAATTGAGAAATCTCTTGCCAAACGACCCCTAAGATTAAATATCTTTAGGGACTGAGCTACTCTCATCAAGGGGGGAGGAAACAACAGCCGCTTCAGAGAGAGAGAGGGAAAATGGACTGCGAATGAGGCGCGCGGGGGAATTAGCACGCTTCCCATTCAATCTTACCCCAACAACAAAAGACACACAGCCTAGCCAGGCAATCGATTTGAAGCTCTCACAAATTCGATTGCCCCTTTCAGGAGAGGACAGGAAAAGCAAAACACTACTGGAAGGAGCAGGAAGCCAATAATCAATATATATATATTGCGTTGGGAGGCGGAGCTACTAAAGCAAAGCGAAAGTGAGGGTGTGGCCAGAGGGGGACTTTAATCCCGGCAGAAACCCTGGGATTTAAAATATATCTTAAATCTATATATATATAGATTTTTTAAAATCTATATATATTTTGAGGTTTCAGAGGGAACATCTTTTATTTTAACTGCTGCAGAAGTTGTGCGCAACATACAACACCAGTCTGGGTAAGGAAAGAGAGAAACACTCTCTCTATATATTTAAATCCCAGGGTTTCTCCCGGGATTAAAGCCCCCCCCCCCCCTCTGGCCACACCCTCACTTTCGCTTTGGTTTTAGTAGCTCCGCCTCCCGGCGCGGGCGGCTCCGGCAATTTGGATTGGGCGAGGCTGGCAACACCTGTGGCCAATGGCGCCGCTCCTTTCCTTTCCGCTGGTTGCTCCGCCAGCGCCTTAGGGACCGCGCTTTGCTGCGCTGGAGGGGAGAGCGCTTGGAAGGCGCGGGTGCACGTCGGGGTCTCTCTTCGGGCGTCGTGTCATGTTAAGAGCCTGCAGCAAACTGCTCTCCCCACCCAATCTGGATCGCTTCAATGAGCCATTTCCAGAGGGGTAGCTGTGCTAGGCTCCTGGTCTCATGTCACCCGCCCTCGCAAAGGCAGGTTTAATAATAATAATAATAATAATAATAATAATGATAATAATAATTAGTACCCCACCCATCTGAGTTGGGTGCTGGACGCCTTCCAGCACATATAATCAGCATAAGTAATCAGCAAAGGTAAAGGGACCCCTGACCATTAGATCCAGTCGTGACCAACTCTGGGGTTGTGGCATTCATCTCGCTTCATTGGCTGAGGGAGCCGGCGTACAGCTTCCGGGTCATGTGGCCAGCATGACTAAGCTGCTTCTGGCGAACCAGAGCAGCGCACGGAAACGCCGTTTACCTTCCCACCAGAGCGGTACCTATTTATCTACTTGCACTTTGACGTGCTTTCGAACTGCTAGGTTGGCAGGAGCAGGGACCGAGCAACGGGAGCTCACCCCGTCGCGGGGATTCGAACCGCTGACCTTCTGATCGGGAAGTCCTAGGCTCTGTAGTTAACCCACAGCGCCACCTGTGTTATACCTTTAAAAAGGCTTCCCTATACTGCAGATGTTTCCTAAATGTTATGTACAGTGGTACCTCGGGTAACAGACGCTTCAGGTTACAGACGCTTCAGGTTACAGACTCCACTAACCCAGAAATATTACCTTGGGTTAAGAACTTTGCATCAGGATGAGAACAGAAATCGTGCTCCAGCGGTGCGGCGGCAGCAGGAGGCCCCATTAGCTAAAGTGGTGCTTCAGGTTAAGAACAGTTTCAGGTTAAGAACGGACCTCTGGAACAAATTAAGTACTTAACCAGAGGTACCACTGTACAGTGGATGCTCAGGTTGCGAACGTGATCCTTGTGGGATGCACGTTCACAACCCGCAGCATTCGCAACCCACAGCGGCGCATCTGCGCACGCACGGGTTGCGATTCAGTGCTTCTGCACATGTGCAAAGCGTGATTTAGCGCTTCTGCACATGCTCGACCGCCGAAACCTGGAAGTAACCTATTCCAGTACTTCCAGGTTTTGGCGGAACCCGAAAAAAACTCAACCTGAAGCAGCTGTATCCTGAGGTATGACTCTAATTTGTCACAGGGAGCATCCACCCCGCTCAGGAAAAAAAAGAGCTGTTCTCCTAAGTGAGCCACGCTGAAATAATGGGGATTTGCTGTGGAGTAGGGTTTGCTGTGGAGAAGCTTGTTTTTTGGACTACAACTCCCATCATCCCTAACCAATGGTCCTGCTAGTTAGGGATGATGGCAGTTGTAGTCCAGAAACCCTACTTTGGAGGAAACTCTGTATTGCTTGCAAGTCCAGCAATGTCTGGAGGGCCACAGGGTTCCCCCTACCCCAGTCTTTGATGGAGTGCCCCAAAATATTGTTTACAGCATTTCTCAAAGTTATCCATAGATGGTTGGTATATGCACGCATTGTCACGTCTGCAAACTGCACATACCCTAATGTGTGGCATAATGGGAAGTGCTATTACATTTTTGGGATGGTTATGTTCTACCTCTGCTGGTGACCCTTAGGATCCCTTGCAACTTGACAGTTCTATGATTCTGTGCTGTCTGAGGCATTACAGTGGTACCTTGGGTTACAGACGCTTCAGGTTGCAGACTCCACTAACCCAGAAACAGTACCTCGGGTTAAGAACTTTGCTTCAGGAGGAGAACAGAAATCGTGCGGTGGCGACACCGCGGCAGCAGCAGGAGACCCCCATTAGCTAAAGTGGTACCTCAGGTTAAGAACAGTTTCAGGTTAAGAACGGACCACCAGAACAAATTAAGTTCTTAACCCAAGATACCACTGTATAGAATTGGGCATTGCAAGAATTGGACGGTGGACTAGACTGGCCTTTGATTCAGCAGGGCTCTTATTACATTCTTTAAGTTGTTGTGTCCCATTTCTTGCAAAAGGATGCATGTTCTTCACATGCAAATAAACATGCCCCTTAATAGCCGCCACCCCCACCCCCCAATGTTGATAAACCGACCCCACCTGCAGAGAACCAGAGGAATCAGCCCTGTTATCTTTTAATTAATTGGTAACCAGAATGTCATCCCTGATTGGCCAGAAGAAGGAAACACTCACACCTGAGGACCATTTAAAGGTTGGGGTGTGAAAAACATACACCATTGAAGCCCAAGAAGGAAGTAGATGCTCGCAGGTGGTGGTGTTTTTAAATAGTTTTTAAATAGTTGTATTGTGAAGCAATGGCATTGGTGAGTTGGCAAAAAAATTTTTTTAGAAATGCTATTTGCTTATTGTGAGTGTGAAGTTTAAGGGTATGATAATTATCCGTGGCAGGCGTGGGGAATGCTTGATATTTCAGGTGAATTACGACTTTAAAGTCACACTTTAAAATCAGGTCAACCAAAGGCCTGATTAAAGAGGAACGTTTTTGCCTGGCGCCTAAAGGTGTATAATGAAGGCACCAGGCGGACTTCCCTGGGAAGAGCATTCCACAGACAGGGAGCCACTGCAGAGAAGGCCCCGTTCTCGTGTTGCCACCCTCCAGACCTCTCAAGGAGGAGGCACATGAAGGAGGGCCTCAGAAGATGATCTCAGGGTCCGGGTAGGTTCATAGTTAGTCCTCATGGAGTTCTTCCATAAAGTGGGTGAGATGGGAAAATCCAATGGCCGTCAAAGGGCAATCGATACCTTGATTAGGGTCAACCAGAATGGGATAAAAATCATGGACTGGTTTCTTTTTCAGTATAAATAGCTTACTGAAAAGACTTGGTACTGAGTTTAACCAATCTGGAAAGATCTTATATTAGCCACAGTCATGTAAGAGGACTGCAGTTAAAATGCTTGTCCACAATTGATTCCTCTCCCTACCTGAAGTATTCTGTTCTCCCAGTAAGAACAAAAGGGGGGGGGGGAGAACCGTGTAGACCATATGCTTTGCATGCACAAGTTCCTAGGTTCAATTCCTAGCTGGGCTGTTATCATATCAGTATATAATTGACACTTAAGAATAAGATGAGCCAGATTCACCAGTACTACTTCCCTACAAACAAGTAATCTATATTGGATTATGGTATACCATAACAATTTTCCCCAACTGCATCATTGTCCAGGTCAGTATCGCTCCTACCTCCAAAACCTGTGTTTAAATATATTTCTAGTGACATTTCCCCATGGATTCCGTGCCTATACAAAGAATCCAAAGTTTGGAAACTGTTCTGAAAATTTTTGTAACCAAGTTTCCTTGCACATATATGCCCTTTGTTCCTCTGGATATCAGAAGACTGTCTTCTTGGCAGCTGATTTTTATGTACCAGTGATTAACCATTTTAAATTTACCATATTATTTAACCTGAAATCATTTTCATGTTTTAATTAAGATACACTGGGGGTAGATTATAGATTATGAAAACCCTAAAATCACAAAATCAAGTCTGAATTATTTTGATTTTAGTAAAATTTGCCCAACCCCTAATTTAAACACCAAAGATTAGCATTAGTATCCCATTTGTTTTTAAAAATGTTTAAAATTGGGTGTAATGACCCTTGATGTCTGAAAGTCATCAATCTGTTTAAAGATCATAAAGAGGCAGTTGACTTTAATTTGTTTATCTTTATTTATAAAGTCCAAGAACCTGAGGCTGAAAAAGATTATACTATGAGAAATGGGAGCCCTTGAATCTTTCACATTCTTTTTTTAAAAATATAGCAAATGGTTGCTCGCTTGAATTTGAAGGCCGGGGAACGCATTGAAATGAAAGCCAAGGTGCCCCGAGGAGCCAAAAGGTCTGTATTAAAAGTAAAAATAGGATATTTATGTTTTCCCCTTGTGGGAGATTGCAATCAAATGCAACTAGCAAGCATAGAGCTAGTTTGTGCATGAAGGGGTTAAAACAATAGAGCTGTGATTCCTAGACACAAGTCATGCCCCTTCTTCTCTGATGAAGGAGGAAGTGACACCATCTCTCCCTCTTCCTATCCCTTTCCTTCCGCCATGTAAATCAGCCAGGTCTGGTCTTGAGCATTTCAAGCACAGAACGCTTGTTCAGAACTACAATCTGTATGTTGTACTCAAGAGTATGCTATCTGTGTTCTCTTTGCTGCTGCTTGGATAAATGCATAAACCTGGCCTTTGGAACGTTTTTGTAAGTAAAGCATTTTAAACTTACTGTACTGGTGTGGTGTGTTCAATGCTAAGAGGGATAGAAAACAGAAAGCGCAGTATGCAACAAAATGGGATATGGAAAAGATTTAACAGCCTGAATTCCCACATTCTACTGCTGAACTTCGCGAGTTTAAACTCTGCTACTGGAGGCTCTCTCCCACTGGAGAGTGTGTTAAGCCCCACATTTTGAATCTAGGCACCCAGCCAATCATTTTATTTATTTGCCCCACACACGTGGGCCACAAGGATTATATATCTCCCCTCCCTTGATACCTTTAATTTTTGCATTTTGGAAACATTCTTTGCTTGGATAACTGCACCACAAAATTCATGCAAGTGCAAATTTTGAACGATGGCTACATGTCAGTTCTCATGAGTCAGCTTGATAAGATTTAGCCTTGAATGCAAACTGAATCAAATTTCTACCCCATCCCTGTGGGGAGGGCCTGGCAAACCTTGTATCTATACTACAAACGGGAGGCAGTGGAAGACAGGAGTGCCTGGCGTGCTCTGGTCCAGGGGGTCACGAAGAGTCGGACACGACTAAACGACTAAACAACAACAACAATACTACAAACTGTCTCTGTGTGCTAATATGAACAGGCATGATATTCCATAGGGTACTCTTGGGGCCGTAGCCTTCTAGTACAGACAGTACAGTGGTACCTCGGGTTACATACGTTTCAGGTTACATATGCTTCAGGTTACAGACTCCGCTAACCCAGAAATAGTACCTCGGGTTAAGAACTTCGCTTCAGGATGAGAACAGAAATCATGCTCCGGCGGCGCAGCGGCAGTGGGAGGCCCCATTAGCTAAAGTGGTGCTTCAGGTTAAGAACAGTTTCAGGTTAAGAACAGACCTCCGGAACGAATTAAGTACTTAACCTGAGGTACCACTGTATTGAGTTAGATGGACCAATGCTTTAGCTGAGATTGCAGGGGGTTATTCTATGACTCTATATAAAGCATGTTTTCCCATGTTCCTATCAGCTTTACCTTTCATATAGGCCAGAATGCCTCGAATCCGCTCCTTCAATTTAACGCTCGATTTGAGACTTTCAACGGAGATAGGGTCGTCGTTTTTAACTCTGATACGGGGAGAGAGCGGGATCTTCTCTTGGACCTGGGACTATTCGTCACAGTAAGTAAGAGGAGAGCCCTATTGCAGGAATAATTTGTGGGTAGAACAGCTGGGGATGTATATCTGAGACCTAAAGGATAAACCAAAGCTCAGTATTTCAATATCATGAGGTGGAAGGGTGAGGGGACCTTGATTTAAAACAGGAATGAGGAATCTGTGGCCATTGAGATGTTGGACAAGAAGTTCCCATAATTCCTAATAATTAGCCTTGCTAGCTGGGACTGAGGGGAGTTCCACAAACAGCTGGAGAACCATAACTTCCCAACCAATGAAAAAAAATGTTCTCATCCTGCATATTTGGGCTCCTCCAAATGGCCTGTTTACTGAGCACTCATCCTGATTTCCAAAGCTTACAAGGAGGCTAGACTATATCCAGTCTCCAATTAAAGCTGCTTGTTATTTTAGGTGGGATAAAATAATACCCCTTATATCTGTATTATGAACAGTTTCGTGATTTTTGATGCCCGCCGCTGCTTTTTCTCCACAGTAAACATGGCCAAGTTTAAGCAACCAGGGCTGCATTCAGATGGCACTTTATAATTATTATTATTATTATTATTATTATTATTATTATTACTATTATTAATTTATACCCCGCCCATCTGGCTGAGTTTCCCCAGCTACTCTGGGCAGTTCCCAATCGAATGTTAAAAACAATACAGCATTAAATATTAAAAACTTCCCTAAACAGGGCTGCCTTCAGATGTCTTTTAAACATATGATAGCTGCTTATTTCCTTCACATCTGAAGGGAGGGCGTTCCACAGGGTGGGCGCCACTACCAAGAAGGCCGTCTCTCTGGTTCCCTGTAACCTCGCTTCTCGCAATGAGGGAACTGCCAGAAGGCCCTCAGCGCTGGATCTCAGTGTCCGGGCTGAACGATGGGGGTGGAGACGCTCCTTCAGGTATACTGGGCTGAGGCCATTTAGGGCTTTTAAGGTCAGCACCAACACTTTTAATTGTGTTCAGAAACGTACTGGGAGTCAATGCAGATCTCTCAGGATCAGTGTTATGTGGTCTCGGCGGCCACTCCCAGTCACCAGTCTAGCTGCCGCATTCTGGATTAATTGCAGTTTCCGGGTCACCTTCAAAGGTAGCCCCACGTAGAGTGCATTGCAGTAGTCCAAGCGGGAGATAACTAGAGCATGCACCACTCTGGCACCACTCTTATCTCATTGGCATTTCCTTACCTGCTCTCTCCACCCCCTCAAGTTTATGCGATATTTCACACACTGTAAAAGCCGCTTCCAGAAATCTGGTGGAATCTAGCGGAAGAATAGATCTCGTTTCTTTAACCGTTTCCAGCAAAAATCCATTTGCAAACCCATGAACTCAGAAAAACTGAGATGTATGTTTACAAAATTTGCGGTGGTATACCGGCATACTCCTCTTTCCTGCCATTTAAAATTTAGTGTGGCATGCTAGCACCTTGATCCAAAAGTCACAGATCAGTGACACAACAAGGCGCTGCTGTTTCAAAACAATGCTAGAAATCGGGACAGAAGCTCTAGCATTTTAACCAGTAAAACCAACACAATAAACTCCACATCTGAATGCAGCCCTTGTATTAAACTCATGCCTAACACTATGTAAAGGTAAAGGGACCCCTGATCATTAGGTCCAGTCATGGTTGACTGGGGTTGCAGCTCTCATCTCTTTATTAGCTGAGGGAGCCGGCATACAGCTTCTGGGTCATGTGGCCAGCATGACTAAGCCACTTCTGGCGAACCAGAGCAGCGCACGGAAACGCCATTTACCTTCCCGCCGGAGTGATACCCATTTATCTACTTGCACTTTGACGTGCTTTCGAACTGCTAGGCTGGCAGGAGCAGGGACTGAGCAACGGGAGCTTACCCCGTCGCGGGGATTCGAACTGCCGACCTTCTGATCGGCAAGTCCTAGGCTCTATGGTTTAACCCACAGCGCCACCCGCATTCCAACACTATGTAGTTAGGCTTATATTCTCTTGGCAAGTCTCTAGCTTTCCCTCTTGCCTGTCTGCTAACATCATAGCAATGGTTCCTATTCATGACAAAAGATGCATAGTTGATCTAACTCAGGCATCCTCAACCTTTGGCCCTCCAGATGTTTTGGACTACAATTCCCATCATCCCTGACCAGTGGTCCTGTTAGCTAGGGATCATGCGAGTTGTAGGCCAAAACATCTGGAGGACCACAGGTTGCGGATGCCTGATCTAACTCTTCATTTCTCTTTCCAGGTAGCGTTCTCCTTTAACGCCCAAGATATGGTGTTGGAAGTGTTCAACCGGCCAATTATTAGACTCCCAACCCCACCAGGAATGCAAGTGGTGGAGCACCTCGCTGTAACTGGTGATATCGATGTTAAATCCATCTCATTCAGCCATCTCTTTCTTGCCTCTGGAAATGGTAACTTTTTAAAATGACGACGTGATCTTCGATTCTTCCCATTAGTTCTTGCAGTGGTTAGTATGCAATGTAAGTTTCTTTTAAGAAAGCCAAAGCAGATTTAGCCATGTAAAAGACTTGGGAAGTAGCAATGGGCCGTATACTTGCTGACTTTTGTTACCACCGTTGCTTTTATTTTGGAATAAAACTGCTCTTCTCTACCTCTCACTGCCTTGATTCTTGGATGCAACAATTCTGTTGGATGACTATTGCTCAACTTCCAACAGATTCCTCTTGCTGTTTACGCAGTATTCCACAAGCTTTGCTTTCCTCTCTAAATGCCATGCCACCTGGGGCAACGCCATGTTTCTGACGAGGCCAGTGATAAAAATTCAGGATTCAGAATACAGTGGTACCTCGGTTTACGAACTTAATCTGTTCCTGAAGTCCATTCTTAAACCAAATCCGTTCTTAAACCGAGTAGTGCTTTCTCTAATGAGGCCTTCTGCCGGCGGTGCCCTTCCACCGTTCAGCTTCCATTCGTAGATCAAGGCAAAGTTCGCAAAGTGGAACACTACTTCCAGTTTTGCAGAGTTCGTAAACTGAATAGTTCGTAAACAAGACTGTTTGTAAACCGAGGTACCACTGTACTTGTAATGCAAAGGGCTTAATCTCAGTGGTGGCTGGTGCCCAAGGGGAATGGAATGCCATTATTTATGCTCTAGTTATCTCCTGCTTGGACTGCTGCAATGCACTCTACATGGGGTTACCTTTGAAGGTGACCTGGGAACTACAATTAATTCAGAATGCGGCAGCTAGACTGGTGACTGGGAGTGGCCGCCAAGACCATATAACACCGGTCTTGAAAGACCTACACTGGCTCCCAGTACGTTTCCGGGCACAAATCAAAATGTTGGTGCTGACCTTTAAAGCCCTAAATGGCCTCAGCCCAGTATATCTGAAGGAGCATCTCCACCCCCAACATTCAGCCCGGACACTGAGGTCCAGCTCCAAGGGCCTTCTGGTGGTTCCCTCACTGAGAGAAGTGAGGTTACAGGGAACCAGGCAGAGGGCCTTCTCGGTGGTGGCACCCTCCCTGTGGAATGCCCTCCCATCAGTTGTCAAGGAAATAAACAGCTATCTGACTTTTAGAAGACATCTGAAAGCAGCCCTGTTTAGGGAAGTTTTTAATGTTTGAAGTTTTGTTCTGTTGAGAGCCGCCCAGAGTTGCTGGGGAAACCCAGCCAGATGGGCGGGGTATCAATATTATTATTATACTGTAATTATCAGTTGCTTTCCTCACAAAAGTGACCCCAAGGGGACTGATACAAAAACATTATAAACACTAAAACCAGCATAAACAAGAATGCAAGGGAGGGCAATAAGCTGACCAAGCCTCAGAAGCCTGGGGGACCATTGAAATTGCCCTATTAGAAGGACTTGTGGCTGATGTTCATCTTAAGGAACTGGGAAGGCCTGAATGTACTTAGGCTCAAGTGGCTTCGGGCTTTATTATATATCATTTATTATATATCACCAGATCTTTGAACCTAGCCTAGCAGTGACTCAGCAGCCAATGGGGCTCTCTGAGTAACCTGCTAGAATAACTTATGGGGTGTGTGTGTTTTATCCATGTCAGTCGCTTATGTTTGCAAATGGGTCCATGCCCCCCTCCTTGCAAAAAATAAAATAAAGCAATCGTGGCCCCTGGATTATGTAACTTGCATGCGCTGACATATATAAGAGAGACGCCCTCTGACATTTCTGTGTCAAACTCAAATGTACGTAAGAGAAGATACTATTATAGCAGTGACCCTCACTTTTCCCTGTTGTGGGAAGTAAATCTCCTTATCGTGAAACTTAAATGAACTGTGTCAAACTCGCCAGCAAATCGCTATAAGGGCGGGAGTCCTACACAAGAAACTGCACTGCCAGGTACAATCACTGTGACACACAATCTGGTGAATTATGCTCTAATGCTGTCATATAAATCTGTCTAGCTTTACTCTACTAGTACCTGGCTGGAATATTTGGTCCTAGTTCCCACCAAAAAGACCTTTGAGGTGAGAGTCCTGTATACAAAATTCCCAACGTCAATTCATTTTGTAGCTATTTTGTATTTGCTGACGTCATTTCTTTACTGCCTTAGGTTGCAAACCCTTCCACAGCTGTGTGCAACAATAAAAACAAACAAATCGTACAAGTGTTTTGTTCTTTTTAGTACCCCTTGGTACCCAAAGCATTGCAACAAGATTTAAAATGACACCAACATTAACAACGTAGCCTCAAAAAATGAGTAAGGAAACGTAACAGGTGGAAGTGTCTGTGTCGAGCCAAAGGCCTTGTAGGTTGTTTTTTTCTTGTTTTTTGGCTTTTTTAAAGGATGGCTTTGAAAACCCTTTTTTTTAACTAAACAAGGAAGCTGCCAGAGCATCCTGAGATCGTCACCAGGCCTGCTCAAAGCATCTGTTGGGCCCAGGACATTTTTCATGTGTGATCAACTCTCCTCCCACCCTGGCCTGTGATCCAGGTCCATACAGGAACCCCATCAAGCTCTGCACACCACGATGGGTTAATACTTGAGTTGCTAGGTAACCCTAGAGCCTTCGTTTCTGGCCTGCTGCCTTTGGCTCAAACATGGCTGTTCTCCCTTTTGAGCTTGGTTAGACTGACACAAGGGGAGGGGAGAGGAAAGGAAGGGGAGAAATCAGGTGCTGATGTCTTGCACCAATGCAACTACAGGTCATATTCACACCCTGCACTGTGCTCCGAGCCGGATCCCATCAACGACGCACGTGAGGACGGGGGCCGAGTTGTCAACAACGACGGCCTGATGATGTTAAGTACCAGTGCTCGATTGCAGGCAACGGGTCAAACTCTGGCACTGCCACCCCATTGACTGCCACCATCACAAGAGAGTTTGCCACTTCGTTGGAAAGCTTCAACCTCTCGTAAGTCCTTATCAGGTTCATAACAACGCAGCCCCGCTTACAGCTTCCTGTAGAGATTCGTAAGCATGCAGAAACGGAGGCGAGTTTGCTCAGCAAAGGAAACGCTTGCCGCTCCGCAATGGCCTTCCTGCACAGCTCTGAAAACAAAAGGTCCTTGGCCACGTTTTTAAGTTCAGCCCATTCATCCAGCAGCCTTTCCTCGCTGTAGCTCGGAGGGAGAACGTACTCAAAGTATTTCGCCATGGAAAGTACCTCAGCATCTCCAGAATTGGCAAGGCAGCTCCCAGCAGCAGGCCGGCACACGGTATCAAACACTTCTGTGCTTTTTAAGAGCTGGGGCGACGTCTCACCGTCAAATCTCTGGTGCAGGTATTCCGCCCCGGTCAGGATGATTTTTGCTCGGTCCACTTGGAACCGGAACTCTCCCATCTCGACCACATCCAAGGAGACCCCTCTGAAAGAACCATTCTTCACGGCGGCGTTAAACTCTTCCTCCTTCGGTCCCGGCTGTTGGAGGAGGTTTTGCAAGGCGAAGTAGGCAGCTTCTACAGCAGCAGTCACTTGCCCAAGCAAGACGCTTTCTCTCTGGAACACTTCCGAGAGGGGTTTGTAAACCTGAAGGAAGTCGATCAAGAAGTGGGAAAACTTGACAAAATGGAAGCTCCTCAAGAACGTCAACATGCCTTTCGCCTTCTGCCCCTCGTGGCTGCTGGATTTCGCCAGGCGCTCAGCGTGAGCAACCAAAGCAGGCAGGCTTTCAAGAAGGACGCTTAGAGTTTGCCTCTTGCTCACCAGCCACCTGACACTGTTTGACTCCATTAGTTTGGCCACCTTCTGGCCCAGGCGGGGAGCCGCACCCTGCAGCTCCCTCAGTCTTTCGGGAGAGGCTTGGAAAAACTTGAACGTTGCCCTGATGTGCTTTTCACAGTCCTTCACAAAGTCAACATCCCTGTAGCAGGCGCCGATGGCCGCATACTGCAGCTTGTGGGTGACACAATGGGCCGGGGACAGGCGAGGGATCACCTCTTGGAATTTGGCGACGAGCGCACTTTTGCAGGCTGCTATGCTGGCTGCGCCGCCTGTCGCAAGGCCCACGACCCACCCGGGTTTCCTGAACGGGATCTGAAGCTGATCCATGGCTGAAACGGCGGCAGCGAAGCAGGCGTCGGCGGTGTCGCCGGGCAAAGGCGGCAAGCAAAGGTACGACTCCTTCACTTCCGCTCTCTTGAGGTAGCGGATGTAAATTGCCAGGCAGGGCTGGTCGGACGAATCCGTGAAGCCGTCCAAGAGGAGGCTGGCACAAGGCGACCGGCAGATGCTGTCAAGTATCTCCTTCCGCAGCGTGTCCGCGATGCACCTTATGAAGAGGGTGCATGCCACCCTGTTCCTGTACCTGGGGATGATGGGGGCTCCCATGACTTGCAGGAGGTCCAGCGCTTTCTCGTAATCGTTCAGCGGCTTCGAGTGGTAAGCGATGTCGTAAGCGGCACTGAAAAGATGCTCCATGTTCCTCAGCACGTAGCTGGACATCTTAGTCAAGCGCTCGGCCGCCGGGGCGCCATCTGGGTCCTCCTTAGCTGTCAGCGCTCGCACGCAGAGCTTGTGAGCATTGCTCTTGTCGTGGTGCTTCAGAGTCTCCACTTTGAACGGCCGGGTGTATCCCGTTACTAGTTTGGACACTGGGCCGTGAGCGGGCGGCTTCTCCTTGCACACCACGCAGTAGAGGGTGGTCTGCCCTTTGTCGGCCTCCAGCCATGGGAATTGAGAGAACCATGACTTTTGGATAGATCGGGGGCCTAGCGTCTTTCGGGCTGCTCCCACTGCACCAGGTTCCCTTCCACAGGCCTCTGGATACAGGTTTGGAGGCCACACCTCCATTGGGGGGCACAGTGAGAGAGCATAGTCATCCATCGGGTCCTTTTCGTCTGTGTCGTCCACCGTTTCAACCTTGATTATTCCTTTTGGAGAGAAATTGGAGGGATAATATAGGTTGGTTGGTTGGTGTTTTTAATTAGATCAGGTTCCCAATTAGCTAAGTACTGCAGGCCCCGTTTTTCAAAATGAAATAAATATTATTATTATTATTATTATTATTATTATTATTATTAATTTCTATGCCACCCATCTGACTGTTGCCCCAGCAACTCTGGGCAGCTCCCAACTTCATATTATTATTATTATTATTATTATTATTATTATTACTATCATCATCATCATCATTTTATTTTATTTATACCCCACCCTCCCCAGCCAAGACCGGACTCAGGGCAGGTAACACCAGGTATAAAAACAATTGATTAAAATACAACTTCAAAAAAAGATTAAGTACAACATTAAAATGCAGCCTCATTTCAGTAGAAACTCAAATCAAAAATTTTTGGGGGATGAAAACGTCAAATCTTCACCAAGGCCAACTATCCAGACTGGTCCTACGTGGGCCAGAAAAAAGCCAGGGAAGTCCCCAAATAGGAGTTCCGTCACAGAAGGAGAAAAGGAAAAAGGAAAGAGGGGGAGGGGATCAAGTTGATTCCAAGCCAAAGGCCAGGCGGAACAACTCTGTCTTACAGGCCCTGTGGAAAGAAATCAGAACCTGCAGGGCCCTGGTCTCATGAGACAGAGCGTTCCACCAGGCCGGAGCCAGTGCTGAGAAGGCCCTGGCTCTGGCTGAGGCTAATCTGACTTCCTTAGGGCCCGGGACCTCTAGGGTGCTGCTATTTATGGACCTTAAGGTTCTCCGCAGGGCATACCAGGAGAGGCGGTCCCGTAAGTACCGTAAATAAATAAATAAGTAAATAAGTAAATAAAACATCAGCCTACTTTTGAAATTTTTGCTATCTCTATGGTAGTTTTTGTTATGTGAATGATGCCACAGTTCCCCTGGGTGGGCTACACAGACCTCCTGTGGTCCATGGACCACCAATTGGGAGCCACGTGTTATTAATGTGTTAACAACAAAAATCCCTGCTACCAACATAAACTGGTAACTGACACCATTGCAACAAATTTTTGCAAGCCCTGTTGCGGGTGTAGCCAGGATTTATGTGGGGGGTGGAGGGCAGGCTTCATGTTAGATTTTTATTGATTTACTTGATTGAGGGGGGCTGCCTCCCTTTCCCCCCCGGCTACGCCCATGCACTCTGTGTATGTTAGAATTCCTGCTCCATGATTAGTCGTGGGATTGTTGTCTATCACATGACGGTATATGTTTTGACTCCACAGAGTGGGAAGTGACGGAGACAGGATGTTTGTGTTACTGTGTTCTGTGAAGTGGGACAATTGTCCTTTGCTCTTTTTCTCTTTGCTGTCTGATACTAGAGAGAGAGGGAGGCATGTTGCAGTGCTCCGTGTGTGTTTATATGTAAATAAAGTAAAGGGACCCCTGACCATTAGGTCCAGTCATGGACGACTCTGGGGTTGCGCTCATCTCGCTTTATTGGCCGAGGGAACCAGCGTACAGCTTCCGGGTCATGTGGCCAGCATGACTAAGCTGCTTCTGGCGAACCAGAACAGCGCACGGAAACGCCGTTTACCTTCCCGTCAGAGTGGTACCTACTTATCTACTTGGACTTTGACGTGCTTTCGAACTGCTAGGTCGGCAGGAGCAGGGACCGAGCAACGGGAGCTCACCCCGTCACGGGGATTCAAACCGCCGACCTTCTGATCGGCAAGCCCTAGGCTCTGTGGTTTAACCCACAGCGCCACCCGCGTCCCTGTAAATAAAGTAGATTAACCAAAATGCTGAGTTGCTGAGGTCTGTCACACGCATGATGTGCAAACTCTGCGAATTCCTAAGTGTGCCGGTGTCTGTTGGCATCAGCTGCTGCGATGTTCGGGCAGAAGAAAGCTTTTGAAGCTCCCAAACGAAAGACCAGGAGGGAGAGAACATGCCAGTCGGGCATGTGTCTCTGCCAGGATCCTACTCGAGTGTAGGATGAGCTCCGGACAGTGTAGGCTCTTCAAGTTCCAGCCAGGTGATTGTTGGACCTTCGAAGTGCCACACGCTAGGCATGATTTAATTTCAAACTATGTGGGCTAAAACTGGCCATCTGATGGCAAGCGATAGATAGGTGGGCAGTCCCACCCACTTATCAAAGTTGGCCTGCAGCGATGAGTTTCCCAACTGCATCTTTGCTGCTGGCTTACCTGCCAGTTTACTGGAAAGTCAGCAGAGAGCTCAGAGGACAAGGAGCAGCCGCCAGCACTGATGGCTGTAGTACTAAGGAGGGGGGCGGGAGCAACTTGTTGAGACACCCACCCCCTCCATAAAAAGGGACTTGTGGCCCTGATAACATCCTCACGCATACACCATGCAAAGGGAGCAGAGACTCGACAAAAACAAGAGGGGATGAGACAGGTCACTTTATGGAAACTCACCTCCAAGGTAGCTCGGCTGAGGCACTGAACCCTCCGACATTAGGTAATCTGAGTGGATAGAAGCAGAATACAGTGGTACCTCGGGATACGGATGCTTCAGGTTACAGACGCTTCAGGTTACAGACTCCGCTAACCCAGAAATAGTACCTCAGGTTACAAACTTTGCCTCAGGATGAGAACAGAAATTGTGCTGCGGCGGCAGCGGGAGGCCCCATTAGCTAAAGTGGTGCTTCAGGTTAAGAACAGATCTCCAGAACGAATTAAGTTCTTAACCCGAGGTACCACTGTATTTAAAAAATACTTAACTAGAAGGGAGAGAAGAGCTTATAGGCTCTGAACAAGCTTTATGAATATCGCTCTGGTGCATAGAAAGTAGGGAATGACGACCCCAGAAGTGGCAGCTGTTATTATTAATTAGGTTTCTTTAATCCCCTCTGTCCTCTCAAAGGAGCTCAGGGTGTCAAACAAAAACCTGAGCCCAGTGAAGTCATTTTCATTTATGGATTTGGATTTACACCACTCCCTTCCATCAGTTCCCAGGGCAGCTAATTAAGTTTTTATTATTTATTATTATTATTATTATTATTAATAATAATAATAATAATTTTAGTATTTATACCCCGCTCATCTGACTGGGTTTCCCCAGTATATGAAAAACACAATAAAACATCAAACATTAAAAACTCCTAAATTTTTATTCCAGCATATATTAAAACCAAAAGTTGGAATTACAAATATTACAATATAAAAGGTAAGTGGAAAAGCTGTCACTAGAAGTAAAACACCAAGCAGCATAAAAAAAAGGATTCACAACAGGCTTTAGAAGCTTGGAAAAATCAAATGATCTTTGCCTGGGGGCGGAGGCCAAAAGCGGCATCGAAGTCGACACCAGGCGAGCCTCTCTGTGGGAACATTCTGTAATCTGGGAGCCACCACTAACTAGGCCTTTAGCTCTGTATCTGCCTGCCATAGGCAAAGTAGTGAGGCCATCACAGGGGTTAGAAGAACTTACCTCGATGTTCTTCTCCCCCTGGCTGGTTCTGGCTAAAAGCAGATTCTTTCCAGGAAGCGGTTTCTCGGATTAACTGGGAGTCTGGCACAAGGTGTTCTGCAAGGAAGCAATGTTTGCATATTTAGACTCGTGGGGTGGGGATCGATTGATCTGTTCCACCAAACACAATCTCACCACGGGGTAAATTACATCTCTGCATGCAATACACAGGGAGACCCACTGCGTCCCTACCCACCCACCTGGGACCCCTATACTATACAGGCTCTCTTTTCGCCTCCCTCACAGCAAGGTTTTGGGCAAGTTACACCATCTCCACGTTCTGCTTACTCTGGTGAGTTTTCTGGTGCAAGGTCAGATTCTTCCGCAAGGCAAACCCCCGCCTGCAGTCATGGCATTCGTAAGGCTTCTCTCCTGTGTGGGTCCTCATGTGCCCGATAAGAGCATATTTGGAAGAGACTATTTTCCCACACAGGGGGCAGGTTGCTTTTTTCTTCGCCGTCTTCTTGTCACTTGCTGTTTTGAAGCGAGAGGAGGAAAAACAGGAAGCTGTCTTAGACAATAACGCAAGGAGATCTTGCTGGACCTAGTCCAATATCTGTCAGTTTGCATTTCTTAATGCCTAAAGGATTGATCTGATGTGTAGAGATCTTTCCCATTCTGAATAATACAAGAGGATTCTAGAAGCTATTAGAAGCTTCTCTGTGTGAAAGAAGCAGGCAGAAAGGTCATGATTGTTTGGGTTATACCTTCTGGGAAGCTGGTTTGAACTAGTTCTCTTATCTCTTCCAATTAAGATCATGCTGACTATAAATATAGGCCAAAGGGAGCCTGCGTTTTACTTTCGCTTTCTCTCTCTCTCCCTTCTGGTGTGGTGTTCAGTACATAGTACAGTGGTACCTCGGGTTAAGTACTTAATTTGCTCCGCAGGTCCGTTCTTAACCTTAAACTGTTCTTAACCTGAAGCACCACTTTAGCTATTGGGGCCTCCTGCTGCTGCTGCGCCACCGGAGCACGATTTCTGTTCTCATCCTGAAGCAAAGTTCTTAACCCGAGGTACTATTTCTGGGTTAGTGGAGTCTGTAACCTGAAGCGTATGTAACCCGAGGTACCACTGTATGCTTAGTGTTAAGTTTTAGTCTTGTTATAAGTATTTGGATGTATTCTGAATGTATTTGGATTTGTGACCATTACGATCATTTGCCTTCAGTAGAAAGTAAAGCTCTGCTGGATGAAATACAATTATTGGAGTACTACAATATATCCAAAACAATGGGAGAAATTGGAAGGATCTCAAAAGGGAAGATAGAAGGGGATTGGAAGGTGTTTAAAGGATACTTGCAAAACCATATTGAAAAATCAGAACTATTAGAATAAACAAGTTCCGTTTTAAATACTGAAATACTAAATAAGATGGATAACTATGTGTAATAGAAAAAGAAGCATGAAATTAGGTTAAAGGTGTGTGAAAGAAAGTAATAGAAGTGGAAAGAAATTGCAATTGAGTAGATTGGAAGTCTAACACAAAGGTGGGGTGAGGGGTGGTGGGTGGTGATGGGGAAAGGAATTATCTGTGGGACTGAATGTAGGTATGTTTGTATATATTTAAGGATTGTATGAAATGTATGTTTGTATGCTTGTATATCCGCAATATGTGTGTATTAATGCTGAATTATTTTAACAATAAAAACTTTTTAAAAAAATTAAAAAAGAAGAAATACAATTGCCTCCGGTCTATTTTGGGGGACTCTGCGACATGTTTTAAGGTTTTCCTCCACACATAGGACAACATCCTGTCCTTACAGGGGCCACCCAGACAACTGTAGAAATCCCACAAGTAGGACCCGAGCACGAGACCACGCTCTCCTCCTACAGTTTCCAACAACTGGCCCTCAGAAACATCACCACCACCCACCATGAAGCCCAACCATAGTCATCATGCGTGGCAGCTGTATAGGGAATTAAACAATTTATCTACTCTAAAAAGCAGAGACATCACCTTGCCAACAAAGGTCCGTATAGTAAAAGCTATGGTTTTCCCAGTAGTGATGTATGGAAGTGAGAGCTGGACCATAAAGAAGGATGAACGCCGAAGAATTGATGCTTTTGAATTATGGTGCTGGAGGAGACTCTTGAGAGTCCCATGGACTGCAAGAAGATCAAACCTCTCCATTCTGAAGGAAATCAGCCCTGAGTGCTCCATGGAAGGACAGATCCTGAAGCTGAGGCTCCAATACATTGGCCACCTCATGAGAAGAGAAGACTCCCTGGAAAAGACCCTGATGTTGGGAAAGATGGAGGGCACAAGGAGAAGGGGACAACAGAGGACGAGATGGTTGGACAGTGTTCTTGAAGCTACCAGCATGAGTTTGACCAAACTGCGGGAGGAGTGCCTGGCGTGCTCTGGTCCATGGGGGTCCATGGGTTCACGAAGAGTCGGACACAACTAAACGACTAGACAGCAACAACAATCTACCCAGCCTAGGATTGTACCCCCTTCACTGGCAGGGGCTCTCCAGCTGATGCTTGTTCCCACTGCCTGCTACTTGAGCCTTCAGCAGAAATACCACAGACTGAAAAAAACAGATGCTCTTTCACTGAACTTCCATTCCACAAGCCCCCACAACAGAGATGGGGAACCTGTGGCTTTCAAGATATGGCTGGACTCTGATTCCCATCAGCCTGGGACACCTTTCCCTTGGTGGTTTCCTAGCTGGTTCCTCCCACCATTCCTCCACGCCTATCCAGCCCATGGCAAGAGCAGAGACAGCGGAGGCAGGGAGACAGAAGGGAGAAAATCACACAGGACTAAAAGGAACAGCAGAGGGGGAAACCCTGAGGGAGATAGGGGGAATGTTTTCAAACAAGTACAGCATCTCACAGTTCAACTGCTAGGTTTCGCACGCCACTGAGGGAACAGATGCCTCCCCCAATTTTCAAGGAGGGGTCCGACATCAGTATTTTCATCCCTCCCATTGCAAAGATCACCAGATCATGTTTGTTTTACTTTCTGTCTGTGAGAAAGGAGGGGGTGGAAACTACTCTTCCAGACTTCCATCCCTAGCACTGTGTCTGTTTTTCTTTGATCTGCCTAGAGACAAGATGGCAGTATGAGGGAGCTGTATCTCTCGTACATGTTTGCTATGTTCTTTTATTTGTTTAATCAGTAGAAATAAATCAGGTATGCAACAAAACCTCCACAGCTTTGCTTCCGTTACTCTGCTGCTTTTGAGGTGCTCACAATGTGAGTCCACTGCACCAGGATTTATTCCTCCGGAATGCTGCTCTGCTGTTCCTGCGTTCCTGTGATCGGAAGGTCGGAGAATGTGCTCCCGACACCCAGCCCATGTAGGTGCTGAAGATGTGGGCTGTATATGGGTGTACGCTCATCCAGACCCCCTTAATATTCCACAGCGGGCCCTGTTGGGCCTCCCCATGCCTGCAGCAGGCCTCACCTTTGATTGCTTTTTCTCCCATATCTTGAACCCAGGGCTCCGCTCCTTGCTCCAGCCAGAAGATCAGGGTCGGTTTGGGAACTGGAAAACCTGTTTAGGAGCAAGGCAGGAGAAAAGAAAAGGGTCATGAGGAAGACAGTGGCACAAGAGGCAAGTATAATATAGATCCCTACGCAAACTTTTAACATCCCTGGAAGTTTAAGGAGCAGAAGCAAATGGAAATGTGTGCAACAGACAGTGCAATCGTATGCATGTATACTCAGAAGTCAGCCCCACTGGTCTCAATGGGGTTTTCTCCTGGGCAAGTATAGGATTGCAGCCTTACGCTGGTAAGACCTTGTTGCTTATCTTCTTTCCCCAAAAAAACAACACACACCGCAACTCCTCTAACTCTGCTGATCACTCACTCTGGACCATGCAGGAGTGAATGTCACTATAATGTAAAATTGAATTCAGTCATCTGTGCAAGAAGGCAACATTGGTATGGCAGGATGCAATGATTAATGGAATAATCTCTCTCTCATAACTTTATAATTCAGGGTTATCATGTGAAAGCATTCATGTAAAATGTAATTCACTTTGGGAATGCATTCATTGCTACAGGATGTCCATTAAGCTTAGCAAATTAAAAAAACAACAACCAGTATCTAGTCTGGATTAATAATAATAATAATAATAATAATAATAATAATAAATTTATTATTTATACCCCGCCCATCTGGCTCGGCTTCCCCAGCCATTCTGGGCAGCTTCCAACAAAATATTAAAATACAGTAATGCATCAAACATTAAAAGCTTCCGTAAACAGGGCTGCCTTCAGATGTCTTCTAAAAGTCAGATAGTTCTTGTTCTCTTTGACATCTGGTGGGAGGGCGTTCCACAGGGCGGGTGTCACTACCGAGAAAGCCCTCTGCCTGGTTCCCTGTAACTTGGCTTCTCGCAGCGAGGGAACTGCCTTGGCGCTGTACCTCAGTGCCCGGGCAGAATGATGGGGGTGGAAACGCTCCTTCAGGTGTACTGGGCCGTGGCTGTTTAGGGCTTTAAAGGTCAGCACCAACACTTTGAATTGTGCTCGGAAATGTACTGGGAGCCAATGTAGGTCTTTCAAGACCGGTGTTATGTGGTCTCGGCGGCCGCTCCCAATTAATTAAGTGGCCATTTATTGGCATTTGTACCATACATTCTAATGACCAGTGTTGTGCTTTCCACATATACATTTAGATCTTTTACATAAATAAAACTGCTGGGAGACACGGGCAATTTAGAGTTTCCCAGGTCCTGTGACCTTGGGAAATAGTTCTTTACCCAGGGAGGCCACGTTCTCGTAGTTCTCTTGCATGACCTCCTTGTACAAGGCTTTTTGCTCTGGCTCCAGCAGATCCCACTGCCCCTTTGTGAAACAGACAGCCACATCCTCAAAGGTCACCGGCTGCTGGAAGGAAAGGAAAGAAAGCTCAGCCTCAGGCACACCACCAAAAAAAACTTCACACCTGAACCAAAACAGAGGAACAATAGATGCAACTCCCTGCAACTTGGAAAAAATGAGACCTGGCCCGTATATGCAGCAGTATATTGCACCACTGCAAATGGGGGGGAGGTGTTTTTTAAAAAAATATCGCCCTACACTAAGAGTCACCTGCAACAATAAAAACAACAATGGACTAGCAGGCAAAGGGCCAAGCTGCCTTTCCCCACTGATGTGCTTTTCTTCTATATGCAGGGTGTGGTGTTTCTGTAAATAATAATAATAATAATAATAATAATAATAATAATAATAATTTATTATTTATACCCCACCCATTTGGCCGGGCTTCCCCAGCCACTCTGGGCAGCTTCCAACAAAATATTAAAATACCGTAATGCATCAAACATGAAAAGTTTCCCTAAACAGGGCTGCCTTCAGATGTCTTCTAAAAGTCAGATAGTTCTTGTTCACTATGACATCTGGTGGGAGGGCGTTCCACAGGGCGGGTGCCACTACCGAGAAGGCCCTCTGCACGGTTCCCTGTAACTTGGCTTCTCGCAGGGAGGGAACCGCCAGATGGCCCTCGGCGCTGGACCTCAGTGTCCGGGCTGAACGATGGGGGTGGAGACACTCCTTCAGACATACTGGACCGAGGCCAGTATAATGGAAGCATTAATGGAAGTATTTTAAAAAATGGTATTCCCACTGGGATCAATGTTCTCCCATTTTATTCTATTGTATGCAATTTCTCCCTGTGTGTGTCTGTTTGTGTGTGTAGGAATTTAGGGTGGGGGGTGAGGAAGATGGTGGGAAAGTGATAGCAGACTACATCTGGTTCCACAGATTAAAAACAGACTTGTAAAAGGGGCTTTGAAGCTTCCTGGTCAAATGAGTGAGAGGGGTTTGGGGTTTCTCCCATATAGCCAAAAACCATGCCATGGTAGACCACACACCTGGGAAGACTCTACCGCAGCAACGTCCTTTTCCCAAGGAGGAGATGTTGACCTCAGTTGAAACATGGAACACTTTTCAGAGCCTGTATGAACAAGAGACAAAACTGAGGATATATTTTCAGTGAAATTTATTTATTTATTTTTATAAAAATATTTATATACAGTGGTACCTCGGGTTACATACGCTTCAGGTTACAGACACTTCAGGTTACAGACTCCGCTAACCCAGAAATAGTACCATTAGCTAAAGTAGTGCTTCAGGTTAAGAACAGTTTCAGGTTAAGAACGGACCTCCAGAACGAATTAAGTACTTAATCCGAGGTACCACTGTACCACTATTCGCAGTGGTTTACGAAAGCTATACGTAAAACCATACCATAAGAACATTAAGATAAGAAATCCACTAATTATTATGGCAGATGTGTTCTTAATTTTCTGCATAAACCTGATGGAATGGAAAAGCTTTGAACAGGTGCTTAAAGGTTAAAATGGAAGGTGCCCGCTGAATCTCTATTGGCAGCGTATTCCACCACACAGGGCTTATGATACAAAAGGCCTAGTTTCTTGTTGTCAAATGAGCCTCGACAACTTGGGGAACAACCAACGATGCTCTTAGAGCTGTGATATGAGGGTTACTTGAGATACCCTGGAGCTAAGATGTTCAGTGCTTTGGCTGATTAACAGTCTATGTCCTTTTAAATGTGTGGGTATTGGTTTGGTTTGTTTTCTTCTTGTGTGTGTTTTTATTATGTACTTTATTCTGAATTTTTATGTTGTGGATGAAGGCGATATACAAATTTAATTAATAATAATAAATACATATTCTCTCAAAATATTTGAAGCTGATAGGAATGAAAGGCATATCTGCAGAAGGGGTGGGACGCAGGAGCGGCAAAATATTATTAATACTATTTTGCCCTTTAGCAAAACAGCAAGATATGAAAAGACCGGAAGAGACAGGAACAATCAGGTTCCCTTTCCGTTTTTGCAGAAACCAGGAGACATTATGACCTAGTCACTGCCTCTCAGCCTAGTCTACCTCGCAGGGTTCTTGTGGGGATTAATTGAAGAGGCGGGGAAAACCAGATAGAAATGCAAATACTGTTAGTCAGTAAAGGGGAGAGAGAGACCCTTTAGTTTGACGCAGCCCAGCTCCTCTCACCTTTTGAAACGACAGGGGCGCAGGATTGATCTATGTTCCCTTCAGACGCCTAACACAAATTGCTAATGAATGGAAAGAATTTCAGCGGTCCCGGAAGGCAAGCAGTCGACTCATTCCAAGATTTTTGTCTGCAAATATGAAACCAACAAAAACGCCCCTGAGCGGCGGGGGTGTGGGTGGGGGACAAGAATGAATGGACCGACATTCAGGGGGTGATGCGCCCCTGAAACAACCGGAGCTTGGAGCAGGCAGGATTTTATCCAAATGAAGTCCTTTCCTCGTTTTAGAGTCGAGGTGAGATCTTTGCTTTGGGGGTGCCACCACGACACTAGACTGTGCCTGATCCTTTCCCCCATATGGATTCAGTCCAGTTCCCCCGAACAATAAGCCTCTCTCCATCCCATTCTCCGCCGCCGCCCACACCCCACATATTTCTCCCCCCATATTTCTCTCCCTTGCTTAACACCACCGCACGTCGAGAAAGACAAAAGGCAGCCCGGGAGCCGACGACGCCACCCCTAAACTGCAAAAAGAAGCCTTACATAAATAAAGCGTGCATTGAACCAGATCATTCCCCTGCGCTGGGTCTCTGCTTGCCTGCAAAGCTGAAGTCTTCAGTGCAGTCCCGCCGCTCCTCGGGGCCGCGCTCTGCTGCCATCGGGGGCGCATCGGGAGGTTCCCAGGCAGGGATCCCTCCAGCAAAGGGATCGCCCCTCTTTCCTGAAGCGGCGGCGACCCACTCCATGGCTCCGGCTCTGCATCCGAAGATCGGATCCACTAAAACACACACGCACGCTGGAAATCTATTGGCTACGGCGCGCCAGGCGCCCCCTTTCCTGCGGCTGCATTGGAGGCGCCGAGAGCAGCCGGCCTGGTCCCGGGGAATTCCGGGAGTTGTAGTCTCCGAAGCTCCACTCTTTTCCCACTAGTTAATCCGATTCAATTCAGCGCCGCCGAGACGCTGGTGGTGCTGATGCTGTAGGCAAGCAGCCCTGCCGTTTATAAAAGCTGCCAAAATGAAAGGTAAGGGAGCGAGCGGTCATTGATCCTGTCACCTGCATGACAAAGAATGGAGAATTCCCACTGGAAGGGGACGTCGGAGACCATGCAATGTTTTTTTGTTTTGAAAAAGCAGGTGCATAATAAGTCCTGTTTTCTTCTCCGCCTGAAATGGTTAGACACGCTTTCAAGGTGGGACATTAGAAGCTACCCATCAGCTTGCGCAACCGGCAAGGCAATGTGGCACGTTTTCATCAGCCTAATGCAGTTTTAAGGTCCATTCATAAGTACAGATTCGTAAATATGCTTCAGTTGCAGTTTTGAAAACGCCTCCGGTTAAAATATCAAAGTGTTTATTTTATTCATTTAACAAAAAACTTATACTGTATACCACTTGAGTGTAATAAAAACTAAGCAACCCACGAGAATTGTTATTAAAATCATCCATAAAAATAGTTGGACAAAAATAATTAAAACATTTTAAAGATAATTAAAATAACAGCAAGAGATTAAAACATGTCAATGTCTGGGTAAAGGTAAAGGGACCCCTGACCATTAGGTCCAGTTGCGGACGACTCTGGGGTTGCGGCGCTCATCTCGCTTTATTGGCTGAGGGAGCCGGCGTACAGCTTCCGGGTCATGTGGCCAGCATGACTAAGCTGCTTCTGGTGAACCAGAGCAACGCACGGAAACACTGTTTTTACCTTCCTACTGGAGCGGTACCTATTTATCTACTTGCACTTTGACATGCTTTCGAACTGCTAGGTTGGCAGGAGCAGGGACTGAGCAACGGGAGCTCACCCCATCATGGGGATTCAAACCGCCGACCTTCTGATTGGCAAGTCCTAGGCTCTGTGCTTTAACCCACAGCGCCACCCGCGTCCCAACACGTCTAGGTAGGCTTGCCTTAATAAAAGTGTTTTCAGCGGGTACCGAAGAGCAAAGGTGCTGATGTCAAGTGGCAGGGAGTTCCAAAGTGCAGTTGCTGTCACACAAGATCAATTTCTTATAAGTGCAGAATGCATGTTATAGGGTACCTGTAACAGAACCAGTTCCATAGAATGAAGCAGTATTGGGTAAACTGTTGATATGTAGAGGCCACAAACAATGCATTTTGCTCCTATTGGCCATTGATTTTACTTTGACATTGTTGCTGTTTTTAACTTGACAACATACGTCTCAAAGGTTGGGACATTGTTACTTTTGTTTGCTTTTATATTTGTAAGCCTTTTTGAGAAACTACTGTGTGGAAAGCAGAGTATAAATTGTAAAAACAAAGTAAGCTTAATGTACAATGTCTCCAGGCAGTGTTGAAAATAGCATTCAGTAAAAATGAATTGGATCCACTACGCACTTTGCTATAGCATCAGTGTGGATGTGACCTTTGTGTTTGCACGCATATACACTCACTCACACACATGTAAAATTCCAGAGTTTAGATTAGGGACAAGTAAATTCAAGAGCAGGGGGGGCAATGATGTCCCGTCCCCCCCGTGTGTGTGTGTAACCACTCCACGTTGTACAAGACAATAATCAGTTAAAGGGCACATTCTGGCTTGGAGCAGGAGCGGGGGGGACGTGAGGGGAATGAAGAGTAGGGTCATTGAGGAGTTTAGCCTGGGGAGAGTTCCAAGGGCCAGAATGAAAGGCCCCTGGGGCCACATTCAGCCCCTGGGCCTCAGTTTCCCCGCCCCTGTCCTACAGGCAGTTGACATCTCCTCCAACCAAGCTGCTGAAGAGAAGGGTGAATCCAATCGACAGGGATTCTAGAAAGTTAAGCAGCACATTTGAGAGACAGCTACACTGATTTTAACACTGCACGTGTTTCTTCCACTGAGAAATGAAAGTTGTTTAGACACTTTGCTGAAATCCACTTCTTTTCTGAAGAGAGTGAACCTGCTGGAGTCTCTGTTTTTAGTCAAGTGAAGACTGGTCTCCAGGTTTCCATGCTGACTTGGACTGCAAAAAGCGCTAAGTGCCACCCATCAGGAAATGAAACGTTGCCCTAGAGAACTGTGTTGGCCTGTGACACCACTTCCCATACTGGATTGTCACTGTGAGGTGCAGCACTGCAGGAAATGAAGAAAATTGCCTGCCTTCTTCATGCATGGCAAATTCAGTGCACCTCACATACAACCTGGTATGGGGAGGGGTGGTTAGGGCTGGGAGAAAGCTAGTGATCACTAACTGCATGAGCTGTGCAAGTGTGTAAGGGGAGAGAAGTTGGGAGAAGAGAAGGAAGAAACTGCTTAGGATTTCTGGCCAGATGTGAACACAGAATGCTACCAATTTTGTGCACTTGTAGCAGCAGTTTTTAAAAATACATAAAAGCATTACAGGGTAAGACCATTAAAAGGAAGATGCTGGGAAGAATAGCAAACGGCACAGAGTGTGGAGGCTACTGGAAAACCTTCAACAGACCACACTCATCCTGTGTAGAATTACTGAGGGGACACTGTAGGCAAATACTGAGTTACAATTATGTATGACTACAGTTAGTGGTTTCTGGATTATGAATTCAGCTCCTACTCAGCGAGTGAAGAGCACACATATAAAATGGGCTACAAATAAAGACAATCAACCCTAGAAGGCCCCTGAAGTGCTTTTGAGGCACATTTCCCTCCTTCTAATCCACACTCTCCTGTTAAAGGATGTAGTCTCAGTTACCCAAATTACTTCTGATATTCCCCCTTTTCAGTTAAACACAATGAATATTCCAAGCTCGGTGTAAATTATAGCAAACCTCTCTAACCACAGTATTTCCCCAGCATGTGACTTTAAAAACATATGCAGTGATAATTAAGGGGTTGGCTCAAATGTCCTCCCCACCTTAGCACTGAGTTATCACAGTATGTGTGTGTTGTCCACCACAGAAGTCAACATTGCACGTATAATGTAGGAGGTGGGAGTCTATCATATTAATTCAGCATCTCCAACTTGTGATGCATTTTAAGTGTAATCAGATCCATGTTCCCCACCACTTTCTTCCCACTATTATCTATTTTGTGAAAATTATATATCACTTAATTGTAGAAAACCTTAAAGTAGTTTATGCAATCCTCCTGCCCAGAACAAAGACAAGTCAAATCCTCATCTTTTACATTTTTAATGTATTTTATTTTTTAAAAAGAAAAAAAGCCCCACAAAATCATGACATTCAAGTTGGTTATTGAATTTTCCTGTCACAGTCTGTGTTTCTGGGAATTAACAGAAATTGTTTATTATTAATTTAAACCACACACCAGAAATGAGACTAAAAATCAGGCTGGAGAGTGACAAAGAATAATCTGCAGGGGACTTCATCAAAACAAAGTATGAGCAGCCCTGACTGGGGTAAAGGGAGTTATCAGGGAAGGACCCTGAGCACCTGGATGTAGAAGATCAACGAATAGTTTTGACTGGGCTCTTAAAATTGCTGGCGGCCTGAAGCTGCAGCTGGTAAGCCATAGGGTGGATCTTGAATCCGTAAAGTCTGAAATAGAAAAGTGAAGGGTTAAAATGTAAGATTCAGGGAAGAAAAGCTCAAACAGCTACCAGGTATTTCAGTAAAAGGTATGGATAAACTTCCATTAATTTTCAAACTGAACACCCATTAGGAACACATCACTAAGAGGAGGACAGTGCCAGCCTTGGTGCCCCCCACCCTGTAACTGTAGTGCCCACTTGCTGCCTTCCCTCTCCAGTTCCTTCCCTGGGGCTCATCTCAGCCCACCACCCTGCCCACCCCATCACCCACAGCACTGCCTGCAAGGCTGTGTGTAGGGAGGCGAAGGCTTCTCCCTATGGGTGTGGGGGGGGGTCCTCTTCAGCATCTCACTCCATCCCATCCAAGAACTGAGGTTCCGGCTTCTTCCTTCTCCCTCTTTCTGTCTAGGGAGGAGTGGAAGGAGTTTGCCTTCCAAATGCAAGGGCTCACCTGCCTCCTGTTTCCTTCCTTCTGGCTCTCTTCAGAAAGGAACACAGATACGTATCTGATTCTCATCATTCCCCCCCCCATTAAAAAAATAATAAAAAGTAATAAAATTAAGCAAATGGTTTCTTTGTGGACTTCAGACCACGTCACAATTTGTGGGGGGAATTGGCGTGTGAGGGAGCGTTGTTAAGGGAATGTGAGCAGCTGGGATGACTTGCCCTGGATTGTCACTTCTCCGGATGAATTGCTTATTTATGGGGTGACTAGTCTCTCTTCTGAATAGGCTCCGACCTTGGGAGTACTTTTATTACTTCTCTTCTCCATCGGGAAGTAATGTATCTCCCCCCACCCCGGAAATATCGCGAGTATAAGACTTCTCCTTATGACTATCTGGATATGGGGGTGGGGGGTTCTCTCTCCAGCATCTCCTCTCACTCTTCCGCTTTCAGTCTCCACGCCACCTCATCCAGGAATCAACACAAGGTTTGGCTGCTTCTTCCTTCCCACCTCTCTCTGTCCAGGTAGCAGTTGCCAGGACATCGCCCCATTTGCTTCTACATGGTTCCATCCTTATTTCAGACATTGTGATATATCGGTATATTGCAATGTGAAGCTGGTGTTGTAGCATGATACTGAAAACCAGATACTGCCCAACCCTACTTCATATGCAAACTATTGGGAGGCAAGCAGCCCAGCCCAACCTGAACAGAGCTGGATACCACTTTTGAGCCAGCCTGCATCTCAGCCTTCTCAGTATCTCCATTCAAGTGATGGAATGGGTAGCAATAAGCTGGGCAGGTCAGCTAAGCAGTGCTGGCCCAGCCAAAAGGCAGTTCTGCTCTCAGGCTTTCTTTTGCCACCAAGGATACCTGAGGTTTCTACTTTGTGGTAGAAACCTTCAGCAAATCCTGACTCCTTACTAGTAGGAGGATATTTTTGCCAGGAAGCTGGAATTTTCTTGGTGAAAGTATGTGTGGCTGTGGCTGCATGTGTGAGAGATTACCTCATGACTGGGTATGGCTGGCCCTCAAGCAGGTTAGTTGGAAAGGATATGAGTAACAAGCACCCAATGGAAGTAACAAGAAAAAATGTGGATTTGGTTGGCTGAATTTAAGCAGCAAGGAAGGATAAACCTGTGATCCCAATACTTTCCTGGAATATTTTCACCTGACATCTTTTGAAGCAGTCTTACCTGGGCACAAATTGGTTAGCAGGTCGTTTCGGCCGATACTCCGGGTGCACCATAAACAACATGTGGGGGAAGCCTGTCCCAAAATAGGCCCCATCTGTGTGATGGTGGCGGGAAGATTTGGGGGTGTAGACATCCATGCACTTAGGGCAGTAAAGTTTAACCATGGCCTCCCCTGGGATATCAGATAAGCCTAGGAGTGAAGAAGAAAGCAAAGTTCAAAAAAGAGGTGGCTTTGGGGCTCAGACCCAACATCAAACCTAAGTGTTGGCAGTTCTAAGATGAGCAGTTTTCAAGCCTTTTAAACAGATAATTCAACAATAAAAATTCTGAAATAGCCTGTTTGCGCAAGTATCCACCCTCAAGTTTTGATCCTACCTGCAACCCTCCTGGATTCCCTCCAATTCAGTACAACTTTATTGCACTACTCAAGAACTCTGACATGCAATTCAACTTTAGACCCCTCCCATTAGCTCCTAAAAAACCTCTTCCCCAGTACACAAACTCACCAATGGGCAGCATGGGCTGGTTCTCACAATAAACTCGGGGGCAGTAACCAAAGTCTCCTTGCTGGTATTTCTCAAGCTAGAAAAAAGAAAGTGTTTGCAAAAGAAATTAGGACTTCCTCTCCACATTGTGGGAAGACAACTCCAAAGAAAGATTGGTTAGGTCATGAGGTCATCAATAATAGCCTTTAAGGTTTTCCAAATCGGGTCTATCACTGGCCACTTAGGACAGCCAAGAGGATATTATAGTATAAGTTAAAGTGCCTTTCCCTTCTTGACTTCATTGCCTCTGATCTCAATGTGGCTATATTAGCATTAGCAAATAAGTTACAGGATGACCTGCTTATACAACAGCATAGACATTCACCATTTGGGCAATTCCACGGTTTGTGAGGATGTAGCGGGCATGGATGAGGCCGTAGAGCATTTCAGCTGCCTGTTCAATCAAGTCACTCTGGTTAGGGTTGTCCTCAAGCTCCTCATCTACAAGAGAACAGGAAAAAGTCAAGAGCTAATATAAGAAAAGTACAGGAGGGCCATAGAGACTCTGACAGAGAAGAATGAAGGTTCCCCGTCATGTGCTCGAGTCCACTGCTGAAACAATTGATCATCATCATCCCACCCCTCACCCTAAGGACCCAGGGCAGGTTACAACATTAAAGCACAGTATTAACAACATTTTAAAACACCTTACAATCACAGAAATAAGGTGGGTCAAAAAATTATACACCTCAAGAGTCAAAAGCAAGGGTAGAAAGATGCATCATCTGATATGAACAGTTTCTAAGACCACATTATACCTCAATGCTAGCACTGCACATGTACAATTAGCACACCAAATTCTAGCTGTACAACTTATTGACAAAACATATTCACTATTTTTGCCAGATGTACAGAATAATTAAGGAGGGAAAGTATCAGAAGTCTTTATAGGTTTCTGATCTTGGCTTCTCTAATAAGACTATGGGTTGTATCTAACAAAGCAACTGCTTGCACAACTGAACTCTCCACTCCCTGCTCTAGCGGTTCCACCAAACCACAGAGATTTGCGGGGAGTGGCGGGGGGGAGTGGTTCTGTTGTGTGAATGGAAGCAGTTCTGCTCATGCAATGATTTTGTTGGGTTCAACCCAATGACATCTATGCTATTTATCAGATACATGAAATAGGCAACTTCATATGGAAAGACAGAATATAAATTAAATTTAAAAATATTTAATTAATATTTAATTAAGAACACATAATCAGGATTTCCAAAAGGTATGGTTTCCAAGGCAAGCTGCTCCACAGAACTGGCCCAATAATTTACATCCTTGCAAATACTTAACCTCTGCTTTTAATGAAGTCTCAGAAACTTCAATTCCAGTTCCCCATGTGCACTAATGTTAGAGTAGAAAATCAGAGGAGGATTTTGACATTCTGAGCAGTATGCACAATTTTGTTTTAGCAGAATACAAAAAAATATTTTTAGGGTAGTATTTAACTAGCCCTCTCTTGGTTTGTTTGCCATTTTTTAACAGGAAGTTGTCTCAAATTAATAATCTCACAGACAGGCTTTCAGAGATCTGTGCTTTATGTAGATTAATAATAATAATAATAATAATAAATTTTTATTTATACCCCGCCCTTCCCAGTTTAAAAACTGGGCTCAGGGCGGCTAACAGCAAATATAAAACATTGATTAAATATAACTTAAAAACAGCATCAATATAAATAAAATTCAAAAATTCAGGGGTCATGGGGGGGGAACCCAGTCAGTAGACATCAAATGATCACCAGGGCTAACTGCCCAAGTTGGTCCTACTAGGGCCAGCAAGGAGACCAGGGAAGAATTTAAATGTGGGGTCCCAGAAACGGTTTCTTCATAGAAGAGGAAAGGGAAAAGGGAATAGAGGATCAGGTTAATTCAAACTGAAGGCCAGGTGGAATAGCTCTGTCTTACAGGCCCTGCGGAAGGAGATCAAGTCCTGCAGGATAAACAGAAGCACCTTGCCACTAATAATAATAATAATAATCTTGTACCCATGCTATGTAAATTCTTATTACACACCAAAATGAAACTTGAAGTCTAGTCATTCCAAAATATGCAAGATGCTTTAGGGTAGCAGTGTGCCCTCATTAGGATAACCCTGTGACCACTGACCACATTTACTCTTAGTCCCAAATGTCAGGTGGTCTGAGATGTAATCAGTAAAACAAAAAGAACCATCTCTCACCTGGTTCCAAATCAAGGATCATATCCAAGGCCTGGCGATAGTGGGGAACTTGCTCATTGAGGCCAGTCAGGTTGAACTTGTCTTGGATGTAATCTTCATCTACCTAGAATAGAAATAAAAAATACTCAAACTGAAGATCAGCCAAATAAACTATTGTCTCTACCAAGTGACCTATTCTGACTTCTCAGATACCCTCAGTCTATTTGACATCTCATCCTATACTCACTCACTGGGCAGTAAGCTCCATTGAACTCAGTGGCATTGGGGTTTTTTCTGAGTAGACAAGTACAGCATTACAATGCAAGTAACTAGCTTCCTAAGATTTCCATGAACTTCCAACTAATATATAAAACTCTTCATCCTCTCAAGAAACCCAGGAGTCCTTGTTCACTGCCAACACCCTTCCTACTACAGAGTTAGGATATTTTTTTGTAGGGGGGGAATCATGCCATTTTGCTCCCAGCCCCTCTTACTAAAACTACATGCAAACGTTGTTGTTTAATTGTTTAGTCGTGTCTGACTCTTCGTGACCCCATGGACCAGAGCACGCCAGGCACTCCTGTCTTCCTCTGCCTCCTGCAGTTTGGTCAAACTCTTGCTGGTAGCTTCTAGAACATTGTCCAACCATCTCGTCCTCTGTCGTCCCCTTCTTCTTGTGCCCTCCATCTTTCCCAACATCAGGGTCTTTTCCAGGGAGTCTTCTCATGAGGTGGCTGAAGTATTGGAGCCTCAGCTTCAGGATCTGTCCTTCCAGTGAGCACTCAGGGCTGATTTCCTTAAGAATGGAGAGGTTTGATCTTCTTGCAGTCCATGGGACTCTCAAGAGTCTCCTCCAGCACCAGAATTCAAAAGCATCAATTCTTTGGCGATCAGCCTTCTTTATGGTCCAGCTCTCACTTCCATACATCACTACTAGGAAAACCATAGCTTTAACACGCAAACATACTAAGGTCTTAATCCCAACTCACCTCACAAAAGAATTCATTGCCACGCATGGAGAACGGTGGTGGCAGCATCCCAACTCCTAGCTCCCAGCCCCTCTCTCACAAAATCCACACACACATTTGTTGAGGCCTTCATCCCAACTCACCTCACAGAAGAACTCATTGCCACGCAAGCCACAGAACCAGGAAATCCAGGACACTTCCTCAGAGCTACTCATCTTCCCGTCCTCTGTAGAAAAAAAAGGTGCATCAACAGCCACATTTGCACAACCACTAACACACCTTCTCTTCCAGTTTCACCAGGAAACAGCTCCTTTATAAAAACACTTCTTATGCAAAGCACTTCAGTGGGTATAGAGAATTTCAGCGCACCCTGTTCCAAGTCAGAAAACACACCCTTTCATTTCAGTGACTGCAGACCGGTATTAGAGGAGAAGCCAACGTGTTCCCTTCTACTTGAACGGCATCTCTCTCTCTCTCTCTGTTAGAACTAGGAAAAAATCCCTTTGCAGACTAGTTTAACCTCTACCCATGCCCTGCCCTTCTGCACAGAATTGTGAGACCGACACAACTCTTCCTCCCCTTGCTTTCTTGTTTTCTTTCTTTTTTTGCCTATGGCAGGCTCCCAAACGCCCTCCCTTAATCTTGCAGGGCCGTCTCCGTTGCCTAAAATTCCTCCCCTCTACTTTCTGGAGAGTAACCTCCTAAATATATGTCTCAATAACTCACCTCAGGGGGCTCAATTGCCTCAAGGAGAGGAACACGGGGTGCAAACAAGCTTTGGACCGCTAAGGCCTCTGCCAGTTTCCACCGCGCACGCGCCACTCTCACTGATGAAAGAGCATCACGGGACAGTAGTACTTCAGAATAAGGCTGGAGTTAGCAAACAAGATAGAGGAAACTACAAGTCCTAGAGGGCAGCCGCGAAGGAAATGGCAAGCACGTTCTGGGCCGCGGAGCACACTGGGATTTGTTGTCCAAAAGCCCTTTAAGCCGCTGCGCTTTGAGAAGAACAGGTGTAGGTGGAGTGGTCCCAGACGATCAATGAGAGGCGTCTAGGTAGAAAGGATGTAAAGTTTGCCTATGCCGCGCTAACCTATAACGAACGCATTATGGTAAATATGGTCAAATACTATTTCAATTTAAAAGGAGACAGGAGTAGGAGAGTTCCTAAAGAATCGTCATGAGTGCTTGAGACGGAAGCCTCCTTGGTCAGATAAACTTGCCATAATTGAAATAGCAGCCCGGAGCTCCAAGAAACTTGATTTGTACGGGAAAGACGGCTCATGGATCCCCTACCACGAGCTAGGTACCGATTCAGAATTGAAGCGGTAGTTGCAGCTTTCTCTTACAAAGCGAGGAAAAAGAGGGCGGCTATCAGGCGCGCATCACGATAACTTCCTGCGCCGTCAGCCCGATGCAAATCCTCACCGCCGCTCGTATTTGCCCCGATTGAAAAGCAGGCGGGCATAGCCTGGGGAATAGTTTCTCGGACGGTGGGGTGGAGATAGCGAGCAGATGAAAACATATATTATAACCCCATGGGAGGAGGAGAATTGGAAGCAAAGCAAAGTGGGTCTGATCCTATCTGAAGGCAGCGCATATTTAAAATACATATTAAATATGCGGAAGAGAGCAAGTGCGTCCACCGAGCGAGAGGGAAAAGTGGGAGGCGCAGAAAAAGCAGGATTGTGGGGCCAAGCATTAGCTGTTATTTTTATGAAGCGCTCAGATTACTGGAATGCAGTCCTCGAAGGAAGGACTGAGTAAAAGCTAATTATAGAAAAGGAAGGAGGGAAAAGAAAATAAGCCAGCTGATTTCTTAATACATAATAGGCACTGTTAGGTATGCTCCTCCCTAAAAAGAACCAAGAAAGTCCTCTATGTGCCTCCATTAAACAGCAAAGACGTTTTAATCCCCCACCCCCTCTGTTAAAAGTCTTTGGAGAATATTTTTTCCATTCCAAGTCCTACAATTTAGGATCTGAATCGCCCAATTTGGTCTTCTCTCTTGAGCATCATCATCATCATCATTATTATTATTATTTATTTTATTTATTTATACCCCTGGGTTTCCCTAGCCACTCTGGGTGGCTCCCAACAAGAATATTAAAAACACAATAAAACATCAAACATTAAAAACTTCAGATTTTAACCATCCTCATGAGGTTTTGGTCATCAGCATACATATGGGATCTACTCTTCCAGGTCTCCCACCTGTGGTACCTCCTCATTTGCTTGCAATGACATCATCATTCATTAATGCATATTTAGCAGGAGTCAAGAGTTTGAAGAAGAGAGACCAGAAAGTGAAGCATACATTGACCGTAGCGACAGAGCACCCATACACTGCACCCGCTGTCCAAGGCCAGTGAACTGCCTTGTGGAGAGATGGGGAGTGGGTGCACTTATGAGGCCAATCCACAACCTCCCTAGGATCCAGTGGTGGCTTATGGAACCTAGACCGGGTCCAGCACCTAGGAAGTGATGTTGGTGGTGCCCAGGTCCCCATCCTCCTCCTCTGTGAGTAATTTTGTCTACTACTAAGTCAGCCACTCTGTGGCTTGTTTCCCAGTTTAGTTCAGGGAAGAATTTGGTGCCGCTTCCTCTCCAGTAAGTGGGCAGAGAATTTCAGGCAGCATACATCATTCACCAAAAGAAAATTATACCATTTACCCCAGTATGTACAGTGAGCATCGTGGCTGCATGACGTTTTGAATCCAGGCTCTAGCCCAACAGTCTTAGTACTGACCCTGTAGATTTCAGTACTTCTATAAGTTACAGTACAATATAAATTGCCATTGTATACTAACTATACTTCAATTTCCTGGAGCTCTTCCAATAATTTATGGCATAGATTAGAAGTGGCACATGAAGGGGCAACGGCAGAGGCGCTGGGATGAGGTGGAAGGAAGGTTGGGGGAACTTTGGTGATTGCAGCAGCTTGCAGGTGTGGGCCCTCCTGCTGGCAAGATGGGGCAACTGCAGTAAAGTGCTATGCTTCATTCTGTACTGCATATGTTATCATTTACTTTACAGTGCAATCTCTAAAACATGTTTCCTTGTATTTAGTCCCATGGAGTACAATGGGACTTGCTCCCAGGTAAATGCATATAGGTTTGCAGCCCTAATGCAGGATTTATCAGCAGGTCCAGACCAACTGAAAAATCCTGATGGGTTTGCTGATGTCTTTTAATGTACATTTTAAAATACTCACTAAATAATTGCAGGACAGACTTTAGGCTTGTGAGTTTGGGATCAACCTTGTGATTTACTAGGAACCCAAGAGTCACCAACTGTAGCCATTCTTTTAAGCAGTTTGGCTGCTTGTTGTTGTTGCAGCACCATCCTCAAATGTTTTCATATATAAATACTTAATACATTTAGAGCTGCAGTTATATAGCTACGTCTAGGAACAAGTTCTATTGAACCCTATAGGGATGACATCAGAGTAGAGAAGTATAGGATTGTGCTGGCACTTCCCACTCAAAATTTAAATTAAGTTAAAGAAAACTGTTTAGCTTAGCTTTCAACATAAGCCTCCAGAATTCTCTTCAACTGGAAGTGATAGGGCCAAGTCACTTCTATGAGGGCAGTGCTTGAATTGGGGGGATGGGAGAGTTGGGGGGGGGTACCAATGAAATTCACAAATCACATCTCCTGACATCCTCCCTCACAACTTTAGTCATACCACTCCCATAATTTTCTAAAAATTGTAGCTAAAGGGGCAGTCACAAAAGGAAAGTGGCTGATCCCCCTATAATTCACAGACTACATGAAGAGCAACTAGATTCATTTCCCACTATCCAGTACAGGCCTCCCATCCACAGTAAGTTACCATCCCTGATGCTGGTGCTGCTTCGCCGACTCATTCTGTCTGCAGTGCCTGTTCTCAACATGGCTGTCATTTTAGGTTTTCTCTTAATTTGCCATGCCTGTTCAATGGATATAAATATATAAAGATCAGCATTTATTTTATATAGAAATATATTTTTCTACCTCTCTACAGCAAAAATGGTTGCCAGATCAGCTACTTCTCCCAGGTTTACAATATAACAGGCAGGTACAACAGGGGGAAAATGGGAAAGGGAGGAGGACAAGTAACTTTAGCCAATTGTTCAAGTTATATGAGGGTGCTTATAATAACCAACTGAAGTGGAAATTTGGATTTTCCAAGGACAAACTTTCCTTTCCCCTTCTGAACCACTTGGCAAGATAACTGGCATAGTAACAATTGAGCCTAAACCAAATGACTAATACTTAGGTCACTTGGGAAGTTCTGTTCCGACCAGTGCCTTCATCAGTCACCACAGCCTTTTTACAAAAAACTTACGTAACTGAAATTTTTCTCTTATGGTTAGCTGCCTTGAGTTCCGGTTATTGTGCAGAAAGTGGGGGGTGTCAGTCAATGTTTTATATAAATAATTGTTACATTCTACCACCTTAGCCTTCTTTAATTAAATTAATATCACTGTAACATGTTTGATAATTTTGGTTCATTTTCAGTTCAACATTTGTCTGAATTAGTTCAGTTTTAAGTTTTACTTTTACCACATGTCTGCCTAAATCATGATTACTGAAATGGTCTGTTGGATGCTTTTTAAGAGCCTTTTTTTAAAGTACAATTCTGCACCCATCCACACACACCCACACCCCAGTATGGATGGCATGGGGAACTGGATGGCATGGGGAACTGGATGGCATGTAGCCACCTCTCTGCCAGCCTGTATTAGTGAGGAGGATGAACACTGGTTGGAGGGCGGCTTGCCATAGCCGAGACTCTTGTTTTGTCCATTTTGGTGGGAAGCTGTTGCTGGTAGTTTTAGGCTGAAACAATTATGACTCTGGATCCAAAGCCGCAGAGATCACCCCCAGCTACACCAGCCTGGCATCCACACACACAGCAAATAATAATGCCACCCCACCTTCCACAGGCCAGCAGGGGTTGGGATATGTCGAAGAATTTGCTGTCTTGCTCCGACACTCCCGTTTGGATTGCTGTTGATTTGTTGCAAGGAACTTTGACGTTCTTTACCTGCTACAAACTCACTTTAAGGGTGATAACACTAGAAAAGGGTTATATAGATCAGCCTTAATTGGGTTTATTTGCGTATCACCCCCTTTCTGGCAAAGTGGGTTTGCGACAGATACAGAACCTGACTAAGACGGCAATCCTAATTCCTGTTTCCTGGATTCAAAATCCTTTGAATTCAGCAGGAATTATTTCTGAACAGACTAGGTTAGGGCCACACCGTAAAATTAAGTTATGAGCAACTAATTCCCACCCACCCCTCTCCACTCACTCAACACAGGGTGAGGGCAAAATGGCAAATTCTTGTTGAAAAATAAAATGTAAAACCAACACATTCGCAAGTCGCTTGGGAAAGCTGTTTTCTCACAAGTCTAGTGGGGCATGGTGCCTATTTTTTAATTTTCATTAATATGGTCCCTTTTCTTAAAAAAAAAAAAAAAGAGCTTACTCTCCAGAAAAAGCAGGAGCTATGAGGGATGAGTGAGCCTGCAATATGCAAATTGCGTTAACCGTTAACTGCCGAGGCGCGAAAACGCTTGGCACGTGACTGCTCCTCGCGCCGGAAAAGGCGGGAAAGCGCGCAAGGCAGCAGTCCGCGAGAACAACCGCCGCCGCCCCCTCCTAGGAGCAGACGGCGCATGCGTTTCCATTGCGACGGCGGAGCGCTTCATAGGACACCCTACTGCGCAGGCGTCAGGTACAGGGAAGGCGGCTTTAACCCTGCGTAAACAGGCAACTTTGTATCCGCTCGCCAGCTGCTGCTAAACAGATCCAGCTTTCTCCAAGGCATATGCTTCTACGCCTGCGCGCCTTACCCCACCGTCCCCGGCGTCCCAGCTTGGCACATGCGCGTTACAAGCCTTTGCTAAGAATTCTGTGAGCGGCGCCATAGAGGTTGTTTTGGAAAGGGTAGAGTGACCCGCCGTCTGAATTTCCGGTGAAGGAGAACTGGGTGAGTGTGTTCCTGGGTGGTAAGGAAAGGCCAGAGTTGGTAGGGCTTGTGTTGGGCTTCCCAGAGGCGGAGGGGGGGAGAGAGCAGCCCCCCACCCCCATTCCTGCTTCGGGGGTGGAGGGAGACCTAGGCTTGATTTCCTTCGCCCAGGGATCTGGGTGAAGCTCTGGACTCTGGGTTAAAAATGTACACATTTTTATGTGTACATTTAAATGTACACACCACAGACATTCAAAGCAAACAAACGCAAATCCTGGGAACTCGTATCTTAAGGGTGCTGGGAATTGTAGTTCAGTGGGGTGTGAACTATAGTTCCCAGGGTTCAGGAGGCTGCAGGTGGGAAGGTGCTCAGTGTATATCAGGGGTCAGCAGACTTTTTCAGCAAGGGACTGGTCCACTGTCCCTCAGACCTTGTGGGGGGCCGGACTATATTTGGAGAGGGGGAAATGAACAAATTCCTATGCCCCACAAATAACCCAGAGGTGCATTTTAAGTAAAAGGACACATTCTACTCACGTAAAAACACGCTGATTCCCAGACCATCTGTGGGCTGGTTTTAGAAAGGTGACTGGGCCAGATCCGGCCCCCTGGTCTTAGTTTGCCTACCCATGGTGTATATATACAGCCAAGGGTTAGGTTGGAGGTGAGGAGCGGCCTGAGATCCTCAAGAGATTCTCCCACCCAGGTCCCTGTTTTCCCATACCTGCCACCCTTCCTACTTCTCTGGGCCTGACCACCTTATTTCTGGCAAGCCTTTCCCAAAGATGGTTTCATTGCTTCAGCACTTCCTCCCAAACGCTGAACGCGGAATGGCAGGCTCTCCTTCTTCCTCGATGGCTTTGAAGCAGAGGTCGGAGGCCCATCTGTCACGGACGCTTCTGCTGAGATTCCAGCACCGCAGGGCGGTTGGACTAGACGACCCTGGGGATCCCCTTCCAACTCTGCAATTCTGTTATTCTCTCCAACCTGCTTCTGCAAGTTTTCTCAGGTGGCCTCTCAAGCAGGGCTTCCGTTGCTGATCTGTAACACTAAGGATACCTGGTTGAACAACAAAGAACACAGTATCTGATGTAGTGTTCAGCATCATGAGAATCTTCGTGGAGGTTTTAAAAAATCCGTTTCTAGCCATTATGCTTATGAGAACAGGCTTAAAATTATGTGGGTGGGTGCCAGCTTAGAAGTTAGAGTACTTAAGCAGGATTTCAAGTAGCTGGAGAGCAGATCCATCGTTGTTCTTCCTGACTCTCTGTATTTCCTAGACATGCCTAACAAAATAAGCAATTTCATGCAAATTTGATTTGAGATATTGGCCTGGTTTGGATAACTGTTTGAAGCCCCATAAACCATGGTTTGTGAAACCATAAAAGAGTGTATGGGCCAAAGCACCCTCTGCTCATTCCTCTTCTCTTCATCTTCTATTGCATATTGTCTTTAACATGAACTCAGAGCTCTGGTTTAATATAAGGCACAACAGGTGAAGCGAGGAACCCTCAGCCCAAGCACTCATTCACAGCTTCATAAACCATGGTTTATGAAACAATGGAACAGTTGTCCAAACCATGCCATTGAACTGAGCTTTTATTAAAGTTTGCCTTTCTAGCACAGAATACAACATGTACTTATCCAACAACAACAAAAACCTGATTATTATTTTTTTAAAAAGAGTGTGGAATCCTATGGTTTTCTACCGATAAACAACTGAAGCAAATATTTACATTTTATTTTATTTTTCATAACTTATTCTGGTTTTGCCAGTCACAGAGAGGGGCAAGGAACGATGCAAAGCACGGAAGACCCCCACCCAACCACTGGAAATCTTGCTCTGCCATATTTCGATGGCTTCAGTCATTTCAGCGGCCATTTGTGTGCATGCTTTAAAGCATGTCTTCACAAGCTAAAAGCACTAGAAATTTCACTTTTCAGAAACATGGAAACATGGATTCTTAGGTAGTTGCTGCGAAATTACTGCACACATTCAGCCTTTATTACTTAGCAAAAAAATGGGTCTTGGTGTAACACGTAATTCTCTGACTCTTCTTTCAACAGGCTGCGAAGCTCCAGGTTGCAGTTTTGGCTTTATAACCAGAGCCACCCTCTTCCAACATGAACCACGGTCCTCAGCTGATTGCTTTTACTCGTGCCCAGGAGGAATCAGATCTCTGGAGAGATGGGCAAGTCCAGAAAAAAAGCTGCAGAGGCTCCCGTCTTGCTGGCCAGGAGGAAGGGAAAACAGCAGGTGAGGCAGCTCGCAGCTTCTATGAGAGCCTTTTGGAAGCTCCAGCTAATCCTGCGAGACCCCCACATAGGAAGCGAAAGGCGCCTTGCGTACGCCACCGACCTGCGCAACAGCTTCAGCCCGTCCAGAACCACCTGGGACCAACAAGTAGCCGCACAGGGAACAAGTTCCTGAAAGCCGCCCAGGATGGCGACCTGAAATCTCTGCGGACGCTGGCGGAGAAGGAAGGGTGTGATGTGAACTATAGAGATGATTATTACTGGACAGCGATTATGTGTGCAGCTTACGCTGGACGGGTGGAGGCTGTGAGATATCTCCTGAGCCGCGGCGCTGCCTGGGTAGGGGTCTGTGAGCCCCAAGGCCGGGATGCTATGGATTTGGCTGAGGAGGCAGGACACCAGGATGTGGTGGACGCCCTACGGGAGAGTGAAAGGCCACAGGTGAAGGAGGAACCCTCCAGGTGAGCTTTCTTGTTCCTGAGAATTCAGCTAGGGCTCCTTTGGGAGGAAGAGCAGCATATAAATGTAATAAACTAAATATCCAGTTACTGTCTGGAGAAGAAAGCATCTGAATGGGTTTGCTTTTAAATGCTGCTTTGGACTATTCCAGAAACCCAGAGATACCTGCCAATAAAACTGCCACAGTTTTAAGAGATTCCCATCCACTTAAGACACTTCAACTGACCATCAGTTGTGAACATCGAAAGATCTCCCAGAGCATCAGTAGTCAATATGTGGCTGGACTACCAACTCCCAGTATCCTTATCCAATGGTTCTTGATGGCTGGGGCTGATGGGAGTCCAAAAGCATCTGGAGGGGCACCATATTGGCCACCCCTGCTATAGAGACCATTCCCTGTCACAAACTGTTCACCCCCTTCCTAGCATATCCAGGCCTTACATCCTTCTTCCCATATCTAGGCCCCAAATCACTAGAAGAGCTTGGTTGGAACCAACCCTCTTGACTTCGGTTTGCATTTGTGTTGTTTTAAAACTTCTCTCAATTGGTGTTTTAAATTGTTTTTATTGTTTTTCTGTATGCTTGTCAATGTGGGAAAGAGGATTCATAAATGATGATGATGATGATATCTTCATCCAGGCAGCACAGACACAGTGGGTAGGCATTCACATTTTTCCCTTTCTCAAGAGAAGTCTGTATTTGTGTTTCTTCCTCACTTTTCCCTGTAAGATGCTCTTTGAGGGTTCCTACAGTCACAGTTTGTGTGAATGCGGCTTGCCTTTCTCCAGTGTAATTTTCCTTTGTTCTCCAGTCCGCAGCCACCAGCCGAGAGGAACTACTGTGCCGTGTGCCGGACGCACTACAGCGAGGACACAGTGGCATTGCACGAGCGCTCCACTGCTCACCTCTTCAACCGGCGCGACCCGCTGCCCCCCACACGCTACCACATCCCAGAGAACAACGTGGGCTTCCGGCTGATGGTCAAGGGAGGTTGGGATCAGGAAGCTGGCTTGGGGCCTGAGGGCACTGGCCGCAAATTCCCGATCCAGACTGTCCTCAAGCGAGATCAGAAAGGCCTGGGCTTCTGCCGTGACCTCAGACCCAAAGTCACCCACTTTGACGCTAATGACTCCAGTGCAGTGGAGAGGCCCGTAGAGCGGAGGCCCAGGAAGGAAAGAGCAGCGACGGTGGGGAAACGAGAAGCTCGCCGCAGAGAGGCCAAGGCCCAAGCTTGGGAACGCAACCTCCGTACTTACATGAACCTTGATATTTGAGCTCTTGTTGGTTAGAGGAGCTGTCTGCATAACCACTCGTTCTCCTTCTGGCCTAGTTGGAGAGACAGGACAATGTTGTAAAGGGGAAAGGTCTGCTGAAGGAAGGTACAAGGAGCAGCTGGTAGGCAGTAGCCAAAGTGGGTAAGCCAGAAAAATAAACGTGGAGTTTCCATGTGTTGCACTAGGCCATAACACTCTCAGGCATCCTTGGACCACCCAGGTAAACAGGCCCAAAGGTCAGAAAAGGCTCTTGGCTTCCTTTCAGGATCCCCAAGGGAGGCAGAAGATGAAAATCTCTCTGTTTTTCCTCCTTTCCCCGGAGATCTGTTAGCAAACAAATGTTAGCTTTCGCTCTGCACAGTCGTCGGTGTTCATTGTGCAGGGCTATGTGTACTCTGTGCTGGGAAGAAAAATAGAATTATTTGCCAACAGTGCTCCAGAACTTGCCTCACGAAAGAGCTGAATGATGTAGCTTATAGAAACTATTCAAATTAAATTACCTTATGCAGAAATGTTTGTCGTTTTGCATGCATTATTCTCCGTGACGGACATTGAGCTATGAAGAGCATGGAAGCCCCCTGGGCGTCTAACCCATTCTTGCCCCCAAGCCCTCTTAGGTCCCAGAGGGCATTTCTCATGCGTTTTCAGTATATATCACAGAATCATAGAGTTGGAAGGAACCCAAGGGTCATCTAGTCCAACCCCTGCAATGCAGGAAACATTCATGACAGATATTACAGCCATAAGGGGACTTGACTTTTAAAAGATTTTCCTCAGGAAGCTGGATCCTGCACGGTAACTTTTTCATTGACTCCATTGAGTCTCTATGTATTGTCTTGTCCAGGGGAAGTCCCCCTGGGCTACTCAAGACATGGCAATACTTGTGGTGGCTGAGCTCTTGGGTGAAGAGAGTTGTGCTTCTCCAGTTCCCTTGCACATAATTTGAAGGTGTGCTGCACTTTGATCCTGTACCAACAAATGGGGCAAGCTCCATGTCAGTCAAAAGCACAAGCAACTTGTCTTTGCAACTCTTGCTGTGCCCGCTCTCTCTCTCTCTCTCTCTCTCTCTCTCTCTCTCTCTCTCTCTCTCTGTGTGTGTCCATCCATCCGTCCCTGGCTGCCCTTCCCTGAGAGCTACACCCTGGATACCTGTTAGCCTTCCCTAGCTACAAAAACATGGAAAACAAATAAGTATGTACTGGAGACAAAACAGCAAAATAACAGGTTGAACAGCTGCTCGGGTCATGACTCATTCAGCACTTGCTCAGTGCTCCAGGAGGAGAAAGATCTGAGCTCCAACCTCTGAGTGGTGAGTTATTGAGCCTCCCAACGTACCTCCACACAAAGTAGGACTATAGCAAGGAGGCAGGACTGGCAGCCCAGATTGGTGCAGTATGTGTGTATGAATGAATGAATGAATGAATGAATGAATAAATGAATGATAAACCTAAGGAGGCAGGAGGGAAAGGATGGAAGAAGATGGGCGTTTTCTTTTGTCCATGATAGGTGAGATGGTATTAGATGAAGGAGATATGTAATCAAAAACATGGGATCCAATAAAGGATGATCTTACCTTGTCTAAAATATGACATCTCTGACAGATGTGTGGCCAGCCTTTTCTAGAAACTTTACAGGAGGTTCCTCAGCCCCTGGAGGCATTTTGTTTCAGTGCTGAACTGTTATGTGTTTGGAAGTATTGCCTTATTAAGGGTATAGGAAGAGGCTCTGCTAGATCAGGCCAAAGCCCCATCTAGTTTAGCATCGTGTTCTCGCAGTGGCTGACCAGATACCAGGCAGGACCTGAATGCAGCAGTACACTCTCTCCTGCTGTATTCCCAGCAGCCACACTGGAGGTAAGATAGCCATTATCACTAGCAGCCACTGATACCATTATTCTCTCTGAATTTGTCTAATCTTACCAAGCTGCACCACTCTGACACTTTCTTTACAATTCATTGAACCAGCCCTCTTTCCTTACAGTTCAATGTTGCGCTTTACTACTCATTGATTCCGTTCGAAGGGGCTTACTCCCAGGTAAATGTGTGTAAGATTACAGCCTCCAGCATCTTTTAATTAAACAATGTTTTAATTTATTACCTGTCCTTCACCCTAAGGTCTCAGGGCGGGTTACAACGATTAAAATGCAATTCAGTTGGTGCTGACCTTTAAAGCTCTAAACAACCTCTGCCCAGTATACCTGAAAGAGGGTCTCCACCCCCATCGTTCAGCCCAGACACTGAGGTCTAGCGCCCAGGGCCTTCTGGCGGTTCCCTCACTGCGAGAAGCGAGGTTACAGGGAACCAGACAAAGGGCCTTCTCGGTAGTGGCACCCGCCCTGTGGAACACCCTCCCATCAGATGTCATGGAAATAAACAAGTACCTGACTTTTAGAAGACATCTAAAGGCAGCCCTGTTTAGGGAAGTTTTTAAGGACTGATGTTTTATCTTGTTTTTAATATTCTGTTGGGAGCCACGCAGAGTGGCTGGGGAAACCCAGCCAGATGGGCAGGGTATAAATAATAAATTATTATTTATTATTATTAAAATACAACATTAAAAGTGGTTTAAAACAACTTGGTCACACCTCAGGTGACAAAGGCCAGAGTAAAGAGGTGTGTGTTCACCATTAGCTGAAAGCTAGAGTGAAGGAAAGGCATGCCACAACTTAGGGGCTGCCACAGAGAAGGCCTTCCCCTGGGCCATGGCCCCTGAGCTGAGTGCAGCAGAACTACCAAGAGGGCCCTCTCTGACAATATGAACACTGGCAGGGTTTGTAGGGAAGGAGGCAGTCAAGTCTCAGAAAACGTCACCATTGTCTTTTCCGAAAACCAAGCAATGCCTTTAGACTCCCTTAGCGGACTTGCCTTTGAAATGCGGCACCTTTCAAATATGTAATACATTTGTTAAGCTGTGGACCAGAGTCTACTTCCTCAGATGTGTAGACGTTATCCTGAGTTGTCAGATATATTAGAATTATATGAATAGGCCTAGAGAGAGAAAATGTGAGCAGTGAAGTCAGAGGGATATGAAAGGCAGACTCTGAAAATTGCCTAGAAGTAAATAATGGAAACTATATGCCTAGCAGTGTTGACAACACTGGGCCACAGGTTCCCCATCCCTGACAGAAATGTCAGAACCGTTTTTCAGCCCCCTGTCATCTCTCCCCTTAGATCCCATTGTGCAAATCTGGAACCAACACCGCAGGTTTGTTTTGCACTGGGAAAAGATGGCCTTCAGTTTCTCGACTTTGCTATCTCTTTGGAGCCGTGTGGACCCAAACAGTGAGCTGTTCTCGTGCCTGAATCTTGCCTTGAATCAACTGAGCCTAGAGCCCCAGTGCATAAGAAACAACGCCCGGCTTACCATTGCTGCTGACCGCAAGCTGTTAGAGTGGATTTTTGGGAAGGGTGACTGTGAGATCACCGTCTTCTGCATCCAAGACAAAGCCTAATATCATGTCTTTGTGGCCACATGGGAGCAGTACCTCGCCTGCGTCTGCTCCCAGCCCCAGCCCCTGAGCCTGGGGAGTCTTCTTACCACCCGTAGCAAGCTGCGTTGCTGGAGTTCATCTAAGAAGGCCCCATCCTTGGCTTGCTTTGACAAAGCAGTGGAGTGTTTTGCCGTGGAGCCTAGCTCCATAAAGGAAGATGCCCAGATGCTGGTGGAATGTGATGGATGGGCAGTGGAATTTATCTCTGGCCAAGGTCTGAGTGAGAACTGTGTCTTCTCAAAGGATGGCGTGGCTGGCTATAACATCAATGAGAAGAGTGAGACGTTGTTCCTAGAGCGTCTCCAAGCAGGGATTGTCCAGCTGAACTTGGAGAACTTAAGGAAGGCAAGGGATGTGATGGAGTCAGCAGGGGGCAAGAAGTGTTTTGGCGTAGCTTTGTCCAAGTTACAGCAGGAGCCCTGGTGTGTCCAGAACAATGCCAAGATGGTGGTTATTATGGGCAGCGAAGAAAGGATTGTGTTGAGCTCTGGGAAAGGAGAGAACCAGATTGAGGTGACCATCTCTGAAAAAGGGATCTGCTATGAAGTGTCTACACGGGGTGGTGGGAGCTGGTAGCCAGAATGCTGAAAAGATTCACTGAAGGCTGGTTCAACATGGGCAGCAACAGCAGGAATGGCAGCAGAGGAATCTGGAATGCAGAACAGGCCCGCCAATGATTTTCAGCACCTGGGTCTAAATTTCTCTTGAGTATTTTATAGATAGCAGGTAGAGCAATCCTCTAACTCAGGATTTGTCTTCTAGTATAACCTGGTTGTGGATTAAGAGTATTAAGCAAGTAGGTGAGCTAAATTATGACTGCAGTCCTTGCCCTGCCCACCCCATAAATAATTGTTGAGTAATTTCCAAGACTGTCCTTTCTTTCTTTCTTTCTTTCTTTCTTTCTTTCTTTCTTTCTTTCTTTCTTTCGTTTCCTTCTCATTGTCTTAATGAAACATTAGGGTGAAAAAACTTAGATGCCTTCTTTTTTCTCAGATGCCTTCTCAATGTGTATCTTCAGCATATAATAATAATAATAATAATAATAATAATAATAATAATTTATTATTTATATCCCGCCCATCTGGCTGGGCTTCCCCAGCCACTCTGGGCGGCTTCCAAAAAAAATATTAAAATACTGTAATACATCAAACATTAAAAGCTTCCCTAAACAGGGCTGCCTTCAGATGTCTTCTAAAAGTCTGGTAGTTGTTGTTCTCTTTGACATCTGGTGGGAGGGCGTTCCACAGGGAGGGCGACACTACTGAGAAGGCCCTCTGCCTGGTTCCCTGTAACTTGGCTTCTCGCAGTGAGGGAACCGCCAGAAGGCCCTCGGTGCTGGACCTCAGTGTCCAGACAGAACGATGGGGTTGGAGACGCTCCTTCAGGTATACTAGACCGAGGCCATTTAGAGCTTTAAAGGTCAGTACCAACACTTTGAATTGTGTTTGGAAATGTACTAACCGTAACCCTTCCTAACCCTTCCTAATCCTAACCCTTCCCTACCGCTCCTTCCCAGAACATCATGATACTCCCTGGCCCAGGCGACTAATTTTTGCTGTGTGTGTCAAAGAGCTAAATGGGACCCTCTTCTCCATTCCTAACGGAGGCTTATCCAAGAGAAGGAAGGAAGACCTGCCCCATCATTCACTGCTTATTCTCGAGACAGCCCCCACTTGCCCCCTGTCTTGCTTGCAACCAGTTCAGGAGATAGCACTGCCTGTCGGATTCTTGTTGTTTTCTTATTTGTAGAACTCATGAGGGAGGAGGGGGAACAGGAGGACAAAACTAGAATTGGGCCCCATCTGTGCTATTCATTTAAAAAAAGGATCACACCTCGGGCAGTACATCCTGTTTTGCCGCCTGAGGCAAAACAGGAAGGTGCTGTAGCTGCCAAAGTCTCACTTACCTGGGTTGAGAGGCAATGCCTGCAAAGCAGTTTTGACAATGTTGGGCTCTGCTGATAATCTTGTGAGATCTGGCCAAAGCTGCTGCTGGCACCGCTTCTCTACCAGTGGTGGAAGTGGGCAGGGAGCCTGTGGAACACTGCCTTTTGGGCTTCTGCTACCCGAGGTGGCTACCTCTGCCTGTCACATGGGCGAGCCGGCCCTGATTTAACCAATTTAACCACTGTGTCTTCCCCCAAAGAATCCTACTGTTCTCAGAGTGGTTTAACAATCAATTCCTCTTTCAGGGGACATTTTATCATATGTGGCGGGATTGCAATGTAATTTTAAAAAATTGGGAAATGATATACAATGAATTGAAGAAAATATTCCATCTAACATTTGTTTAAAAACCCAAAGCATTTCTGCTAGGGATTATATGGAAAGACCTGCTAAAGAAGCTGAAAAACATCTTCATGTACGCAACGGTGGCGAGAGTCTTAATAGCACAAGGATGGAAGAGTGAGGAAACCCCGACTAAAGAAATATGGCAAGAGAAATTGATGGACTGTGCAGAACTGGCAAAATTGACACATAAACTACGGGACAAGGATAATTGTGACTTTAAAGATGAATGGGAACCTTTTACAAAGTACTTAAAGATGCAACAAAGTGAATTGGACTCCTTGGCAGGTTTTGAATAAACACTGTGTTTTAAGATATGTGTTTTAAGATAATATGTTTTGTTTAAATTCCTAATAAAAATTAAAAAACAACAACAATCAATTCCTCTATCCAGGGAACTCCTTATCCCAATGTCACATTTTTCACCTTCTCAACACCTATGAAATTAGGATGAGGCTTGGACCACAGGTTGCCCAGTCCTGCGTCTCAGGCAGCTAGCACCTTGCAACACTGTAACTTGCAGACATTCCTTTCCACCTGAGTCTGTCCAGCTCCCATCTCTGAACTGCAGCTGTCCATAGTCAGCAGCCGGTGGGGACAGGTGCATTTGCTCTGATGCTAGATCTCATGCTTTGATGCAGAGGGTCCACTGCTTCCGCCATCTCAGGCTGCGAAAGACTCCTGTCTGTAACCACTTCCCTCAGCATGTGTTTGTCAGGGCAGCCGCTCAGCGCCCTGCAGATGTCTGAAGAAGAGGAGTTTGGATTTGATATCCACTGCCTGTTCAAATTTCACTACCTGTTCAAGGAGTTTCTGATCAAAGCAGTCATCAACATTCTCCTTTCTCTTCCTCGCTGCTCCAACAAGACACTCGTATGAGGTGAGTGGGGCTGAGAGCTTCAGAGTACAGTGTGACTGCAGCCCAAGGTCTATCCCAGCAGCTGCAATGTGGAGGAGCTGGGAAGCGAACCCAGTTCACCAGATTCACGAGTCCAACGCTCTTAGACCACTACATCCACACTGGCTTCTAAAGTTGAGTCTAGCAACAAGTCTCCATTCAGATACTTTGTCAGCTGCCTGTACCAAAGGCCCCAGGGACGATGGGATGATGTAGCTCAATCTGATAGGGCTATCTGTCATTGACTACCTGCAGTGTCAATGCAGCTTGAAGCGTTGAGTCCTGACAAGCACTGCTTTCGAGGATCAGGACGGTGGCAGGTTACTGTACTTTACCCTCAGTTCTGCATGGTGTAACTGTGCTCCTGAAGGATCCACGTGTCTCCAGCTTCTGAGGAGTTCAACATTTTAGATGATCACAGCTGTCTCATGGAGGCACAGTGTCTAAGCTCTAGTGTCCAGGGCAGCTGTTTATCAGCTCCATCTGAAATGCGCAGGCTGAGACCCTACCTGCCTGCGGACTGTCTCAGTGCCAGAGTGAGGTAGACATTTGCGTCTAGTTATCCTCTCTGCTCTGGTACTACTGCAAGTGCACTTGTCACGTGTGAGCTACTCATTGAAGGTGACTTCAGAAGCTACAACTGATCCAGGAATACGGCAGCTAGACTCGGTGACTGGCGGCGGCCGCTCCACGGACCATATAGCAGCCGGCTCTTGAAAGCACCTACATTGGCCCCCTGTACGCTTCCGAGCACAGTTCAGTATTGGTTCTGCAGCTTGAGGGCGCTAAAGGTGCCCGCCCAGATACCATGGTCACAGGCTTCATCCGCCTGTGATTCTGAAGGGTCCCAGCTCGCCGTAGCGGAAAAGACCCGTCTGCGCGGAGCTAGTCCCTCCAGATCAGAGTGTCCGCCATTGCGAGGCAAAGCCACAGGAAGTCCAGGCAGAGGCTACCGCTCTCGACCAGTGGCGCCACACTGGCTCTGTGGAACGCCCTTCCAGCAGATGTCACTAGCGATCAAGCAACTACTTCTGGACATTCAGTGAGACATCTTAGAAGCAGCCCTGTATCAGGGAAGCGTTTTAACCGATGTGCCACTGTATTTCTCAGCATGTATTTGTCAGGTTCAGCTATGGCAGCACGCCTGCAGATGTTGAACTACGACTCCGTGAGGCCCAGCCATTGATGAGGCCCCAGGGATGATGGAGAGATGTAGCTTATCTGATTGTTATGTCATTGATTACCTGTAGTATTATGTAATACTTGGGCTTCCAGATGCCAACAAGGGAAGACTTTCTTCCTGTGGTGTGCGCTAAGCAAGTTCCCTTTATATTGTGCTTATTAGATTATGGGCCTGCAAACAGGGCCTTATAATTTAATCTCTATACAGCACTTCGAAAATTGTAGGCAAATTATAAGTGATAATTAATAGCAACATGTGAGGTCCGCAACAAAATGTTGCAGCGTGAAGCCTGCGGGACCCTCCTGCTGCTTGTAAAATTGTGCTGACAGGAAGCTGAGGTGTGCGTCTTAAAATGCAGCACGGGTTCCACCATTAATAATATTATTAATATACCTGAAGGAGCGTCTCCACCCACATCGTTCTGCCCAGACACTGAGGCCCAGCTCCGAGGGCCTCTTGGCAGTTCCCTCCCCGTGAGAAGCGAGGTTACAGGGAACCAGGCAGAGGGCCTTCTCGGTAGTGGCGCCTGCCCTGTGGAACACCCTCCTGTCAGATGTCATGGAAATACAACAACTATCTGACTTTTAGAAGACATCTGAAGGCAGCCCTGTTTAGGGAAGTTTTTAATGTTTGATGTTTTCGTGTGTTTTAGTGTTCTGTTGGGATCCGCCCAATGGCTGGGAAACCCAGTCAGATGAGCAGGGTATAAATAATAAAAATTATTATTATTAATAATATTGTCTCCTGAAACAGATGCCAACAACAGAAATATTACTACTCCTAATACTAACAATAAATAATAGAGGTAAATATGAGGATTTATGTAGCACTTTTCAGTCTTCAAAGCGCTACAATTATCACACTAGAACTCCCAGCAGCCTTCGCTTGTCTGGCGCCCGCCAGATGTTTTGAACTACAACTCCCATCAGCCCTGGGCTGCCTCACATAAACTGGAAAGTAGAGGAGACGACTCCATAGTACAGTGAGAAACCAGCAACAAGCTATGGGACTGTTCCGGAGGGCTAATTACTTTCTGGTCCTACCTCGCGGTTTCTAGCCGGACTCCAATAGACAGAGCACCAAGTATTGGCACGCGCGCGTGGACCACTTCGCTTTGGGCGGCTTCCTGAAGCCACATCCGCCCTCATCGGTGCGTGCCCTTTCCGCCTCCCCTTCCGCCATGGATCAACGCAGAGCGGGAGGAATTCCTTCGTGCGCGAAACCTTGCAGTTGTCGGAAGGGTGTTTAGGTAATTATGATGGGGGTGCGGGTCTCGCGTGAAGACAGGTTTCTGGGGGGAAATCACGGAATGGTAGGGTTGGAAAGGGACCTCCTAGGGTCATCTAGTCCAACCCGCGGAAAACAGGACTCTCAGCTAGATCATGGCCATCCAACCTCCGCTTAAAAACCCTCAAGGAAAGGACAGTGAGGTGGGGAGAGGGGCAGCTGCCAAATTTCCTGACTGTGGGTTTCTCCCCATGGGGACATTCTGCTGGCCGCTGTAAGGGCAGGACGCTGGAATAGATGGGCCTGATCCTGCAGGCCTCTTAAAGGTAAAGGGACCCCTGACCATTAGGTCCAGTTGTGGCCGACTCTGGGGTTGCGGCGCTCATCTCGCTTTATTGGCCGAGGGAGCCGGCGTCCAGCCTCTGGGTCATTTGGCCAGCATGACTAAGCTGCTTCTGGCGAACCAGAGCAGCGCACGGAAACGCCGTTTACCTTCCCGCCGGAGCAGTACTTATTTATCTACTTGCACTTTGATGTGCTTTCGAACTGCTAGGTTGGCAGGAGCAGGGACCGAGCAACGGGAGCTCACCCCGTCACAGGGATTCGAACCGCCGACCTTCTGATCGGCAAGCCCTTGGCTCTGTGGTTTAACCCACAGTGCCACCCACGTCCCTGCTGCGCTCTTATTCAGCTGTAAAAAGATCCCCCATCACCAATGGGTAATGTTTGCCTCTCTGTAAGGCACCCGGCTTTCCCAAAGGAGTGGAAGATTTCTGGATGCCAACAGGTAAGGCGTTGCAGAGATGTGAAGTGCCTACAGAAAAACTATTTCTCTTCCCTAACACTCTGTGTGTGTTTGTGAGTGAGTGTGCTCACACATTAGGTAAATAGATAGTATCAGGTGTCAAACACAAGGATAATGAGCTAGGTCTTTGGTATAAAACCCAACAGGAGGGCAATTTGATTTTTAAGGGGAAATTTGAGAATGAGTTATTAACAGTGAACTTGTTTGCATTTTGCATTTCTTATGGTTCTAGGGGCCTCATATACCGCATATAAATATATATTGTGACATACATTCCTTTTTCATTTCATTTTTAAAATTTGTATACCGTCTTTCTATCTTACAATACTCAAGGCGGTTTACAAGCTGAAAAAACAAAAAATGTACAACTTATAACAATCTAATGCAATACAAAAATGCAACAATAAAACAAAACTTTAAAATAAGCAACCTACATCAAAAAGTAACATTCAACAATTATTAGAATAGCACAAAATAATAATATCAACATATAAAAGTTAAACAGAAATCCACTCAACAGTTACAATAAATAATTTATAAACTTCTAATTTCTAATACACAAGCAATGTGGAGGCCATGTTCTTTGGAAGCTTGTTTAGACCAAGTTAATGGCCTTTTCGGCTTCCTCCACATGTGTAGGAGTTCTTTTTTTTAATAATAAGAATTATGTGTTACGGGGTGGGGGGCATCAAGATTTTAGAGACGCTTAGGTGGAGAATGGCCAAAATAAGGTTGGGAACCACTGGTATAAAACAAAGGTCATACAGCTCAGCTGAGCAAAGCAGAGATGGAGGTGTGTGGTCAGAACCCAGGGGGAGGGCGCTGGGTACTGATCCTGCATCTCCCCCCACAGCGTCAAGCCCTTTCCACCACATGCCCGCTCCCATGGCGTCAAGGTACCAGCGTCGCCTGTGGCGCTACATCGATTCCAGCCGCCGCCGCAAACTGCGCAGGCTCCTGCAGCACCACGGGGAAGCCTTGGACCTGGGCGAGGCGGCCGGGCGCAAGCTCCGAACGCCCCTTCACCGGTGCTGCGCCCGACAGGACCACAAAACCGCCATCCTCCTGCTGAAGCACGGAGCGGACCCGTCCATTCCGGACCGGCGTGGGGACACAGCTCTGCATGTGGCTGCCCGACAGGTGGCCCGCAAGGGAGGCACAGGTGAGGCACGGCCTTTGAGTAGTTCCTTGGTCAGCTTATGGACATGCTAAGTCCTTTGCACATGGGGCTCTGTGGTTGTCTGTTGTGGGTGGAGGAGATGGAATATGGAAGGATGGAGGTTGAAGGGATCTGTATGGTTTTCCAGGCCAACTCCCTCACAGGGCAGGAAATCTACTGCCACAGCATCCCTGATTGGTTGCATAATAGCGTCCCTGATAGGTAGGACTACGGCGTCCTTGGCAGGCTGTAAAATATTAATCAGCCTTATAAAACTTATAACACTTAAAAGGTAAAGGTAAAGGGACCCCTGACCATTAGGTCCAGTCGTGACTGACTCTGGGGTTGCGGCGCTCATCTTGCGTTATTGGCCGAGGGAGCCGGCGTACAGCTTCCAGGTCATGTGGCCAGCATGACTAAACAGCTTCTAGTGAACCAGAGCAGCACATGGAAACACCGTTTACCTTCCCCTGGAGCAGTATCTATTTATCTACTTGCACTTTGACGTGTTTTTGAACTGCTAGGTTGGCAGGAGCAGGGACCGAGCAACGGGAGCTCACCCCGTTGTGGGGATTCGAACCACTGACCTTCTGATCGGCAAGTCCTAGGCTCTGTGGTTTAACCCACAGCACCACCCGCGTCCCTTTTATAACACTTAAGAACGGTTTCACACACACACACACACACACACACACACACACTAAACAACACCCACACAAGTTAAAACCTTGCTGTGAGGATAAAATGGGGAGGAGAACCATGTACTCCACCTTGAGCTATTGTGGAAAGGTGGACTATAAAATTTATGTATTTATTTCTTTATCTATATATACATGGGTGTAGCCAAAGGGGGGGGCAGGGAGAGGCAGCTGCCCCCCAATCAATAAAAATACATAGCTAACTAAGGTTCCCCTCCACAAAAGGCCTGCCCCCACAAAAATCCTGGCTATACCTATGTTCAGTGGTACCTCTGGATACAAACGGGATCTGTTCTGGAGCCCCGTTCGCATCCTGAAGCGAACGCAACCAGTGTCTGCACGTGCGCGGGACGCCGCTTCCGCACATGCGCGTGACATCATTTTGAGTGTTTGTGCATGCGCGAGCGGCAAAACCCGGAAGTATCGCGTTCGGTTACTTCTGGGTCGCCACAGAGCACAACCCGAAAACGCTCAACCTGAAGCTATTTAACCCGAGGTATGACTGTACAGTGGTACCTCGGGTTACATACGCTTCAGGTTACATATGCTTCAGGTTACAGACTCCGCTAACCCAGAAATAGTACCTTGGGTTAAGAAGTTTACCTCAGGATGAGAACAGAAACTGCGCGGTGGCGGCGCGGCAGCAGCAGGAGGCCCCATTAGCTAAAGTGGTGCTTCAGGTTAAGAACAATTTCAGGTTAAGAACGGATCTCCGGAACAAATTAAGTACTTAACCTGAGGTACCACTGTATATATAAAAAGGCCTGGATTTCCTGTCATATTGCAGCCATTAGAGGGCACTGGAGGGAGGGTTTGCCTGATGCTGTTAGGTCGGTTGCCATTCATTAATCTCGGTTTTTTGTTCTTTGCCTTCTCCCAGTCTACGAAGACCTGTTTTCGCCCTTGCGAAACCGTTGCCCCTCTGCAATGAGCATCAGGAACAGAGATGGGAAGACGCCAGGAGAACTCCTGAGGGAAGAGGAAGAGAAATGGGTACCGGCATGGGTCCGTGGGGGAAGGGTAAGGTTGGGTTTCAGGTGCTTCCTGACCAGACTGGATGCTGATACCTTCCGTAACTTTTTTTGCAGTGCTCTCAGGAGGCGTCTGAGGAAGACAAGGCAGAGGGTGACGCAGAGAGGGAATGGCGCCGCAAACTCCTCGGCGAATGGGAGGACGAGTTTCAGGAGATGGGCTGGCAATATGAAGGTGAAGCTCAGCCTCGCAGAGTCAAACGTTCTGTGAGAGCCAGTGTAGTGGTTAGAGTGTTGAACTAGGCCCCGGGAGACCTGGGTTCAAATCCACCGCCCCTCAGCTTAACCTACCCCGCAGAGCTGCTGGAAGGATAAAATGGGGAGGGGGAGAGCCATATGCCTCCTTCAGTTGCTTGTAGGACAGGTGGGATATACATTTTATTTATTATTATTATTTGCACTACGTTTGGCCTGCATATTTTTTAGTCCCAGATCAAAGTAATCAAAATAAACACAGGCCTGAACAAAAATTCATCATCATCATAAACTTTATTGCACTAGCCATGGCATCATTCACAAAGGAAACAAAAAGAAAAGCAACAACAACCATAAAAACCATAAATACATCAGGCACTGCAAATACAAGGAACTACGGTCACGTCTCCTAGAAATTATTTGTTGCATACGATGTAATAGCAGGGGGTTCTCAGGTAAAATGTGCCAGCATAAATGTCCGAATCACCTTTGCAATTGACCTCTATTTTATCTAGTTCTTTTCTCCGGATCTTCTTAGCTGCCAACACATATAGTGCTGCTTTATAAGTTACGAAGTCATCAGTAAGAACAAAAATTAGATAATCATATATAAACAGGTCCAATAAACAACAAAGTAACCATTCTGGCATAAGCAAAAGGGCAATGGCAGTGTGACGCGGCAGCTAAAAAAGCCAATGCAATTCTGGGCTGCATCAGTTGGAGTATAGCATCTAGATCAAGGGAAGTAATAGTGCCACTGTATTCTGCTCTGGTCAGACCTCACCTGGAGTACTGTGTCCAGTTCTGGGCACCACAGTTCAAGAAGGACACTGACAAACTGGAACGTGTCCAGAGGAGGGCAACCAAAATGGTCAAAGGCCTGGAAACGATGCCTTATGAGGAACGGCTAAGGGAGCTGGGCATGTTTAGCCTGGAGAAGAGGAGGTTAAGGGGTGATATGATAGCCATGTTCAAATATATCAAAGGATGTCACATAGAGGAGGGAGAAAGGTTGTTTTCTGCTGCTCCAGAGAAGCGGACACGGAGCAATGGATCCAAACTACAAGAAAGAAGATTCCACCTAAACATTAGGAAGAACTTCCTGACAGTAAGAGCTGTTCGACAGTGGAATTTGCTGCCAAGGAGTGTGGTGGAGTCTCCTTCTTTGGAGGTCTTTAAGCAGAGGCTTGACAACCATATGTCAGGAGTGCTCTGATGGTGTTTCCTGCTTGGCAGGGGGTTGGACTCGATGGCCCTTGTGGTCTCTTCCAACTCTATGATTCTATGAAAAATTAAAAAAAATCGGATTTAACCAAAGGACTTTGCTAAAGCCAAACATAAGACATTTAAGCAGAGTAACCAGCCAATGGCCTTAGCAACAGTTCCCTCCCCATTTTTTCACTTATGGGAGTCTACTCGCTCCCCCTCTGCTTTTCCCTGCTCTGTGTAAGGTGTGCCTCCCTGGGGATGTACAAGTAATAATAATAATAATAATTTATTATTTATACCCCGCCCATCTGGCTGAGTTTCCCCAGCCACTCTGGGAGGCTTCCAATCGAGTGTTAAAAACAATACAGCATTAAAAGTTCCTCCCTGAGACAGGGACCCTGACTTCTAGGCCTGAATGTACCTAGGGGGTCAGGGCAGACTATTTCCCTCTTGTTTTAAAAACTTTTTAAAAAAAACATATATATATTGTACTTTGCCTACAGGGCTGCTGGGTGCGTTGCTGAGAAGCCGGCAAACAGCCCTCCAAATCTGTCTTCTCCAGGCAAAGCACGAGCCGCGATCTGTAAGACAAACCTTGCCCACGGCTCGTGGTTTGCCTGGAGTGAGGCAAACCATGGGCCCAGTTTCAAACGACTTGCTAAGCCAAGCCACGGCTTAGTTCACGGTGGCACAACCAAAAGAGCAAAAAGGCTACGACCTTTCCTCTGATAACCTGCATACTTACAGCTCCACACTAAACCATGGTTTGTCGTAGTGTTACACGCAAAACGGCTGGGCTCCTGCAGCAGATTATATTGACGGCTTTCTGTGCTGATCACCAGGGGGGAGGCGGGAATTGGTCACCGGGGTGACCCTTGGCTTGGGAAAATATTGCAAAAGATTATTAATTAATTAATTAAATTCATAACAGTGGTACCTCGGGTTAAGAACTTAATTCATTCTGCAGGTCTGTTCTTAACCTGAAACTGTTCTTAACCTGAGGTACCACTTTAGCTAATGGGGCCTCCCACTGCCGCCGCGCTGCCGCCATGTGATTTCTGTTCTCATCCTGAAGCAAAGTTCTTAACCCAAGGTACTATTTCTGGGTTAGCGGAGTCTGTAACCTGAAGCATATGTAACCTGAAGCAACTGTAACCCGAGGTGCCACTGTACAACCCTTCACCTGAAGTTCTCAGAGTGGTTCACAAGATAAAAATACAGGATAAAGCAGGAAAGAAATAGTTTTTTTAAAAAAAAAACCTCCCACAAGCACAATTTAAAGGCCATAGAATATTGATCAGCTGCAGCCAAAGTTGTGTTATCACTTCCATAATTGCCATTTTGTCTGAGAATTGTCATCCTAGAAATTTAAATAAGTTCTCTTCCTCCTCCTTGGTTCACACAGCTGTTATGAGGAATCCGATGATGTGTCTGGCCAACTGCCGTCCGAGTGCCATGTTCAGCTGGGTGTATAATGGGTGAGACGATCCTTTAAGTTGTATTCTCGAATTCCTCTTCCCTTTTCGCCCTTCCCAGAGGATTTCTACACCGCTGGACCAGACACGGAAACCTACGAGGACTGGGCCGACCGCATCGCTCGCGAATACAGGCAGAGGTGCAGCTGGGACAACGAACGCCTTCGCCAGAGGCCTAAAGCGGAACCGCAGAAACCTCCGCCTAAGTTGGGGAGCCTCCGTGAGGAGGAGCACCTGCTCTACAAACAGCGGGCCCGAGCCAAGGAAAAGGAACTGAGGGAAGCCAAGAAGCTGCGCTACGAGGAAGGCTGCAGCCGGGTTTTCTCCGCCGACGGTTCGCGCCTTTTGAGATACGTGGACATTCCCTGGCCGTGCGCGGCTGGGACGCCAGAGGAGATGGCCACCGTGGCGCTCCACGGCATGGAGCCCTCCGACAAAGCGGCTTACCGGCGCTTCCTGCGGCGCCAGCAGGCCCTCTGGCACCCGGACAAGTTTGCCCAACGCTGCGGGGCACGCTTGGCAGAACAGGATCGCCGCCAGATATTGGACACTGTCACGGCGCTGTCCCAAGCGTTCAACCGGCTAGCAGAAGCTTGCAAATAACTCTCTCTCTCTCTGTGTCCTTGGCTGTCTGTGAATAAAGGATTTTATTTTATTTTATTGCCTTTTTCAAGAGGGCGGAATCGTGCTGGATTGTGTTGCGGGCAGAAAGGGCTCAAGAATGAAGAGCTTTCTCTGCGAGTCTCTTGGGGGTCTTTCCAGAGAAGCACAGAGATAAGTGGCTCTGTCGGGCCTTTTCTGTCTTGAAAGGAACCCCCTTTGGAGACCAAAGCTAGTTAAGAATTTGTTTAAACCAGCCTTTGCCCACTTGGCAACCTCTGGATGTTTTGGAGTTGTAGTCCAGAACATCTGGAGGGCACCAGGTTGGCAAAGGCTGGTTTTCAATACATTTCCATGCCCTCTTTGTTCCTTTGCAGGGTTAATAGTGTCAGTTTGTGGATTTGTCATAGCAAATACAACCCTACAAACTAAAAAAAAAAAATGTTGAGAGCAGCCAAAACAACAGTACAGAAACACACACGCGTGTTCTGCTTGAGTGCGGCACTGGGAAATAATTCTAACTCAGACCCAGAAATGGCTGGAGAGAGCTAGGAAGTCCTTGTGACTCATGAGGAAACCCTTCCCGAAGCCCGAATAGAATGTCAGTGAGGGCGACGGAAGCCCCTAAGAGACCGGAGGCACAGCGGCACCTTGTTTATGCTGCTCATCCTCTCCAGAGCTTCAATTCTAGTTATTGATATTTTAGGACACAGTATTTTGGGATGCGGGTGGCGCTGTGGGTTAAACCACAGAGCCCAAGACTTGCCGATCAGGAGGTCAGCAGTTCGAATCCCCGCGACGGGGTGAGCTCCCGTTGCTCGGTCCCTGCTCCTGCCAACCTAGCAGTTCGAAAGCACGTCAAAGTGCAAGTAGATAAATAGGTATGGCTCTGGCGGAAAGGTAAACAGCGTTTCCGTGCGCTGCTCTGGTTCACCAGAAGGAGCTTAGTCATGCTGGCCACATGACCCGGAAGCTGTACGCCGGCTACCTCAGCCAAAAAAGCGAGATGAGTGCCGCAACCCCAGAGTCAGTCACGACTGGACCTAATGGTCAGGGGTCCCTTTACCTTTACCTATTTTGGGTATGGATTGCAGAGAGAGAGAACAGCAGAGGAGGTGTTTAAAGGGGGTTTAGAGGGCGCTCCCCACGTTACAAGATTTCACTTAAGCGCACGTGGGCCCAGAACATAACCCCCTGCATAACTGGAGAATTGCCTTTATCACACTCAGAGTTTTACCAATCGCCATTGCATTTCCGTCCCAAAATGCTCACATTAGTGTTTAAAGCCCTAAGTGACTCGGGGCCCCAAATATATGAAAGGGTGCCTCCATCCATACAGACCATCTCAAGATAAGCAGAGGAGGGCCTCTTGGTAGTTTCGCCGCCTGCAGGAGTTCAGGGTGGGTAGGTGGCCCAGGACAGGGCCTTCCCTGTGGCAGCCCCCAAGCGGTGGAATTCCCTTCCCACAGAGGTGTGTCCAGCACCTTCATTACGCAGCGTTCATTGCATGCTGAAAGACACATCTCCCTCCTGCCTTTCATAATTGAGAGGCTAGGGTTGCCATATATCTGGATTTTCCCGGAAATAAAGGTAAAAAGGTAAAAGACCCCGGACGTTTAAGTGCAGTCAAAGGCGACTATGGGGTTGCGGCGCTCATCTCGCTTTTCAGGCTGAGGGAGCTGCCATTTGTCCACAGACAGCTTTCTGGGTCATGTGGCCACCATGACTAAACCGCTACTGGCACACAGAGGACCGTGACGAATACCAGAGCACTTGGAAACGCTGTTTACCTTCCCACCGCAGCGGTACCTATTTATCTACTTGCACTGGTGTGCTTTCGAACTGCTAGGTTGCCAGGAGCTGGGACAGAGCAAAGGAAGCTCACCCTGTCGCGGGATTCGAACCATTGACCTTCTGATCAGCAAGCCCAAGAGGCTCTCTGGTTTAGACCACAGCGCCACCCGTGTCCCTTTTCCTGGAAATAGCCTGGATTTGGTCATCTGAAACTGTGTCCGGGCAGAAAATCGCTGAAATGTCCGAAAAATCTGGGCTTATGGCAACCCATGTCGGCAGCGTCGAATTTGGCGAAATTCATCAAAAATAGATTTTACAAAAACAGTTCAACGACTATTCAAAAAAAAGGTGTCTGGATCTTCACTTTTTGATATGGCAACCCTATAAGAGGCATATTTTTATTTTTTTAATATTAATTTTTATTAGTTTTCCAAATTTTAACAAACCCATCCAAATTATTTAAATTTAATACATTTTACCCCAGAAGATAATTAGGTTTCCCAATCCCGTTACAAACATATGTTCGTTACATTCCTTATGTTACCGCTTCATTCTTCTTTAATCATATTTTTAGAACCCATTCTAGTCTTTAGACCGTAATTAACTTATGGTCTGTGTGTGTGGTTTGGGAGCTGCCCGGTCAGGGGAAAAACAATGCTGTCCAGTGTTGTAAAGACTGTGGAGAGAATAACTGGGTGCGCTCTTCCCACCTTGGATCAAATCTACGCTTCCAGGTGCCATAAGAAAACTGCAGAGATAGCGCAGGATAGTGCGCACCCCGGAAATGATCTCTTTCAGCTTCTGCCTTCTGGAAGAAGGTATAGGGTTATAAAGAACAGGACTAGCCGTCTGAGAAACAGTTTCTATCCAAATGCGATTTTGGTTTTAAACTCAGTGTAAGGTAGCCTTTGTGGGAGTATATTGTATTTAATTATGGGGTATCAGAGTTTTTAGGGGGTTAACCAGGCCAGGATAGCAGGCTTGTTGGTTTTTGAATGTCTGATGTAGATTTATTCAATTTCATTGTTCTGTATGGGACAATGACAATAAAGATACAGTGGTACCTCGGGTTAAGAACTTAATTCGTTCCGGAGGTCCATTCTTAACCTGAAACTGTTCTTAACCTGAAGCACCACTTTAGCTAATGGGGCCTCCCGCTGCCGCCGCACGATTTCTGTTCTCATCCTGAAGCAAAGTTCTTAACCCAAGGTACTATTTATGGGTTAGCGGAGTATGTAACCTGAAGCGTAGTGTAGCCCGAGGTACCACTGTAATTGTAATGTGCAGCTTGAAGTCTTTCAGATAAAAAGGGGACTTCGCCCAGCGCTCGAATTTCAGAACTGGGAGAGCATCTCATGCAGCAAAGTTTCCACAGCCGAAAAGCCCTCTCCCCAGTTTCTGATGGGGGTGCCTGGAAAAGATGCTAATCTGAATAACTGGGCAGACTCATGGGGAGAATTGGTCCTTTGGAGACATGAGTCATTTAGTCTAGCATCCTGTTCTCACAGGGGCCAATGAGATGTCTGTGGGAAACGCTCAAGCAGGACCCGAGTTCAAGAGCACCCTCCCTTCCTGTGGTTTCCAGAAGATACCAAGGTCTTAAGCAGCAGAGAACAAGGATGATAATAATAATAATAATAATAATAATAATAATAATAATATAATTTTATTTATACTCGCCCTCCCGGCCAGAGCTCAGGGCGGCTAATCTCCATAAAATTTCAGTAAAAACATAATAAGGAGAAAAAGAAAAATTTAAAATACAGGTTAAAATGCAATTTAAAATGCAGCCTCATTTTAAAAGTCAAAACCATAAGGGGAGGGAAACAAGGGTCAGACTGAGTCCAAACCAAAGGCCAGGCGGAACAGCTCTGTCTTGCAAGCCCTGCGGAAAGATGGCAAGTTCCACAGGGCCCAAGTCTCTTGTGACAGAGCGTTCCACCAAGTCGGGGCCAGTACTGAAAAGGCCCTGGCCCTAGTTGAGACCAATCTAACCACTTTGTGACTTGGGACCTGCAAAGTGTTGTCATTTGTGGACCTTGAGGTCCTCCATGGGGCATAGAACGAGAGGTGGGATGGGGAATTTGTACGCTGCCAGACATTGTCGGACTACAGTTCCCATCACTTGGTTGTGCTGGTGGGAGGCCAGAGTTCAGCCTCATCTGACTTGTGACTGGTTTCCTCATCGCTGCCAAAGAGTAGCACCAGTAAGTCACGCTACTGCTCAGGCTGCTTTGGAAGAAATGACTGCAGGAAAAACCCCAGTTCTCGAAATTCTCCACAATGTGTAGTTCGTTGCTTTTAAAAAGTGGAGGGCTCTGCCTCTGGCCACCTGCAGCGTAAGACGGCTTAAACAGTACCGCAGCAAAATGTTGCAACATGGAGCACTGTTCGTAAAGTAGCCCAGATTTTCCCATTCCATCCCCTACCCATTCCATTTATTAGTAGGTTCACACACTGCCCCCACCACATCCCATGCCTACTGAGCACACTCTGTTCTCTTTGGTCTGTTTTGGATTTTCTCTCTCCCTGTAGGGTTTCCCCCTAAATATTTGTTGTACTTTGGGAAACCTTGGGTTTTCCCCTGCTACCTAGTCTACATGAACGGTGCCACTTTTACTACGTTAGCTGAAGTACAACAATCATTTTGCCTCATTTCTGAACCTTTTCAGACTCTACGATATCTTTTTTTCTAATTAAAAAATATCATTTTTACATGATTTTACAATGCAGAATTATAAAGAATTAATTTTTTTAGATAAATATCCAAATACAGAGACTCCTCTGTAGGAGTGAGGGGTGAGGGCTTCCCTCACCCCCTCCCTGGAGTCCCATTTTAAACGTTTAAAACTGCATCTTCTTCCAACTCTCAACTATTGTATCAATCCATATTTTCCATGATAATTGTTATGCTGCAAGTGAAATCAAAACCTGCCAATGTTTCCATCTGCTTGCAGTGGTCTCTTAAATAACTTACACATTTTTCTCATTCTTTTGTAAAAAAATTGTCTTCCTGGTTCCTGAGGTTTCCAGTCAGCGTTGCCATTTCGGCAGAGACCATCAGCTTGGTTTGCCATTCTTCTCTGGTAGCAACTTTGTCTTCTTTCCATCTCTGGGCCAGTAGCATCCAAGCGGCTGTTGTCCCATACATAAAAGTCTTTTTTGGTCTTTTGGGATAGCTGTAACTCCTAATAAAAAAGGCTTCTGGTTTTTTAACAAAAGTTTTTTGAAATATTTTTTTTCAATTCATTATACAGTGGTACCTCTGGTTACATACGCTTCAGGTTACATACGCTTCAGGTTACAGACTCCGCTAACCCAGAAATAGTACCTCGGGTTAAGAACTTTGCTTCAGGATGAGAACAGAAATCGTGCTCCGGCGGCACGGCAGCAGCGGGAGGCCCCATTAGCTAAAGTGGTGCTTCAGGTTAAGAACAGTTTCAGGTTAAGGACGGACCTCCGGAACGAATTAAGTACTTAACCCGAGGTGCCACTGTATGGTAATTTATGGACCTAATAGGTATCTAAAGCCATTTGCCCATGTTGCCATGCAACCAGTCCATTCAGAATGTCGGCATCCTATATATAGAAATGAGCAAACCAGTGATATTTTTGGGAGCAGGCTAGCAGGCAGGGCCCATTACTTACATCATAGGAGCCTACATAACACAAAACACTGTAGCTGAATGTAGGTTTTATTTGTTTATCTTATATTTTGGAAATGTACATCCAGGTTTATTTTTCTTTTAATTTTTGGGGGCCCCCAAGAGATTGGTGCCCTAAGCTATAGCTTGTTTAGCTGATTCGTAAATCCAGCACTGCTTCCAAGTTTTGGAGACCCAGACCCAAGACGTGCGTCATCTGGGACACGCTCCTAGGCAAGTCAGGTTGCTTGCACCTCGCTCTCACCTTGAGGAAAGCCCCGAAAAAAGCCCTTTTTTTAGGGGCTAGAGCGTAGCTTGAGATTGTGGAACCCAAAATGGCCGCCATGATCTCGGATTTAAAAATGGGATGCACTTGGCAGGTATGGAGCAGGAATTCAATGAAGGATGGAGACCGAACAGCTCTTGTTTGTTCTCTGAGATCTAGTTTCCAAAGTAAGGAAGCACCTGTCTCCAGCTCAGCGCCCCAGGAAGACAGGATGTTTCTGTGCCTATGCCTCAATTTGAAATTCAAATCTTCTTTCCTTTCCTTTCGCATAATCTTGTGGACAAGGCTGTTGCCTCAGGTGGAATCCTTACCAAAACTAGGTCCTCCTCTTCATCATTCAGACACACCTAGGCTTTAAGTCTCCCAAGCAAGGTCATAATTTCCCAGAAGTTGACTTTTGCAGCCTAGCACCTTTTTGGGCGCTTGGAACCTGCCTGGGATTGAAGAAACTCCTTTTGCATCACTATGAAGCTTTTCTTGGCAGCTATCCTTCTAGGGGGTAAGTGAAGTTTATCCCACTCAAAGTATTTGCAACGAATAGGCTCAGAATTGATTCTGACCTAAATCTATTTGTCTGCCTCTTTATTTTATAAAATAAAAAAACAAAAAAACAGACATAGGGGAATTAATGCATTAATAGTGTCATCCTGTGCATGTCTACTCAGAAGTAAGTTCCACTGAAAGGCTCCTGCACCTTTCATAGACGTGTAGAAGAGAGGATTTTAGGAGGCGTTGTTTGCATGCCAATTCCTTTAAATGGGACTTACTCCCAAGTAAGTAGTAGGGATGCCTCAACTGCCACCTGGAACCAGCTGTTAAAGCAGGCAGCCTCTAGAGGAGGAGAAGCAGTGGTGCTCGAACCGCGCCTGGAAAACATGAGCATTGAATCCCTACTTTCTAGGTTGTCTGGAGTCAAGTCGCCACCTCTCACCCTACCTCAGAGGGGTTGCTGAAAGGTTAAAATGGAACAATCCTGGCGTTTAGAGAGCCAGTGTGGTGTACTGGTTGGAGTGGGGTTCAAATCCCCACTCAGCCATGAAGCTCACGGGGTTCTGACCTTTGAGTCAGTCACTGACTCTCAGCCTAACCTGCCTCACAGGGTTGTTTTGAATATTTATTTTAAAAAATCCCAGCGCTTACTGTCCAAAGTGCCTCAGAACAATGGCAGCTTTTTTTAAAAAAAAAATTCATTTTTATTAAGTTTTCCATTTTAACAATCCAATCAAATCACATTAAGTATTCCAAATTATACATATACATATCAATTAATCCACATATTCTGCCGAATTATTAATTTTTTATTGGGACTTCCCATGCTTCAAGTTCGGGGGGGGGGGCCTCTGGTCACCTCATATCTCTACTGCTTTGATAGTCATTTCTAATAGTTCCTTTAAATCTTCCTGTTGTTTTCAGAACAACGGCAGCTTAACGTGATAAATCATTATGATTTCCAGTCATGAAATCTGGACAGAGTAAGTCAGGGCTCAGAACCATAGAATTGTGGGGTTGGCAAGGACCCCATGTCTAGTCCGACCTCCTTTCGATACTGGATATATTTTGTTAAGTTGTGGGTGAACATATCAGATGACACAGCGATTCTTCAAACAGCTCTTATTTATTCACAGGCCAGAACAGAACTGAACTGAAGGGTTCAGCCAGCCTGCATATATAAAGCTCCACTACAACACAACTGTAACCACTTTCAGTAACTATCCAATCACTGAATGTCACTTTCAATCCCTTATTTGCATATGTGGACCTGAGTGAAAACTATCTACAGTATCCCCCTGCTGGCCCAGAGTGAGAACTTCAGTACATAACATATTTGGGTGCCTTTTCTCTTTGTTCTTTCTCTACACAGTCGCCATGGCATCGCTCCTGTCCTCAGACCGCGAATACTTCCTCATCCAGGACCCGCAAACCATGCTCGGTGCCCACTGCTACTGCCTTCGACAGGGCACCCGGCTGGCAGGTTTCCGGGATGACAGGGATATGGAGCAGGCTGCCTCCCTCTGCCCCAATTGCTCGTTCTGGATCGGGCTGTACCGCCAGGGCCTCTCTTGGGTCTGGCTTAATGGCGACCCCTATAAGTTTACGCAGTGGAGCCCAGCGTCCAGGACTTCGGAGAGCTGTGCGGTTATGAACGAGAGCCTGTGGTATCAAGAGAAATGCCTCCAAAAACATCCTTTTGTGTGCTGCAAAGGTGAGTGACAACGCAAAAATATGAGACGGAAAACACAAAAATGCATAATACATAAAATGCATTATAAGAACAAGAACTAAACAAGACACCTCCACAATAGCTTAACACCTACCAAAACAGCTAAAATGTATAAGACAAAAACAAATCTGTGCTGGAGGTGTGGTAAAACAGAGGGGACACTTATACATGTCTGGTGGACCTGTGAAAAAATCAAAAGCATTTGGAACACTGTATATGATGAGCTTAAAAAAATGTTTAAGTATAACTTTATGAAAAATACAGAAGCTTTTCTACTAGGGATAATGGACACAGGTATAGCAAGAGAAGATCAGAAAATATTCCTCTATGCCACAGGAGCGGCAAGGATCCTAACTGCTAAAAACTGGGGGAAAAGAAACTGTGCCAATGAAAAAGGAATGGCAAGACAAAGTGTTAGAGTACTGTATATTGAACTGGCTAGATTAACAGAGGCAATTAGGGATCACACTAGACAAGAGTTTCAAAAAGCATGGGGAAAATGCAGAGAATACTTCACAAAACAGTGCCCTAAAATACATACCTGGACTTGTTTTGATTAATGTCTGCAGGAGACTTTGTGTATATTTAAGTTATAATTAGAAAAATCTTAATAATTATTCATAAAGGAAACAGTTTATAAGAAGTAAATAAGGAGGCCCAGATACGGGATAAAGGAAGTCTTTTATTTGGTTGTTTGTATTGTTGTATGTTATGCTCATTGTATGTTATGTTCACATTTAATGAGGGTGGATTTCTGTATTGGGGGGCTGGGGGGGGTTATGTTATGTTGCAAATAAAATTCCAATAAAAATTAAAAATAAATAAAAATAAATAAATAAACAAGACACCTCCACACCTGAGCATGCTGTTACCTTCCTATTGTGTCTCAATACCCCTATTTTGGCTACGTCACTGGAAAGGCTCAGCACCTAAATCCACCCCTCATGTTCAAAGAACGTTTGACACACATTCAAAGCACACGACCCTCCCATTCAGAATACAGTGGTGCCTCGCAAGACGAAAAGAATCCGTTCTGGGAGTCTCTTCGTCTAGCGGTTTTTTCGTCTTGCGAAGCAAGCCCATTGACGGATTAGCGGATTAGCGCTATTAGCGCTATTAGCGGCTTTTAGCGGCTTTTAGCGGCTTTTAGCAGCTTATCAGCTTATCGGATAAGCAGATAAGCGGCTTAGCGACTTAGAAAAAGAGGGGGGAAAGGAAAAAAAAAACCCCAGGAACTCGCAAGACATTTTCGTCTTGCGAAGCAAGCCCATAGCAGATTCGTTTTGCGAGGCACCTCCAAAACGGAAAACTCTTTCGTCTAGCGAGTTTTCCGTCTTGCGAGGCATTCGTCTTGCGGGGCACCACTGTAATGGGAGCTGTGATTTGTTTAAGGGTGCTGGAAGTCCTGAGGGGGGAAACTACAGTTCCCAGTAATAAGAAAAGCAAAGCGTGGATAAATAACCGCTTCGAAAAAGGGTCTCCTATATTCTGCCTTTCAGGGCCTACAGGCGCTCTTCCTTTTCTTCTCCAACTCCTGCTAAACTGCCGCTCCATACCTGACCAGAAGGACGTGTTGACTCCTGCCCCACAGTCGACCATGGCTGGTAGGTATCCTAAACCTGTAGCAGACTTTTCCCAAGCCTGATTTCAGCAAGTGGTGGAGGAGATGGGGAACAGGACCCTGAAGGTGCCAGGGAAATATTCTGTGGGTGCAGGGGCACTCAAGTTTGTGAAAACCTGGTAATTCCTCCGCTTGCCTCTAGGGGGAGCAATTGAGCATTAGGTTTTTATTATTATTATTCTAACAGAATCTCATAGAATGATAGAGTTGGAAAGGACCCTGAGGATCATCTAGTCCAACCGCCCTGCAATGTCCCTTAGGGGGATCAAACCCTAACCCTAACCCTAACCTGAAACCTTGATTTTATCAGCACCATGAACTGACCATATGTGCTGGAAGCTGCCCAGAGTGGCTGGGGAAACCACTCTGTTGTTGTTGTTGTTGTTGTTGTTGTTGTTGTTGTTGTTGTTGTTAACCAACTGAGCTATCCACTTCCTATTGTTATTCTACAACACTTAATTGATGTCTGCTTTCAACTATTTCATGGTTTTACTGCTGCAAACTACTTTGATGTATTTATGTTTGGTGATAAAACAGTGTACAAAATTTTTTATAAAGCAAACAAACAAACAAATGTTATTTCAAGAAAAGCAGATTTCTATCCAGCCCTTCTGTAGTGCTGACACCTTCATTCCTATTAGTTTGCCTCTTGATTGTGTTGTTCCATATTGCCCAGTCCTCTACAGTGGTACCTCAGGTTAAGTACTTAATTCGTTCCGGAGGTCCGTATTTAACCTGAAACTGTTCTTTACCTGAAGCACCAGTTTAGCTAATGGGCCTCCTGCTGCTGCCACGCCGCTGGAGCACAATTTCTGTTCTCATCCTGAAGCAAAGTTCTTAACCTGAGGTGCTATTTCTGGGTTAGCGGAGTCTGTAACCTGAAGCGTATGTAACCTGAAGTGTATGTAACCTGAGTTACCACTGTACTATATTAGGAATGCAGGAAGCTGACTTATACTAAAGCAGACCACTGGAAGACCACATCCAAGGATCTCATCTCCAGAATTATCCTCTGAAGTGGCTTAGGCCGAGAGTACATGACAGTCCCAAGGCTATATAATGCACTTTGTGGTTGGAACTGGAACCTGTGTCTCCCTGATTCTGATCTGGATCCATTTACCACAATCGCATAAGCCATGGGTAGGCAAACTAAGGCCTGGGGGCTGGATCCGGCCCAATCGCTTTCTCAATCTGGCCCACGGATGGTCCGGGAACCAGCGTGTTTTTACATGAGTAGACTATGCCTTTTATTTGAAATGCATCTCTGGGTTATTTGTGGGGCCTGCCTGGTGTTTTTACATGAGTAGAATGTATTCTTTTATTTAAAATGCACCTCTGGGTTATTTGTGGGGCACAGGAATGCGTTCATTTTTTTCTTCAAAATATAGTCTGGCCCCCCACAAGGTCTGTGGGACAGTGGACCGGCCCCCTGCTGAAAAAGTTTGCTGACCCCTGGCATAAGCTCTCATTGCCAGCTCCTGCATCAGACTGAAATGTTCATCCTGTGATTTAAGAGTGGACATATCTATCAGCAACGGTCAGAATCAGAGCTGCGTACAAGATTGCCACACACCTAGGTATCAATGGAATCTTGGAAAATCTCAGATTGCAGGCCGGTGAAACATCCTCAGTTTCAACACTGAGGGAAACGGTATCTGCGCCTCATAGGGCTTCCTGGAGTGAGGTGGGCACAAGTAGGAAGCCATATCCCTTACTCTAGGGATGGCGAACCTGCAGCCTGGCAGATATTGTTGGATCCCAACTCCCACCATCCCTGTCACAAGTTAGGGATGATGGGAGTTGTAGTCCAACAATGTGAGAAGGTTCACAGGTTTCCCACCCCTGATGTATACACAGAGCAAGAATCATGGTTGACAGTATTAATATTGTGGCTCAGGGTGCTTCCACATTATGGGCGGTATTCAACTGCTCTGTCCCTTCGGCACTACGATTTCTGCTTGCCCAACAGGAATTTCCCTCCCTTCTTTACCCCATGCACCCTTCCCAAATCTGCTCCACGGGGTTGTGGGAAACAGCCAGAACAAATTTAGGGGGGTCACACAGGGGGAGAATAGGGAGAGAACATCTTGTTGTGCGAGAATAATCATGAGAGACTTAGCATCAAGCCTAGATTACAGCCATGGTTTCTTGCGGTCAAGGGATTATCCCCTGAATGCAAGAAGCCAAACAAATTCTGCAAAACCGGTCGATGCAAATCCAGCTCCTTTGCATAATTTACACAGGTCCCAGGATGTGGCTTTCTAAAGTCAAGAATTCAGCTTGACTTCCCCCACAACGCAAACACTCACAAAGCTGTTTGTGTCTAAGTTACGGCCCTATAATATTTTGGGGGTGGGTGGGGAGGAAGGTAGTGAATGGCAGTGGAGCTAATTCTTAAAATCTTTCCTCTTAGTGACTTCCCCTCCCACAGCAAGTGGTTCAGCTTCAGATTCCTGGATACCTGTGACAAGCAAACGGTTCTCAGCCGGATCTAACCATGGTGAGTTTTTTCCAGACAGCCTGGAGGAGTGAAGAAGGGAAATGGAAAAGAGTGATGTTGTAAGAAAAAAAGGTAAAGGACTGGTCATGTTGTGCGGATGCCTGATGATCGTCTTCCAAAGCAACTACTCTATTCAAAACTTAAAAATGGAAAGTGTTAAGTTGTGGGTGAGACATAGCAGATGATGCAGCGATTTCTCCAAAGCAGCTCTTTATTTGTAAGCTGGAACAGAACTGAAAAGCAAACAGCTCAGCCGGCCTGCTTTTATAGGCAGCCGGCTGTCAACATTGTAGCAACAACAACAACCTAGGGTTTCCCGCCTAAAGTAACTGACGTGGACCTGAGTGAAAACTATATACAGTGGTACCTCAGGTTAAGTACTTAATTCGTTCCGGAGGTCCGTTCTTAACCTGAAACTGTTCTTAACCTGAAGCACCACTTTAGCTAATGGGGCCTCCTGCTGCTGTCGCGCCGCCGGAGCACAATTTCTGTTCTCATCCTGAGGTAAAGTTCTTAACCTGAAGCAGTATTTCTGGGTTAGCGGAGTCTGTAACCTGGAGCGTCTGTAACCCGAGGTACCACTGTACACGATACTCCTGGTGGCCAGGGTGAGAACTTCAATACATAACAGAAAGCGTACTGCTGGTGGTCAACTAAAGAGGTTTAAAGACTGTCTCAAGGCAAATCTTTAAAAAAAATGTAGTATAAACACTGACAACTGGGAAACACTGGCCTGCAAGCGCTCCAGTTGGAGAACAGCCTTTACCAAAGGTGTCATGGGCTTTGAAGACACTCAAACTCAGGACGCAAGGGAGAAACGCCCTAAGAGGAAGGCACGCTTGGCAGATCCACACCATGATCAACTCCCGGCCGGAAACCAATGTCCCCACTGTGGAAGGACGTGTGGATCCAGAATTGGCCTCCACAGTCACTTATGGACTCACTGTTAAAACCATGTTTATGGAAGACAATCTTACTCAGCTACAAGTGATCGCCAAAGAAGAAGAAGAAGATTAGAAAAAACTGCTCCTTTCCCCTTTTGGGTTACCAAAGAGCCTGTATTGAGTCCTTATGTAGGTTCTCTATCGGTAGGAGAAAATAACAGAGGCCAGCCAGAGAATATTGAGACAAGCAAAGCAGCTAGTAAGCTTGATCTTTATTAAAGCTGTTGCAACAGGGTGCTCCCCTCACATGCAGGAGGGAGGAGGAGACCCAGAACATTGGTGTGCAAACTCTTATATAGACATTTGAAATTGCCTCCCCTGTAGCTCAAGACCACCCCCAATACATCATACATACATCACAGAAGGGGCGGTCTACAGCAGAAATATGAGTGTGTTGTTTTTCTCCTGTCTGCCAGGATACCTGATAATGGATCACTGACTGCATTACCTGGGCCATTTGTCCACTCTTTTGTGATGATAACTACTTAATTCCTGAGTCCAGGTCATAGGCTCACCCTGTTCATGCACAGACACACCCTTAAGACAGGATTTGTGATCAAAGAGACAATGGGGAGGCTTTTCCATTTCTTTCCTCCTTGCAGAGAAATATTTGAGGTCACTGGAAGAGTCAAAATGGCTTTAGGACTGTTTTCCTGTACTGTTTCCAGACATGTAGTTTGTTTGTTTGTTTGTTTGCCTTGTACAGTTATGAACAATTATTATATATATAAGATCTTAAAATTCCTGTAACAGTGACAAAACACAAGAGAGCAGAATGGGGAGGACCCAGAGGCCTGGTTCTTGATATTTAGTTAAGGTCACATATTGCGTGGCGAGTTCCTGTCCTCCCCCAGTGGAAATAAAGACACAATTACTTAAGGTTAATGGGCTAAATATGGCCACAACTTTATTGGTTACAGGTGATGAGTGGTATTGGCTTAGGCATTGGTCCTAACAGACTATCGGGCTTCAGCCTGCCTGCTTGAAGTCCGGGAAGGGTTAACCACCAGTAGGGGGAGTCTTGCTGATGCACATCAACTAGGAACTCCCCTGGGGTCACTGCTCGGGGGCGTGCCTTAGGCCCTCACCTCCATAGGCTTCGGACAGGGCCACGCCCCCCAGAATCCTTTATCGGACTACCCTTCAATATGCGGGGCAAGTGATGGCGCTTCCTCCCCTCTTCCATCTACAAAACAATACCAATGCCTAACCACCAATACTAAGGAAGTTGTGACGATTTGCTACAAAGTAGGCAAAAACCAAGTGGCCGGTGCCAATTTGCGAAGTGGAAAAATTCCTACCAGGCCCCTCAATGGCGACCAACCAAGGTCCATAGCAAGGTCAAGGAACGAAAACCTTATAGGGCGGGAAGGTGGGAAAGCAGGAACAGCTGTTATGTGGGAAAAGAGGGAGTTCCCAGTGTGGTGTAGTGGTTAAGAGCGGTAGTCTCGTAATCTGGGGAACCGGGTTCGCTTCCCCGCTCCTCCACATGTAGCTGCTGGGTGATCTTGGGCTAGTCACACTTCTCTGAAGTCTCTCAGCCCCACTCACCTCACAGAGTGTTTGTTGTGGGGGAGGAAGGGAAAGGAGAATGTTAGCCGCTTTGAGACTCCTGAAGGGGAGTGTAAGGCGGGATATCAAATCCAAACTCTTCTTCTTCTTCTTCTTCTTCTTCTTCTTCTTCTTCTTCATCCGCGGCCGTGCCTGCATTTAAATCGGGCGGGCTGTGATGCCCCCAATCCTACCTCCTCTGCAGGGTGGAAGTGGCTTTGCCTGCCTATCAGTAATCCAGATACAGTCCTGGAACTGAAGAGGGCGCAAGAGTCCTCCTCGCCAGTAATACCTTATGCTTCCCTTTGGGTATCTGGTTGGCCACTGTGAAAACAGGGTTCTGGACCAGACGAGCTCTTCTTAATCCCAAAAAAACTGTGCAGCCAAAGCTCTGGGCTCAGTCTCCCAGTTCCAGCTTTTCATGAGGAAATTGTGGAACTCCAGATGTAGCCAGACTACAAGTCCCATCGCCTCCGACCATTGTGCCTGATGGCTGGGGCTGATCTGAGTCCAAATGCAAAAATAATTGGGTATCTTGTCTCCTTAGGGTACAACCCTGCAACTACGGATGGAAACGAGCTCCCTTATCCCACTGCAGTTCAGGATCTCTCCTCAACCCAATACAGGCCTGAGCAAGAGACCAGAAACACGGAGCTGGCAACTTTCTCTGCTTCTGATTTAACAAAAGGTACATCCTGGACACGGGTGGCGCTGTGGGTTAAACCACAGAGCCTAGGACTTGCCGATCAGAAGGTCGGCAGTTCAAATCCCCGCGACGGGGTGAGCTCCCGTTGCTCGGTCCCAGCTCCTGCCAACCTAGCAGTTCGAAAGCACGTCAAAGTGCAAGTAGATCAATAGGTACCGCTCCGGCGGGAAGGTAAACGGTGTTTCCATGCGCTGCTCTGGTTCGCCAGAAGCGGCTCAGTCATGCTGGCCACATGACCCAGAAGCTGTACACTGGCTCCCTTGGCCAGTAAAGTGAGATGAGCACCGCAACCCCAGAGTTGTCCACGACTGGACCTAATGGTCAGAGGTCCCTTTACCTTTACCTTTTACATCCTGGAGACAGATCACTGTTTAGTTGCCTTTGGAAAGCTTTGTGGCAGGATGGGGGGAGGGAGAGGGGGGGTTTTCATTCTGACGGCCACATTTCCTTCTGGGGAAAAAGTGTGTGAAACAACATTTTTCCTTTGTGCAATAAGCTAGTTTCTACAAACACATACCCCCTCAAAAACGTCCCGGGGGAAAATGGGACATCCTGTTTTTCCCACGCGAGAGCATGGCAGCCATTTTAGGCACCATACTGTCATGCTGAGATCTCGCCCCCGCTCCCCAAGTGATTTTTTGGAAGGGCCACAATCTCGCGTGATGCGGCACAATGTGCATTTTTGGCCACAGTGAGAGCATAACCCTGAAAAAGGTGTGTTTTTTGGGCTCCGTGACTTTGTGCAGGTCACGTGACTTGCGCTGGCGCATGGACAAGAGGATGCGTGTCCCAGTTTTGGGACTCAACATGTTGGAGGCTATGCAAACACACACTAAACATCTCCCCTTAGCCTATCCATCTGTCCCTCCCTCCCTGGTCAAAGCTATTTATGCAGCCAAGGCTAAGGCCCACCTGGCGGCTACCATGCAGATTCTGGAGAAATGTCAACACCTCAACATCCTGCGCATTGTAGTGTATCAAGGAAGACCCGCCTGAGACTGTAGCCATGTGAGGCCTCACTAGTTATGACCTACCTAGTCCTGGAGGTGGCGCTGTGGGTAAAACCTCAGTGCCTAGGACTTGCAGATCTTATGGTCGGCGGTTCGAATCCCCGCGGCGGGGTGAGCTCCTGTCTTTCGGTCCCAGCTCCTGTCCACCTAGCAGTTCGAAAGCACCCCAAGTGCAAGTAGATAAATAGGTACTGCTTTATAGCAGGAAGGTAAACGGCGTTTCCGTGTACTGCGCTGGTGCTGGCTCGCCAGAGCAGCTTTGTCACGCTGGCCACGTGACCCAGAAGTGTCTCCGGACAGCGCTGGCCCCCGGCCTCTTAAGCGAGATGGGCGCACAGCCCTAGAGTCGGACACAACTGGCCCGTACGGGCAGGGGTACCTTTACCTTTACTAGTCCTGGAGGCATTGGCTGGGTATGGGAAGCAAGTCCGCCATCTTAATTTCCCAGAATCCCTAGTTTCAGCACTGCATTGGGGCATCTGGGATATTGTGGGGGATTTTAAAAAGAAGCAACTTCTGAGCTCTGGGAGCTGCTGCCAAGTCAGAGGGGAATTGGGGTGGGAGGGCCAAAGAAGGGGAACCAAGGTGGGCTTCTATGGCGGTGAGCCCCGGTCACTGCCCAAGGGTGGTGGGTGTTCACATTGGCATCCTCACAAGCGATCCTCTCTGATTTTGAAGAGCAGCTTCATGGCTAAACATCCGTAGGGCTTTTGGAAACAATCACACCCACAGCTGAGGAAGGGAAATACAGTGGTACCTCGGGTTAAGTACTTAATTCGTTCCGGAGGTTATGTTCTTAACCTAAAACTGTTCTTAACCTGAAGCACCACTGTAGCTAATGGGGCCTCCCGCTGCCACCACGTGATTTCTGTTCTCATCCTGAGGTAAAGTTCTCAACCTGAGGTACTATTTCTGGGTTAGCGGAGTCTATAACCTGAAGCGTATGTAGCCCAAGGTACCAATGTAAAGGGGTGGGGAAAGGGTGCCTCTAATACATGGGTAGGCAAACTAAGGCCTGAGGGCCGGATCTGGCCCAATCGCCTTCTCAATCCGGCCCGCGGACGGTCCGGGAATCAGCCTGTTTTTACATGAGTAGAATGTGTGCTTTGATTTAAAATGCATCTCTGGGTTATTTGTGGGGCATAGGAATTTGTTCATTTTTATTTTTATTTTCAAAATATAGTCCGGCCCCCCACAAGGCCTGAGGGACAGTGGACCAGCCCCCTGCTGAAAAAGTTTGCTGACCCCTGCTCTAATACCTCTTCTCTCTTTCTGTTTCCTGTCAGCGGGACCCCTGCAGGATCAAAGCCCTGTTGTCATTCAGGAAAACCGCACCTGGTTCGAAGCTCTGGCTGCCTGCCAGGCCAGAGGCCAGATCCTGGCCGGGAGGGTGGCACTCCAGCAGGGTTTGAAGGCTTGGCTGGGGCTGCACCGCCACGGGCTGTGGGGCTACTGGGTTTGGGCCAATGGGAGCGCCGTGGAGGAGCCTCAGAGCTGGCGGGAAGGGGAACCGAGCGATCCCCTATGGGGAAACTGTGGGGCAGGGACAGGAACGGAGGAAGGAGTCCTGTGGGAAGACGAATGTTGCGAGCAGAAGTTGTACTATGTGTGTGAATAGCACTCTGACGGCCAAACGATGCATGGAATGACAGCAGGGATAGCTCAGCCGGTGGAGCACAAGACGCTCAATCTCAAAGTCGTGGGTTTGAGCCCCATGTTGGGCAAAAGATTCCTGCATTGCAGGGGGTTGGACTAGATGGCCCTTGGCGCCCCTTTTGACTATGATTAATTGCGTTGATTGATGGATTGAGCCCATCACTTCCCATTAAAAGGGTTTCCTTGTAAAGACACCGACAGTAAACAAAATAAACATGTAAAAACCCCCACCCCTGATTCCTTGTATAAAGACAAGTGCACGTAAAAATCTCTCCAAAATAATACATGTATAAAAATATTAAAAGCGTTATCACACGCAAAAACAAGTGTCAAGACAAGTCCATATATAAATGCAATTCCACAGTGAAAAACGACTTCCTTTGCAAAAGCAACTTCAAATCCAATAGGTATACACACAGCCTGGGATAGTGACTTTGGGGCCAGTCACAGTCTCTCAGCCTGGTCCTACCTCAAAGGGTTGTTGCGAGGATAAAACGGACAGAGGGAGCAGGCCACGTACATCACCCTGAGCTCCTTGGACAAAAGCTGTCAACTTACAGATTTGAAAATAAGGGACCAGCAGCCTTGAAAATAAGGGATCAGCAGCCAAAATAAGGGATTTTGCTTAACTTATACATAAATCCGGCACTGATGAAGCCATGCTGCTTTGGCTGCCACTGACTCTGTTTTGCAGGGGGTTGAACTAGATGATCCTAAGGTTCTGCAGCTCCGACCAAAGAAGAGTGGCAGACAAAACTCATGAACGACGTCGAGATGGCAAAGCTTACAGGCAGAATTAGAAACCAGGAAGAGGACCTCTTTAATAAAGAATGGGGAAAGTTTATCATTTAGTTGAAAAGCTATCGTAAAGAGTTACATACATTGGTAGGATTGACAGAAAACTTGTAAAAATTTGAACTATGGATGGACAAATGATTTATAAAAATAGAGTTATGAAAGGGATGCAGAGGGGGAAATCACGACATTAAGATGCTGCACTGGTTGGAGGGGATGCTAAGCAGCACGTCGGGGCTGCCGTCTTCTTGGAGCGAGGAGTTCCATCGGCCCTTCCCCACCTGAGAGGGAGGGAGAGAGACTCTTTCCCACGCCACCCGTGAGCCTGGCATGAGGCGGTTGCAGTGCCTTCTGCGTCCCTCCCCATCCCCTCCTTTTCCTCCTCCCTCAGGCCGCCTCCTCAGCTGCCGCCGCCGCTGCCACCTCCGGCTTCCCCTGGCAGCGCTGCGGAAGTCTCACAAGAGAGGGGCTGCCTGCCCGCCCATCGCCACCTGTCTCCTCACGACGCACCCCTGAGGGGGAAAAGGGAGAGATGGAGACGTGGCAGCTCGTGCGCACACTCTCTTTCGCTCTCTCGAGGCGGAGGACCCCGAGCCGCTGCTTCCCTCCCGAGCTGGGTGAGCATGAAACCTGGGAAATTTAAGGGACATCATCAATCCGGGACAGCAGCGGGGCACGGCGCTGGGATAAGGGAGTTTCCCGCCAAATAAGGGACGGTTGACAGCTATGACGAAAGGTGGGATATACAGTAAATGTAATAAATCCGAACTCTACAGTTCTGTGATTCTATACGCTCCTGGACCCTCTTCCAGAGTCATCAGTTGGCAACTTCTTGAGCTCCTTCTGTCAACTCTCGTCCTGCCTCTCCAGAACTTATTGGGACTTACGATATTGATTATATTCATAACCACGAGAACTAAAAACTCGCTTTCATAGAAACGGATATTCTCAAGAAGGTAAATTCTGCACCCAATTAAACCACACACAGACCTTTCTTAAAAGCTGGCCCAGAAGGGTCACAGAATAGGCACCAAACCGGCTGACTCATCTTTACGCAGCTGGCTACAAGCGCCGTGAGTTTACTTCAAAATCTCTGTGTGGAGAAAGGATGGTGTGAACTGGAAGCAGTTGTGCAGCTTAGCACAGGAGTTCCCCAACTGTAGTCTGCAGACCGTAAGTGGTAATTTGCAAACCTCATTCGGGTGGTCCTTAGCGTGTCTGCAAACATACAATTCAAAACCACACATTGTCTAGCACGGTACATTTCAGTTGCTACAACAGGAAGAAAAATCATTAAGTGGTCTGCCAAGACCCTCAGAAATTTTCAAGTGCTCCATGGCAGAAAAGGTTTGTGAACCATGGCCCTAGTATATACAGTTTGAATGATAAAAGGAGGTAAGCAATGTACTCCTTTTTTTAATTTTTTAATTTTTTTAATGAGAAGTGCCTGAGAACTTACTCTTCCACAGAAAAGTGATGTAGTAAACCACAATTACATAACTGTGACATCCTCAGAATTAGGATGTTGCATAATAGTAACATCCCCCACCTTCCGAATTATTAGTGTTTCCTGATTTTTCTCCCCTCCTTGCTGGTAATATGCAGCCGCTGTACAATTGTGGACAGGGTTTTCCAGGCTGCTGCTTTGAGCTCCAATGCTTCTTTGGGGCTAAGGTTGTGTAGTAAAGCACACGCCCCACATGCAGGAACTCCTCGACTCAATCAGAGCGGTATTTTCTTCGGAAAAGGATTGGTTAATTAAAATCAGATAATGGGGAACGTCCTCCCAAGACCCTGGAAGCAAAGCCAGTCTGAGTAGGCAATATGTAAGGTAAAGGGACCCCTGACCATTAGGTCCAGTCGTGATCGACTCTGGGGTTGCGGCGCTCATCTCGCTTTATTGGCCGAGGGAGCCGGCGTACAGCTTCTGGGTCATGGGGCCAGCATGACTAAGCTGCTTCTGGCAAACCAGAGCAGCGCACAGAAACGCTGCTGGTACCTTCCCGCCGGAGCGGTACCTATTCATCTACTCTGCACTTTGACGTGCCTTCGTACTGCTAGGCTGGCATGCGCAGGGACCGAGCAACAGGAGCTCACCCTGTCCAGGGAGTCGAATCACCAACCTTCTGATTAGCAAGCCCTAGGCTCTGTGAGTCTTAACCTCATAGCGCCACCCGCGTCCCTCCAGCTGAGCGACTTAGGGACTCCAACTCTCATGAGCATGACAGATGATCACGGATGATGGGACCTGTAGTCTAGCAACATCATGGAGAGGGGGAATCGCGAATCATGGGAATCGCCTTTAAACAGCCCGGGAGCACTTTTTTTTTGCCACTGACCTGAACAGCCTCTACTTTGTTGTTGTTTAGTCATTTAGTCATGTCCAACTCTTTGTGACCCCATGGACCAGAGCACGCCAGGCACTCCTGTCTTCCACTGCCTCTCACAGTTTGGTCCTTTGTCAGCAAGGTCCTTTGTCAGCTTTGGACCTTTGTCAGCAAGGTGATGTCTCTGCTTTTTAAGATGTCTCTGCTTTTTAAGATGCTGTCTAGGTTTGTCATTGCTTTTCTCCCAAGGAGCAGGCGTCTCTTAATTTCGAGACTGCTGTCACCATCTGCAGTGATCATGCAGCCCAAGAAAGTAAAATCTCTCTCTGCCTCCATTTCTTCCCCTTCTATTTGCCAGGAGGTGATGGGACCAGTGGCCATGATCTTAGTTTCGTTTGATGTTGAGCTTCAAACCATATTTTGCGCTCTCCTCTTTCACCCTCATTAAAAGGTTCTTTAATTCCTCCTCACTTTCTGCCATCAAGGTTGTGTCATCTGCATATCTGAGGTTGTTGATATTTCTTCCGGCAATCTTAATTCCGGCTTGGGATTCATCCAGCCCAGCCTTTCGCATGATGAATTCTGCATATAAGTTAAATAAGCAGGGAGACATTATACAGCCTTGTCGTACTCTTTTCCCAATTTTGAACCCATCAGTTGTTCCATATCCAGTTCTAACTGTAGATTCTTGTCCCACATAGAGATTTCTCAGGAGACAGATGAGGTGATCAGGCACTCCCATTTCTTTAAGAACTTGCCATAGTTTGCTGTGATCGACATAATCAAATGCTTTTATGTAGTCAATGAAACAGAAGTATATGTTTTTCTGGAACTCTCTAGCTTTCTCCATAATCCAGTGCATGTTTGCAATTTAGCCAGCCATCAAAAGCTAAAGGGGAAAAAATGGGTACAAAATTCAGTATCCTCCTGGCTGGCATCCATCTGTCTGAGGTCAGTCTTTTGGATGATGCAGGAGAGACATGTTTGGTTGCAGCTGAGGCAGATGAAGGCATCCAGTTTTGCTGCTACAGGTGCGCCATGGGGCTTATCTTCCTATATACATAAAAAGGTAAGGCTGTCATCACGCAGCCCCCACTGGAGGGCTTACAGTGCCACACCACAATCCTGGGTTTGCATGAAGAAATGGGTTAGGAAGGTGAAAAGCAAGCTTCATAGTTGCACAGGCTGGGAAGGGGAAGCTCTATGTAGGGAGAATGGCGATGGGGTGTGTGTGTGAGAGCAGAGCGAGGCACAGCCCCTAGAAAACTATATGAACGAATCCTACCCTAATCTAATTTTGCAAAATACGAAGTAATGCAATTTGCCCTTCTTAATGCATGAATATCAATTACCTCAAGCAGCGATTCCTTGTGAACGTGGCATGCTGCTGCTGATTCTGGTCGGGTTTCGCAACAAATCTTTTTTGGTTTCTGTAGGCCGGCTCCCAAGTAAATCATCTCCTGCGTTGCCGGGAAGGCCTTTCTGATGTGGGCCCAGCATAACCTACGGGGAAATCTGTCATTGCTCATTTGTTTAGACTTGAGTCTGGCTGATTTCCGTGGTAGAACTTGGACTTCCTCTGCGTGATGTCAAGTCCAGCTAACAGCATAGCTGTCAAGCGTCCCTTATTTGGCAGGACAGTCCCTTATCCCAGCACCATGTCCCGCTGCTGTCCCAGATTGATGATGTCCCTTAAATTTCCCGGGTTTCATGCTTGCCCAGCTCAGGAGGGAAGCAGCAGCTCGGGGTCCTCCGCCGTGAGAGAGGAGATCGTGCAATGCTCGCTTCCCACTACCACTCTCCACTCCAAGGCCACCCTGAGGTTCCTCAGCCACTTGCTCAATGTGCTTTCACAGTCTGCGGCAGGGAAGTTTCTGTGGGAACCGCTCCTTCAGTCACCGTTGGCCTGAATAATGCAACAACCATTGGCTAATACTAGAGCTGGG